TCTATGGAGACGAAGCGATTCCAGGGCCGCGGAGAATTAACTATGTAGCTTACGCACAGAATTTCCACTTTCCGTTTCCCAGGAAGGAAGTGGGCAAGACAAAGTCATGTGTGCAAGGGCAGACGAATATCGGAAGCAAAGCACACCTGGTCGTATGGATGCAAAAACAGCTGAAACCTGGGGATTTCGGCTTTTACCTATTTTGTTTGCATTTCTCGGTAGTCCGGTCGGTTTGGTAAGGGCCTGGCCTTGAAACCGAAGTTGCTAGACATATCTTCGACCTCTTTGATGGATGCATGCTCATTAATATCGAGTTTTCAGATGATAATCTCCCACCCCCGCTGCACCTGTATGGAGTGGAATATTGCCTCATATTCACGCCCCGAGGAATAACTTTGCATCCTACGCAATAGAGCCTCTTTTTGGATGCGCAGTTGGGCCCACAACAACATATCTTTGCCCGTTCTTCCCGTTCTCATCCCTCCAATCAAGGCCAAAAATTAATATGCCCTATCAACCTAGCCCAGAGTATTTTCTTGTTCGCTTCCCTTTTCCATTCTGTGCTCACCTCTTGCCGCTTTTTGATCGAGTAAAACTGAGCATGCCCCTGAGGGTTGCCATATGGTTGTCCAGGTCCCCCGTGGGCCAGCCTGATCCACTCAGACCTATGTCGATCTCCACACTAGTAATATAACGGCATTTCACCAGTCGCATGCACAGTGGATTCAATATATTACAAATGTAGCAACCAAAATAACAGTCATAATACCAGTATAGCAATCTTCGAACGGCTCTATAAACCGATATTCAGCTTCTACTAATTGGTGTTACAACCATTGGTCATGAATCGTAGAATTTCATAATAGAGAATTGTACTCCGTAGAGCTGCTAAGCAGATAATCCATATATAAAATTAACTGCGTTACAGAGCGCCAGTAAAGTTTACTTAGATTATCATGGTTTTGATTAACCGGGATCTGGAAGAGGTGTAGGCTAGGACGTGACGAAAATAGGCACGGCGTTGAAGCGTAAATTGTGTCGGCAATAATACTTATAGAACCCCAGATGCCGTTCGACCGAAAGTGAGTGCGTGGGGGCGGATATGTCCGTGTTCTGCAAGAAGCCCCATGCAAAGTATGTCTTTTAATCTAGCAGGGGAATAAACGATATATTATTAGCGCCTCTTCGGAGACTAAGATGAGTATATTGAAAGAATTGGTGGCGTTGTGGTAGAAACAACGAACTAGATCTAGTTGGCTGATGGACACAGCCTACGGTGGGACTAGCCCGTAAGCGACGGGTGAGAGCGAGACTAGTGTTATAGATGATACGGTTTTTACGGTGTCTCGGGTATACCTAGGTTGATTATGTGACCTTATCGCATTCCCAGCTAGGTTTGAAGGTTTACAGAAGAGCCCCAAAGCCAACACAATCATGGAGAGGATAAAGGAAAGCGATATGAGCGACTTAGATCCAAGGCATACCTCGGGTTTTACGTACGCTAATTAAGCCAAATCGACTGACAGAAAACGCCCGTACCAATTTGGGTCTCGTCTTAAAGTCATGGTGCAATCGAAGGAGACGCTTCAAAAATGGAGGTGAGCGCCGTACCTGGACGGGCTGGTGGATCTCTCACAGCAGCCAATCACCTGAGAGACTGTCACGCGACCAAAACTGAATGCCAATCCCGGACTGAAAAATACACTGAGCGCATAGAAGCGGCGCCAAGAACATCTTCCCCGGGCTTCTCGACCCACTCGAGGGAAAATGCGGAGGTCACAGCCCTGGAGAAAGCCATACCACCGGATAATTCACCAAATTCACCACGGAGTAAGTAGCGCTCATCGGTTGGTATTTTGACTTCCGGACCGATTCCAAGCCGAATCCAATCTAAATTTCCCGGGATGTGCAGAACAAAGAAGCAATTTCCTTCGGATTGCCGAGGTCAGTAAACCGGGTAAAAGCTCCCAGACCTTGCCCCGCCATGACATTCCTACCATAAATGGTAGGTATTCGCCGAGCCCAGATTCTAGCCCTGATCCCCAGGTTTTTTCATGCTGGTGGGTAAGTCGTGTTGTATCGACGCTGGTGACTGGTTTGCTATCTCATGTCCCCCATGTCCCACCGGGATATAACCGGATCCGAACTGTCACTCCTTGCTGTTCATGGCTGCTTTTCGGCCGATCTCCGGGGGGAAGTTGCTGTGCATCATCATCCATTGGTAATTCGGAGTTGCGCCGTGTGCATGACTTGGGTCTCGGCGATGCATGTAAAAGCTTTAAAAACCTCCAGTGCCGGGATGTAGGCCCGATCTTCGATCTATTTTTTTTTCGCTGTGCAGTTCATCCTACCCCGCGGGCTAGGGTCTGGTTCACATTCCTTCTCTTTCATTCCTATCTCAGCCTATACAACCAGATATTTAATGCGACAAGACCCCAAGAATACTCGATTCGTCCCTCTCGCTCGCGTTCAAAATGAGTGACAAAATACCCTCGTGGAATGTCGTCCACAAGTTGGAGAAGCGCCAGCTTCTCATCGGAATCAACTGCGTGGCCGGACTGTCTATCTTATTCTTCGGATACGACCAAGGAATGATGGCCGGTGTCAACAACGCAAAGGATTATATTGACCTCATGGGATTCGGTTATACTGAGGTGGTGGACGGCGAGGTCACCCCGGTGGTCACAAATTCCCTGCTGCAAGGTGGGATCGTGTCCGTCTACTACCTGGGAACGCTTTTCGGCGCATTACTCGGTGGCTGGCTCGGAGACCGCACGGGAAGAATCAAGACCATTGCAGCTGGTGCTTTATGGGCTATTCTGGGCGCGGCACTGCAGTGTTCAGCACAAAACCACAATTGGATGATTTGCGGTAAGAAGACATATGGTTCAATAGACGCGATCTTGAACTAACTTTCCCAGCGCGCTTCGTTAATGGTATTGGAACCGGAATTTTGAACGCTATCGTCCCTGTCTGGGCTACCGAGACGGCTGAACATACTTCGCGCGGACAATTCATTGCTATTGAATTCACGCTGAACATTTTTGGTGTTGTGTTGGCTTATTGGTTGGAGTTGTACGTAAACCCATTCAATTTCTGCGATATCAACGTAAACCCATTTAATTTCTGCGATATCCTTTCTAATGTTCGATAGTGGCTTGTCTTTCATCGACAACGGAGAGTCAGCCTTCCGCTGGAGATTCCCTATCGCATTCCAGATCCTCTTCCTCATTGTCCTTTTTGCGGCTGTTTGGTTCTTCCCTGAGTCACCTCGATGGCTCGTCAAGGTCGGCCGGGAGGATGAGGCCCGCTATGTTCTACAGCGTCTACGTGGATCTAGCGGAGAGGACCTCATCCGAGCGGAAGCCGAGTTTCAGGATATTCTAAGCATCGCCGAGCTAGAACGAACAGTGAATCACGGTGATTCATATCTGTCTATGCTGGTTGGCTACAAATCCGGTGACCTCCATATCGGCCGTCGCGTACAGTTGGTCATTTGGCTACAGATCATGCAGGAATGGGTGGGCATCGCGGGTGTTACTGTTTATGCACCGACCATCTTTGGCATTGCTGGGTTTGATTCGATGAAGAGTCAGTGGATTAGTGGACTGAACAATATCTTCTACATGGTATGTTTCCATATTGAGGCAAAGACCGAGTGGTGCTTATGTGCTTGTCTAGTTTGCTACGCTAGTCTGTGTCTTTACTCTCGACCGTATCGGTCGCCGGTGGACTTTGTATTGGGGCGCCGTTGTCCAGGGTATTGCCATGTTTCTTGCGGGTGGATTTTCCCGTCTCGCCATCGACAACAAGGCAGCCGGTGATATGGGCAAAGCATCCTCGTACGGTGCGGCCGCAGCTTCGATGATTTTCATCTTTACCTCTGCATTTGGAGCTTCGTGGCTCACAGTCCCTTGGTACGGAACTTGCTTCTGATATTTTCATTCAATGCTAATTCCTCATTTCATAGGGTTTACCCGGCTGAAATCTTCCCGCTGGCCGTTCGTGCACGTGGAAATGCCTTTGGTGTCGTCGGATGGAGTATTGGAAATGGATGGCTAGTGAGTGAACATCCTCCAATAGATACAAGACCCATATGCTGACAGAACATTGAAAGACTTTGCTGTGCCCCGTCATGTTCAATGCCATTGGTGAAAAGACACTGTATGTCTTCGCCGCCAGTAATGTCATCGCTATTCCCATGGTGTGGGCTCTATACCCAGAAAGCAACCAGCGCACACTAGAAGATATGGATCTCCTATTTGCGGCTAAGACGCCCTGGACCTGGGATGCAGAGAAGACCTTTGCGCGCCTCAAGGCAGAGAACCCAGGCATGGTCCAGTCTCTCGGTCCCAAGGGCAGCGTTGTGGACCCGGAGACTGGAAAGCCTCTTTCTGTTGCTGCGGCTGTTGCGGCTTCCAAGGCTGGTGAAAATGCTGTAGGAGCCGAGCATGTAGACCGTGTTTAGATTTGAGGTGGCAGGACTTGATGATGTGCTATGTTTGGGCTCCCTAGGTGACGTTTTGATGAATAACCAACTAATAACTTTAGAAATGGATACATGGTTTATATTATCCCTAGAAAATTAAGAACATATCAAACAATCATAAAATGAAAGTGAAAGGAAGGTGACTGAGAAAATGCAATCGACAGAAGCCGCTCTGATTGGTCACTTTGAGAACAACATCCATCAACTCAACATACAATTCGAGCTTCATCGCCTTCTTTTTCCCTCACGATTTCTCTCTCTTTAAAAATTTCACGTTTAAAAAAAAGTCCGTATCACATCTCTTAACATCAACAGCTACTCACGTGGTAAGTACCGTAATCCCGACAAACGCGTCTCGCGTCGCATCGTTCCCAGCTAATTACAAATTACAAATGGAGCCTTGGAATATCATCCTCTCCACGAACCACAAACAAAATTCCAAGATTCCAAAAAGGGGATAAATCACATAAAAAGATCTACCAAGGATCCTAGACAAGAGGGTCCATAAGTCATGTCCCTCTCGACAGTCCAGCCCGCAGATCCGCAGATCCCAACACCAACACCAGACCAACAAGACCCCAAACCCCAGAAAGACCTCGAACCCACACTACCCACAGCGCAAACCAAAAAATATCTCCACCGCATATCCCTGCACCCAACGCTAACCCCCTACCGCCGGCGCGTGTATCGGACGCTCCTCTCCGTCCCGCCAGGTCGGTGGACCACCTACTCGGCGATGGCGACGTACCTAGGCTCCAGCGCGCGGGCGGTCGGAAACGCGATGCGCACTAACCCCTTTGCACCGGAGGTGCCGTGTCATCGGGTGCTTGCGGCAGATGGGTCGTTGGGTGGGTATAAGGGGGAGTGGAAGGTTGATGGGCATAAGGCTGGCGGTGGGTTTTGTGAGGAGAAGAGGTTGAGGCTTGAGGAGGAAGGGGTTGTTTTTTTGGATGGGAAGGTTAGGGGGGTTTGTTTTAAGGAATTTGTGGATTTGGGGGCTAAGTGAGTTTGGGCTTTTGTGGATTGAAGGGCGTTATTGGCGTGGTGAGGAGCCTTGTGTTTTTCAATTAAGGTTGATATTTGAGATTCCTGTACTTACCCGGAAAATAATGTGAACTTCCTGTCTAGGTAGTTGGCTATCGACACTTCGAATCTACTATACACGCTGTGCTGTTTTATAATCCCAGCTATAAGCACAAGTCCTGGGCTATTGTACCGTCCAAATGTCTCTTCAAGTCGCCGTTCTTTGCTGAAACATCCAGTCCCTGCTCCAGGGCTGTTTCTACCGAAATACACTCGAGTGCATGCGCAAAGAACTATCCTGCTCACCTAACAGTGACGCAAACAATATCTGCGGCATAATCTACTACACCCATACAGACAAACAGCCGGGGCCAAATCCTTGGGGGGGGGGGGGGGATATACCCTCTCCCCTCCCAACAACAGCAGCCTACAACCTAACAGACACCGGCGAAGACGAACCCGCCTCAACCCTACTCCCCATAATCTCAACCCAGCTCTCCCTAAACGCGACAGACTTCTTCTACAACGAAGCCCTCTCAGCAACCGCCTCCCTAAACAACTACTCCATCCACCTCTGGCACCTAAATGGCACCTCAATACAAGGAAATTGGGCACAGCCCACCCTCCGTAATTCCAGCACAGCAGCCACAACCAACAAAAATGCCATCGTATCAATCCCCCAAACGAATACCTGGGTCCTTGTCGTCATAGAAATGACAATGAATATAGCACACCTGATCCACCTGCATGGACACCACTTCCGCGTCGTAGGGCAAGGATACAGATTCTGGAACGGGTTTACATCTTCGTCTACATCTACATCCCGGGACCGGGGTACCGGGCTAAATCTCAACTTCGCAGCCGGCGCACTCCCGAAATGCGATACCCAACTGCTGCCCGGGATAGGGTATATAGTTCTTGCGTTCCGCTCGGATAATCCCAGTGCGTGGTTCATGCACCGTCATATTGAGTGGCATCTTGATCAGGGGGTTGCGTTGTGGTTTGTTGAAAAGGGGGAGGATATTGAGGAGCTTTTTGGAGGTGTTGATGTTGATGGGGCTCGGGATTGGAGGGGATTTGTGAATGTCCTTAAGAGGAATTGTCGGACTTGAAATCGGTTTAATCAGGGGAATAATCTGGTTTTGGAGGATGGGGCTGGGGTTTAGATTTGCTTTGGATGTGCATTAATGAATCCTTTGTACCTGCATGTAGGGATTAGGGATTATTTTTGGAGGAATTATTTACTTAGTGCATATGGACTGTTACTCGACTTGGATGTTCAAATGAGAAATGAGGGGCCAAACCTTGTGAGAGACAACTTTTTTGGGGGGTTTTGGGGCATTTGTTGTACAAAGGATCAAAGAAAGGCTTGAGAGGTCAGTGTCTTCATTAGAGTTTTCGTTGACTGGGAGGGTATGATCAACGTGGGTGACACAGGGTTTGAGTATGTTGTAGGTTAGAGGTAAAGAAGGAGAAAGGGACTAGAAAAAGATAATGATGCTCTCATTCGTTTCTTTAATACCACGTTCTCTTCTTTTCCCTTATATTATGATATATATAGTGTATATATCCAGCCCTGGAGGGATTTTCGATTAAATCGCCGCTAAATAGGTGGAAATGGATTATTTCTTCCTATATATAAGTCCTACTTACTATATACGTAGGCACCTTAAATGCTATATAGAGGTCCTCGTATTCTACCCTTATAATAAGTAGGACTAAGCTCTCCGATCCTATTATCCTCTACCCGCTACTACCTCACTATATTCCTATAATATATATAATAGACCCGGGCACTCTCGTGCTTGTCAATCATATAGATAAAGCATCAATATGCAGGTTCTAAAAAGACCGAAATTCTATTATATCAAATCTATGTGTAACTAGGAAGGAACCTCATTGGCTATCTATCAAACTGCGCAGCCACACGCTTCTCGCCAATCTCGCCTGACGACTAATCGGGGCATCCGGCACAAAGATATCAAACCCATGCCAGCAACCCGGCCAGACATGTAATTCGGTGGAAACACCAGCCTTCCACAATGCAGTTGCATAGTCGACATCCTCATCGCGAAACACGTCCGCGTCGCCGACATCAATGAATGTCGGCGGTAAGCCACCGAGGTCTTTTGCGTGCGACGGAACAGTGTACATGGTAGCGTGCTCACGATTCGTTCCTAGGGCATAGTTGCAAGCATCGACGCTGTTTGACTTGGTCCAAGGAGGAGTATCCCCGAATTGCTGCATCGAGCCAGTTGTATTGCTATCGTCAAGCCACGGGTACATCAACAGCTGGCCGCGCACCTTTGGCCCTGCGCGATCCCGTGCTAACAAAACCACACCCGCGGCGAGATTGCCCCCGGCCGAGGCGCCGCAGACTATGATTTGATCCTGCGATATACCGAGTTCTTTTGCGTTTTCGCTCATCCACACCAGTGCCGCGTAGCTGTCATCCAACTGTGCTGGCTGGGGATGCTCTGGAGCGAGGCGGTATTCCGCAGAGACGAGGACAGCACCAAACTCAACGACCCAGTCTAGCATACCTGCGAGTCCCATAAAGCGGTTGCCGGAGCAATGCCCGCCGCCGTGGATATGGAGGATTCCCGGGGATTGTTTGGCGGACTTGTGCTGGGCTTTCAGCCGGAAGATTGATGCTTTTAACGGGCATGTCGGTCCGGCAATCTCGCGCTCTTCGTGGATGATGAGATTCTCCTTTCCACGGATGGTGTCTTCTAGTGAGAAATCGAGGACTTTGCGACGAATGACAAGCTCTTCTGGTGAACTGATCTCTTCGTTTTGGGGGAATTGATTGTGCACTTCAGAAAGATCGGGATGCAATGGCGGACGTCGAAGATCAAGCGACATGATTGATTCTGTTCAGCGAGACGGTGAAAATATTGGTCTGAATGTATTATGAAGGCTCTGGGGAACTTGAAGATGTTGATTGAGGTAAGGAAGTACGACTCCTTCGGAATTTATAATGAGTTCATTGTCGCGATTATTAATTGTCGGAATAATACAGCCTATTTTACCACCGGGATTCGCGCATTCGCGTTGACGCTTACTAAACCACAACAAAAACCACGATCCCTGTTTAGGGCCTAGGGAGGCCATATCCCATTTCGACATTAATGTTTCAACTGTGAGGCGTACGGGTCACCTAGTTTTCTTTTAAAATTGACTTTATTGAATCCATGCATCTAGTTTATTAGGGCTGTTTAATTTTGCTAGAATTGGAATCAGTAAAGTAGGAAAAGTTCCATTTTGATGTTGATGGGGCTTAGGTATTCCGACCCTCTGTTACTGTTGTAACTAGTTAACTAACGTATTCAGTAAGCGAGCGGCGCATGTAAGCTAGTGGCGCACCCAACGTGAAAGGCGTCCATGAATTAGAAACTAATTCTTTAATAAGCTGGTCTCTCTGAGAACCCTCCCCCTTTCTCTCTATGTGACCTGCTGGCTAGCAAATACCGCTCTGAAAGTCTTAGACAAAGTTTGTTAACGCAGATTTACAGCGGAGGCATTGACGTTTAAGCACATACGACATTTTCACACTTCATTATGGTCACTCATTCAAACTACGCATTGGGAATGGTTTCCACAAAGTTGGCAAGGCGAGACAAATGTCTAACAGATAGATGACAAAAAATCACCTATTTATTTACTACCTTATCTTGTGTATTGTCATGATATTTAGGATATCTAAGATATTTAACTAAAAACAAAAGGTACGGCTCCACACTACAGCTACTAGTACGGAGTATACGGAGTACAGCCCTAGAGTAATAAAATGTGCAGCAATTGTGATATTTGATACAGCACCTACTTAGTCCGGTTAGTCTGTGTGACTACAGCTGCAAGACACGTACTTTATGAGAAATTCATTTGGCCAAAGCACTTAGAAAAAAATTCAATTGGAGCAATGAAAGCGGAAACGAGAGAAGATAGGAAAAAAGTCGTCTAAGCCAATTGAGGAAAGTGGTATATCGTAATCGTTGCAATTCATTGAAACATTCCACCAATAACCCATCTAAGCCCGATCTAGAATCTAGAACACAAGTAATGAGCGATGAGCTCGAAAAAAAAAAGAATAGAACGAAGAGGCGATGAGCATCTTCTATACAAGACTGATCCATAACTGGACTGCGATCTATCGATGAAACAATAGTAAAAATAGAAATGGGAAATAGAAAATCAGAAAAGGAAAAACAGTCATGATATCGTAAGAAAGCCGAGAAGGAGGATAGAAATTATACCAGCGCAAAGCGAAAGGAATCATTACAATCATGATATCTGCTTTGCGGACCGCTTGCAAGAACCGCGCTTCGGCACGTCCAGGTGGTGATACGAGCGCAGGTGCTCGACGAGGTGGTCCTGCCGCGGGAAGCCATTGCTACCCTTTCGCGAGCAGTGCTCGACGGGGCAGTTGCGGAAGACAGGGTAGTGGACGCTGGACTGGTGGCGTTTCAAGTCTGCGAAGCGGGTGAATGACTTGCCGCAGTGGTCGCAGCCGAAGGGCTTAACGGGCCTGAGTAGATTTGTTAGCGGTTGATTCAATTGTGACGCTGGCGAAGGTTGGTAGCTTACTTGGATGTCTGCGGCGCTGGTGAGTCGGCACTGGATTCATATTCGCTGATGGGGTAGGTTGGTAGGGCGATGTCTTCGGAAGGGAAATTGAAGCTGCTGCTGTAGCTACTGCTGTAGCTGCTGCCACAGCTGCTGGGTGCGCTGTGTGGCATAACGGGTCGGTCGTTGACTGGGTAGTCATGTGGTCTCTGGTAGGTATAGGGCGAGCTGGTGATGCTGTAGAGCTCTGGGGCGACCTCTTGCATGGGGAAGGGACTGGTTGCGTCGAGGTCGCAGAGGGAATCGTAGACGGGCTGGCCGCCGTAGAAGAAGAAGTCCATGCCTCCTGGTGAGGAAGAATAGGAGGAAGAGTATGAGTCTGAGTAACTGAATGGGGACTGCATGTCGATGGGGGCGGAGGAGAGTGAGCGTTGGGTTGGTAGGGGAATTGGAATTGCGTTCTTATAGAGAGAGAGGGTTAGTCTAGAATGCGCCCATGCAAGCTAAAGTCACTTACCATTGTGAGAGAATAGGTTAACTAATTATTGAAATCTTAAAATTGATTTGGCCAGATATTTAGGATTCAAGTGCAAAATAATTTCCCTAAGCTATGGAGGCATGAGCCCTTTTATGTGCCCAACGTGAAACTCCAGCATGACCGGGTCCTCGAGTAGGGTATTGGTCAACACGGGACAGCAGGACAGCACTAGACTGTGAATGGCTGTGAATGGCTGTGAAAGGGACAGTAAATGGCACTAGACACAGTTCTAGAAAACTACTTGAAGCAGACTGGACAAAACCACTCAGCCTCCCCGCCTCCTCGCATGCGGGAATTTGTTATGCGGGTCTTTTGCTGACGCCGAATATTCCACGGTCCTTCTAGCGTGCCCCCTCATTTCAACATCCTGGATAGTTTGGACGATGATGATTGGAAGATGATCAGGTGTCTCGAGGTGAGCCAGTTGGTCGCGATAAGCAGCGGTCAGACTTTTGGGTGCCCAGTGAGTTCCCCTCACGATGATCCTCTCATGATTGGACGTTGACTATTCTGTGTGTCTTCTAGTGTCATTCTAGCGTTCTGCCAAGAGCTCGTGTCTGTCGGCCATGGCCCCCGGTTTTTTTTTGTTTGTGTTCATCACAGGTGACAAAGTTGCACATTCCCGTTTCATGTGCTGCATAGGGGGAATTCCTGATCTGTCAGGGACCTCGAAGCTTTTAGAAGCATTAAGTTCGAGGTTGGAGTCCAGGTCCAGGTCAAGGTCAAGGTTCAGGTCGAGTAGTTCGAGTTGTTCACGATGCACATCATTCCGGGCATTCCCTTCCACTAAAACCCACACATTGACGTATTGACGTATCCCAGGTCGGCATAACGGCACAATCGTGCCGGTTATATTGTCAGAATGATCCGCACGATCCAGCCTTGCGACCCGAATCTCTCTATCTCCACGGAGAACCTAGCCAAGGCCTATTCCCACAATTCCCAAACCCCTCCAATCCGGGGTCACAGATCGACCGATGATGTCGCGCTCGCGCACAGCCCCTGGCGACGTAGCGACTAGCGACTAGCGTTTCGCTAATCCCCGGGCTTCTAGAAAGAAAAATCCCGCAGTTCGAAAGTACTTTCCATGCTAGCGTCTGCCAAGGGGCTGAAAGAGCGAGTGGGATGCAGGTGCAACCCGTAATGCTTGCTGGCGAGTTAGCGTTCTCTGACGTCGCACGTCGTCGTACAGAAAGTGAATTCGTCATATATGCTTTTTTATTTTTATTTTATTTATTCCGGGATATTTGGGATTGCTTCCGGTGCTAGACCTTATGTTGCAGGACTTGGTTATGAGGTGAATTGCAGCCGTGCCGCCCCCGTATCCCGATTCCTGGTTTCCTTTTCTTTTTCCTATTTTCCTTTTTTCCCCCCTTTTTCTTCTGATATTTTCCTGTATTTTCCTGCATCTGCTTGCATCTCTCCTGCATTGTCCCAATAGAGGAAACGGTAGACCTGCAGAGCTACGTGTACACGCGCAAATACAACCCCGGACCCAGGGCTCAGGTTGGTACCTGTACCTATAGTACTACTCCGTACACGAGGTACATATGTACTTCATTCCAGGGCCTAGCCCAGGTACTGGCAAGGCAGACTGGTGCATAAGCAATCAACTTTACCTGGGCTGCTTGGCTGCTTAGCCACTTGGCTACTTCGTATTATATAGCCAATATGCATGACTTAAGGATTCATTGTATTGTTTAAACAATTGATAACCTTGCAAATAACACGAAACTCCCGTATCACCCAGGCCCATTCATTGCACTCATTGATGCTAGTCCTGCAAAAACAGTAAAAGAAGATAAAACAGCCCACCGAGACCCCCAACGGATTTCAAAGTTCCCGCCATAGCCTCAAACATCCAGTCTATCGAATCATAGTGTGGAGCCACAGATATTGTGAACAAATCCAGGGTGAAAATCAATCATCTGCGCTTGGAGACCCGGGTGGGTTGCTCATGGGTGAAAAAAAACAAAAAAAAACAAAAGACGTCTCATAACTCGTCCTCGAGGTATTTGTACACAAACTTGAAATCAGCCTTGCGCCGATTCATCCTGTTGATATTATTCGTAAGTGGTGAGCTCGTAAAGTGGGTGCGGAAACGAAATCAACCGGATTCTTTAACTGACCATGTGCTTTCGTAGTCGAAGAAGCGATAGGTGCCTTGTTCGAACTCCTCGGTAATGTTCTTTGGCTCCTCGTGACGCTGGAACCAGGTTTGATACTGCTTATGGAAGCGCCAACTCTGGTTTCGGAGCGCCTTCGCTGCGAGGTACTGTTGGTACGTCCCTTGGCGGTAGTAGAAAAGGTAGAAGAGAGTGTCCGTGTCGATTCTCCCAGTATCGTACAACCGAGGGTCATCAAATATTGAGAGGGGTTCCTGTGGATAATAGAGCGCAGTGCTGTAGGGGTTCTGCGGCTTGTAGTGACGTGGCTTTTCAGCATCGCCAGCCTCTGGACATGTCGTCAATGAGGTAGCGAGAAGGCGCTGAACAGATGGCGATGGATTGGCCGACGCACGCGACTTCGTTACCTCAAATGATTGGAGCAGGTCCTGGAGACCCGGGGGCAGGTGGTATACCGATTCATCACTTTCAGTTCCTTCTGTCTCTAGTTTGCCATTTGTTGATGTCTCCACCTTTGCGGGCGCGGGCGATGAGACACCTGCACTCACAGGGACCTTCGGTCGCACGGTCCCAGCAAGCGCTTCTGTAACGGCTGATACAGTAGGTGGAATTATTGACTTGGTAACAGGCTGTGCTGACGTCACAATAGGCGAAGCGGTAGAAGACTTGGGTATAGGCAATGCGACGGAGAGAGCCGGGCTGAACCCTGGTGGAGGCGGAAGAGGAAGAATGCCGACACCACTTTTGTCACTTGCTGCGGCAGCGGCAGCGGCGGAGGCATACTTGAGGGTTTCACCAGGGGGACGGGTCGGGAGGGGAGCGGGCTTCATGCCCGGAGTGGCACTTGATGAAGCTGACGGGAGGAGGGTAGCAAGAACAGGCAGCGGCGATTTCATCTGTGTTGATGGTCTTCGGGCTACTGGCGCTTCTTGCTTGACCTTTGGTTTCGGTTCTGGCTCTTCATCTTGGACTGATTGAGCGTCTTGTGATGATACACGATCACCTTCGCCGCCCATGCCGAATTGTGCCTCGATCTCCTCGCCGATATTTAGATCATCGTAGAGTGTTTCATCCTCGCCGGAGTAGTCAAGATTACCTCCTTCTTCGACGTAATATTTGATACTTTCCTTGAGATCTTGTACCGCACCCACGTCCAAGTTGCCGTTCTGTAAAGAACGATTGAGAAACTCCAACTTGTTTACATGCCATTTATGTCGTTCCGTAACGTGGGAGATATCGGCCATTCGATCCGCTTTCTTCGTATCCTTCTTGCCTTTCTTCATTTGCGCATGAAGGGTTTCCTCCTCTGCCTCTAGGGCCTCGATCTTCAGCTGAAGGTCGTCAACCATCGTGGAGAGGAACTCGCAACACTCGACTCTCTCCTTCTCCTTTGGGTCAAGTCGCGAAGCTGCCGATAGACCTTCCTTTGAATATGCTTTCGTCTTCATCTCCTTCTCGACGGCTTTGAATTGTTCCATGCACTACCGACGGTGTTAGCTTGTCGTCCCTTGAGGGAAGCATTGACCCTATGGAGGACCAAGTCGGGAAACACAAACGCACCACTTCAATGGCCTTTCGCTGCTCCATGAGTGGAGCTTTATCCTTGACCTCATTCCCGGCTGCCCATGATTTGATCTGATCACGGAACCTTTGGAGCTTCTTGATCTCGCGCTTAAGGTGGTCTTCGAGCTTGTCCCGTTGTGTGGGATTTGTAGCCTGGCGGATCTTCTCGTAAATGCCTTCGAACGTTTGTATCCCTTCGGAGACCTTCTTGAAGGTTTTCTCAATTTCCTGTTGCGTTTTTCGGGCTGCCATTGTGAACCCGTTGGTGGACTGTGCCGTCCACTGGCGTCGGGATTAATGTGGTTGGAACGGTGTGGTGATGCGCTTTCGACCAAAATGGTCACAAGTACACAATCGAGGTAGTTGGTGTAGGAAGAATTGTGGGCAAAGGTGCTTGTTTGACAGCAAAAGGACAGAGACTCGGGAAGTCCATGGAATGCCTCTCCGCGTTTAAGTGGAAAGCTTCGTGGATGCTCTAATAGGTAGGCGGTCACGGGCGGAGGCGAACTTGAGGGCGGCGCGAGGGGGATCGTGGGCCTTACACACACAATTCACAAGTCGCGTTTCGATTTCTCAGTTCCAAAGTACACAATTTACACTGAAGAATCAAGTCGCGCTGACAAACTGAGTTAAACGAGCTCATTTGCGCAAAATTAGGCAACGTTTGGTGTCAGCGCTATCACCAGCCTTATCTTGTCTACGCCCCAGGTGCGTCACCCGGCTTCACCCAGCTGTTTCTTATTTTAACAAGACATGAAAGATCTATAGGTCACCAAAATGAAACGTTAGGAACTCTGAACCTGTGTTGTATACCAAATCAACTAATACCGTTCAGTCATTGTCCAAAGAGTCAAATCGGCATCCGTGACAGTCGATTCAGAGTTGGTTTCCTCTATTGGCAAGGGCCTTCTTGTATTTGCTGGAATTGGCAAAGAAGATACCGAGAAGGATGCGGAGAACCTCGTGAACAAGGTCTTGAAGGCCAAGTTCTGGCCCGATGAGAATGGAGTACAAGTAAGCCAAATGGCTTTCATCCATGGAAGTGTGGGACCGGGAATTGACATCATCACAGTGGAAAAAGAATGTCCAGGAGATTGAGGGGGAAGTACTATGTGGTATGATTCCTCGTCTTACTACCTGGCACACTGCTGAACAATACTGATGGTTGTCTGTCTAGTCTCCCAATTCACCCTCTATGCAAAAATGAAAAAAGGCAACAAACCCGACTTTCATGATGCAGCTGGTCCCGAAACTGCACGCAAAATATATGACTTCTTCTATGATAAAATGGGGCAAGGCTATACTCCAGACCGGGTCAAGAATGGTGTCTTCCAGGCTATGATGGATGTTGAACTGAAGAACGACGGGCCGGTGGGTGTAGACTACTGCAGCGAGGACGCGGCGGTACATTTTGACTTCCCAGCTCCTTTCCTCGCCGCCATTGATTCTATACTGACTGTTCTTATTCTAGGTCACAATCGAAATCAATACCAATCTCCCCAAAAAGGAACCCAAGGAACCCAAGCAGCAGAGCAACGGAGACATGAAGTTTGATGAAGAGGAAACTAAGGGATCTTTTGAATTCCAAATTCCTCCTGAATTGCTGCAGTGAGAAAAAAGAAAGAAAGAAAGAAAGAGAAATAGAGATAAAAAGTAATGCTTTGTACCTAGATAGATGTTAGCAGATACCCCCAATACAACTTGTATACAAATCCCGTGGTCCGAACATAGTTGGGGTGCCCGCAATGGAAGCTTCCTGAACCACAAGCGCCGGACTCCCCCACAACGCTGACTTCTCTCTCCTCCACCTCTCTACCATATCGACTTCATTTCTCTCTCGTATTCTTCTCCACTTTTGAAATTTCTCTCCCTAAACTCCACAGTCATGGCGACAGCCCAGCGTACGTTCAGTGCGGGGTCCATCTGCCCGCGGAATGCAAGAATTGAGTCGAGTTGCTGACAAGCTTGTAGGCTCCCGTGTCTTCTTTGACATTCAAATCGGTGACGGCAAGCCTAGCCGGGTTGCATTTGAGCTGGTAAGTTGCCCGCATCCTCTATAGCCGAGTCTGGATCGCATCTAACATCTGGGCGTCACACAGTTTGACGATGGTACGACATAATTTTCTCCCTTGACAATTTGAACACGACTAACAATAGCAACAGTTGTTCCCAAGACCGCAGACAACTTCCGAGCTTTGTGTACCGGCGAGAAGGGCATTGGCACCCAGGGCAAGGAATTGACCTACAAAGGCACGTCTACAATACCCCGCTCCCACAGCGTTGACGGCCACTAACTGCGGTGTTCCGATTCAGGCTCAATTTTCCACCGCGTGATCAAGCAGTTCATGATCCAGGGTGGTGACTTCACTGCGTCCAACGGCACTGGCGGCGAGTCGATTTACGGCGAAAAGTTCCCCGATGAGAACTTCGACCTCAAGCATGACCGTCCCTTCCTGCTCTCCATGGCCAACTCCGGCCCCGGCACCAACGGCAGTCAATTCTTCGTCACCACCGTCCCTACTCCCCACCTTGATGGCAAGCACGTCGTGTTCGGTGAGGTCATCAACGGCAAGAGTGTGATTCGCAAGATCGAGAACATGAAGACTCAGTCCGACAAGCCCTTCCAGGACGTGACTATCGTGGACTGCGGTCAACTTTCTGGCGAGGATTACGAGAACGCGACCAAGCGCCAGCAGGATGCGACAGGCGACCCATACGAGGACTTCACTGAGGACCACCAGGGCGAGCCGCTTACTGCGCCTCTTTGCTTCAAGATCGCTTCCGACCTCAAGGGTTTCGGCAACGCTGCTTTCAAGAGTGGTGATCTCAACCTCGGTCTCGACAAGTACCAGAAGGGTCTGCGCTATTTGAACGAGTTCCCCGACCCTGAAGAGAATGACCCCAAGGAGCTGGGCGAGCAGATGAAGGCACTCCGATTCACCCTGCACTCCAACTCTTCCCTGCTCGGCAACAAGCTCCAGAAGTTCCGCCAGGCTCAGAATTGGGCCACATATGCGCTTCAAGTCGCCGATTCGGCCAAGGCTAAGGATGCCGATAAGGCGAAGGCCTACTACCGCCGTGCTATTGCTCACGAGGGTCTGAAGGAGGAGGATGCCGCGCTGAAGGATTTGCAGGAGGCGGAGAAGCTGGCTCCTGGCGATGCCGGTATCACCAACGAGATCGCCAAGGTCAAGAAGACCGTCAAGGACCGGGAGGCCAAGGACAAGGCCGCTGCCAAGAAGTTCTTCTCTTGAACGGTTTGGAATTGATTCATTCTCATCTTCCTTTTGTTCCATCACGATTCACGACGTGGTCTTCTTATTCACCAATGACCCATGATGTATGATATCACATCATTCAGGCAATTTGCCTTGTTGTTTGTGCGAAGTCAATACTGTAACCTCTTCTACATGGTAGACTCCTGTGGCATAGCATGTCAGACTTAAAGTGCAAGATTTACTCAAATCATCGGGGATAACATTACCTCCAAAAGTACCAAATTATATATTTCAAGTACGACCTGGTGTTCACAGGAACCATCTCTTCTAGAAAATCGGAGTATTACGACCAGGTCTAGGCGACACGATATGCTGATAAGCATTGGCTGTGTTTCAGAATATATAGTGCCGCCTTCGGTCATTTCAAGTTTCTTTCTCTTCCGTTTCTACGGGGGATTCTAAAAACCGGGCAATGGGGCTGTGCAAATGCCGACCATTGGACACTGTACCTCAGGCGCACTGGAAGGGAAGCTACAATTGGAGGTAAAGGACCTGGTTACGTGGCGACTAGAGATCGTAGCGAATGGTGTTCTTGTTCTACATAGAACCGCTTTGGGGAATTGGTGGATTTCCAGAATATGAAGGGGAATAGGTGGACAGATATTGGACAGGGCAAGAACGATGACATGTAAACAGGTCAGAATGTTCAACTTCCTGTTTCATTCCCGAGCGCCCTACTTTGACACGAAAGCGCAAGCTCCCATCTCCTTTTTGACCACATCCGCCTCAGGTCGAATATCGAAATCAAAGATATCCATCGGCACCGAAAGCGTGGTACAGGCATTTGGAATATCCACAATTCCGGCAATATGCCCTTGCACCGGCGCACAGCTGAGCAGCAAATATATCTGATAATCACTATAGCCATAGCGCCGAAGATACTCGATGACCCGGAGACAGGTCTGTCTATAAGCGACAGTCGCATCCAGGAAATGTTGCTTGCCATTCTCATCGACCGAGAATCCCTCGAACGTCAGGTATCGCCCAGGGCCAAACTGCGGCTCTACGGGCCCTGCATGGAAGATTGGTGACTTCATGTCTAGTTTCGCTATGCCGTTCTTGATGACTGTGAACTTCAAGGTGATTACACCGGCCATTTCAATGGCCCCACAGAATGAGATCTCGCCATCGCCTTGCGAGAAGTGCAGGTCTCCGACGGAGAATTTGGCGCCGGGGACGTGGACGGGGAGGTAGATTTTCGATCCGCGGGAGAGGTTCTTGATATCGCAATTACCTCCGTGCTCGGGGCGGCCCTAGTAGACATATGAGTATATAGTTCAGTTTTGTTGTGTATGATACTGTCTCACTGGAATAGTTCGAGCACCCTCTTTAGCGATCTTGCTCTTCACCTCATCAGTAGCACTGCCAGCATGGGCATTCTGGGGATTCGGTGGCTGGGCGACAATTCGATCAGCAACAGTATTGGTTGCAATGAGCTCTCCCTCTCGACGATTCCATTCAGCCAGAACTTCGGCCGATGGAGCACACCCCAGGATTCCAGGGTGGATTAGTCCCGCAAATCGAACATGCGGGATGTGGCGAGATGAGCAGAAGATTCCTTCGAAGTCCCAAATCGCCTTGGCTCTGTGACACCCGTTAGCATCGATGTATGTCATGATATCAATATTGCCTATGTAGCATACGCCTCGGGATAAAGTTGGTCTAGGAAACCCCCTCCATTCTCTTTGTGGAAGACCCCGGTGAATCCCCACGGTTGCTCTTCGAACGGCTGGACGTCCTGAATTTCGACGAGCAAGACATCGCCGGGTTCTGCGGTTTCGATGTCGAATGGACCCGATAGGTAATGAATCTGGGTTAGATCTACATTCTTGATATCGTCGGCTGAGTCGTTGTTTCCGATCTGCCCTCCGGTCCAGTCGAGACATTCGATCTTGACAACTTCATTGTTGGCGATTTTTCCATAGGCCGGCACTGGAGGGTGCAAGAGTTTGTATTAGAGTAACGTGTCTTCAATGGGACTACTATAATCAAGACTTGACATACCGTCTGGATGCCATCTGTTCTATCGGGGACTCAGCAACATTTCATGACTTAAAGAATGTAAGAACTTACATGTAAGCCAGGCTGTTCACCAGCAGGCTTCTCGAGATCGACCTTTAGAGCAGTGCGAATTCCCTTGATACCCATATTTGCACTTATTGCAGAGCTTTGTTCGTCGTTTAATGTGGTTGAGGTAGTAACTATATGCTGGCGAGAGTACAAAACTCAGGGCTGGGGTAAGTTGGGAACCCCAAATATACCGAGATATCCTGGACTTGGTTCCCCTCATGATAACGTGTTACCCCGCAGACGCCCGGTCCATTGACATGTCGGCATGAATAGCAATTACGTGAACCTTGAGTTGTAGATCTGGCTTATCATCGCTTTATCTCGCATAGCAACGGTATGATAAGCTAGTGCCTTATGTACCCCGACGCGAATACCAAGCCTTGGACGTATCCACTGTTGAAGATGAAATGTATTTTTGTAAATAAGGCTCATTCCAAAGGACCGCAACAAACGAATAGTCACCTTATATGCAATAATGCCCTGTGCTTCTTGGTGTCCGTGCCATTTCCAAGGCCATATCTAATTATCGAATGAAATCTTTGCTGTGGAAGTCCTAGTGCTAACGGCTCTCAAGAAAACTTCTTTCCGGGGGAGCCAGAATCCTTGTCATCGTGCTTGTCTGTGTCGACATTGAGCTTGTCAAGATTATCGAGAGATAAGCGCAAGAAATCATGTTTGTTTTTCCAGGTAACCTGGCTTTCCGCGAAACCTGTACTTTCAGCAGGAGGTGGAGGCGGGTCGGTGATCTTGGTGACAAGGTACGCTGTAGATGCCTCAGCAACACCATACATCAGCACACCAATGTATGGGATGCGCAGAAGAACCGTGAAAGCGAAGGCAAAGCCGAAAAGAACACCTTCTCGGTCGCGGAACCACCGACGCTTTTGCTCGGGGGTAAACTTGATGCGCCAAAAGTAGGGTTCGAGCTAGAAGTTGTTAAGATAATTCCCAAGTGGGGAAGGGTAACTGGACTTACAAGCTCACGCATCAGACTGCGCGAAGCAAAGTAGGTATGGAGAAACGTGACAATGTACTTCTTCGGCAGAATCAAGCCTACACCAAAAATGACAGCCGCGGGGGTGGAGCCGACATGGTTTCGGAATGTGTAGAAACTTGCTGCAGGCATAACAAACCGACCGATGATTACAACCATCGAGAGAAGGTAGATACCAAGCATCATGCCAATCTTCTTTGCATAGCGATTGAAGAATGACTTCAGTGCTTCGGGAATCGGTCGAGAAACGCTGGAGCCGCCCTTGGCGGAGTACTGAACAAGATTGGGGTAGTATAGAGAGCGCAAGTGATGGGGATCTTCGGATTTATGTTTCTGGATGTATGTGGCGTCCACCCATTGAATGGACTGCATGAAGCTAGTGAGAGGATTAGCAAACACTGTCATTAAGTTTGTTGCCCAGAGAACGTACATTTCATCCAGCGTGGGCGTCACATATCGCATCAGGGTCATGAGCAAGAATGGCACCTGAAGGACAGACTTGGACATAAATTCCAATCCATTGAGAAGCTTGTCGTCCCAGACAACCTGCTCCAGGTTGACCACCCATGATAAGATGTAGATGGAGAATCTCACACTGAGGAGCTTTAATTCAAGTCAGAAGGAAACCCCAACCAGAGCAGGACAGTTTAAAAACATACTGGAATTTGAATGATCAATTGGATCACGATGCCGATAGCTATCGCGAGAGCTGCTTGGCGGAAATGGTCGTACTTGAATAATTCAGGGTTTGCTAATGCACGAACAGCTGCAAACCTCGGTTAGCATGTATCCAAAATGCTTCCCATTCAGGGGATCATTCCAAGGCAAATGGCAAAAGGTGGCTGGCTACATGCAGCACAAGTAGCACCTTGATCAAAGTCTTGGCATAAGCCGACTTCGATGCTATACAGCCCTGGACATATTGATAGGATTTCCTGTGTAGCCAGGAATTCGCCTAAGTATTTTAAACCAACCCCTCTGAACGATCGGGAAATATCAACAAAACACAAAGGGTGACATACTGCCTACCACTGTGAGCTGGAAGCCGCGGATCACGGCATTTGGCTCGAAGTTCGACATTGTGGCTTTCAAGGGTGTGAAAGACCCAAGTAGATACCACTGCGAATAACCCCAGAAGTGTCGAAATAGCTAAGAAGCTAGCAACAATGCATTCTTGAAAGTGAAACCGAAATAACTGTGGATGCCTGGCCTCCATTGAAAGCTGCGTCATGGTCACCTGATTTAGATGGCCTGAGGCAACAGTGCATCTCCCCGCGCAATACTGCAGATAAGCCCTGTTTCCTGTGTTTCTTGCATCGGATACCCTGGCTTCTCGCATTAGTATTTTGTACAAACATGTCGGTACATTAATATCTTTTACATCCTCTCCTTTATCCATCATTGATCGCATCCATGAACCATGCCCGAGTCTCCAAGTGAGCTAGGTCAGATACAATCCCTCCGCCGCTCCCTCACCCTTCCCACCAAGTTAAATCCACTCGCGCAACGTCGCTCGAGCGTGCCGAATACCCCCGAACATGTAATTTTCTATCACCCATCTGCGAAAATCGTGCATTTCTCCCCAAGAGCGCTCGCCCCTATTCCTTCCAGTTCTGCGCCATCCGACTTCGACTACCCAGTTGACACCATCGAAACACTCCCTTGGCGCTCTGCGACTGAACGAACGGTCGCAACAGCGCCACTAAGGCTAGAGAAGGTCCATGGCTCAACAGCGTTCCTGAAATGTGGAAATGTTGTCCATGCGATCCTGAAAAACTCCCAGTGTTGGTGTGTTGACGGGGTCTCGAAGTTTGTTTTACGCATTCGCCCTCTTACATACTATCGCATCGAAATACCACACGAGACAGAAGACGACCAGGGTTTGGTGCGGGATCTGAAGATCGCGTTGCCAACAGTGCTTCGGTATGAGGTCACGCCATGTCCTTTCAAACGCGCTTTCAGTGTTGAGCTCCCGAACGACGCGATGGCACCTCGGCGTAAAAAGGCCTGGCAACCTAAAGATCGGAGAGAAAGGATACCAACTGTTCTAGAACCTCCGCGAGAGACACCATCACCCTCTTCAATCAGGTCGGATTGTATTGATTCCGCGAGCACCGGGGACGACACCGACGGAAACTTAACTGATGACAGTTGTTTCACTTCAAACAAAGCGAACAGTACAATTTTGGAAACTATTCCCGACGATCGGGAGTCCTATCCTGTTGATGCATTGAGTCCTTCCCCATACATTGGGCCTCCTAGGCGCTCAGTGAGCGAAGCACCCCAAACTTTCACTAGCTTGCTTGCAAAGTTTGAGGCTACATCAGTCGCAGAGGATGACCATGATTTTGAACCCATGCTCAAGACAGAATATGCCTCCAGTACCGATGCTGCAATTCAAATTGATCGTGAGCTTAATGTTACAGACGAACTCGAACCTGAGTTTCTAGCCGACGGTGGAGTTGAAGTCGGGCCTGAATCCGAAGCTGTACTAGAGGCTGAATTTAAAGCCAAAGCACAGCTTGAGGCCAAGCCTGAAGTCGGGCCAGAAGCTATATCACAAGCCGAACCTTTCATCGAAGCTGCAGTTGAAGCGGAGCCCGTCATCCCAATCGAGACTGATGCAGTGTTGGCGGCTGAAACTTCAGAGGAAGTTGTATTCCGTGCTGAACCCACCAGTGCAGTCGAAGCTGAGGCAGTACTAGAAGGTGATTGTATGAACGTCAAAGTTCAACCCGTTCAAACAGCTGCTGAGCCCACACTGGAGGTTGACCATGATACCTCCCTTGCGTCTAGCCCCGAGTCATTCCATTCTGCTGAGCCTCAATCCCCAGATTCAGTCTCTACTCATCCTACATCTGTGGGAGGCCACGATCTACCAGAGTCAGAAGAGATGTTCAATCTTTCGAGCACAAAACACATCATTTCTGGATTGGAATCAGCGCCAGCGGATCCGTGTAAGACGTCACAGCTCCCAACACTCAATATTCCTCAAAGCGACGACGTCCCAAACCCAACCAGCGTCCTTGGTCCTGCATTAATGCATATTACAAGTTCGAATAATCTGCCCAGGCGCTTCGCAGATGCGTTCTCGGACACCTCGCCCTCAGTGGCTCCTACAAGCAATGGGAATCGACCCAGTCGTCTTACGGATGCATCTTCGGACACTCAAATGCGCCCAGCCCTTCATGGCAAGGCCACTGCATTGAATACTGATTTCGACCACATGAGTGCCGAGTTCCGGCGCCGGGCAAAAGCCACAAGAGAGCGTGATGTTTCCCCCATGCCTCATTCTTCGGCATTGTACCAACCATCCAGTGATGATGGCTCATCCTTCATTTCCAAGGCTATCACCCTAGTATTGATTCCCCCCGCCTACCTTTTTGTCATTCTCCTTCATATCGCTGCGCGCATTGTCATCAACCCAACTATCCACCCGACTATCAGCTCCACACCGAACGAGCCACAATCTCATTCCCAGCAAACAAGCAAGGATCCAGCCACAGAGGATGACTTCAGCTTTCCACTGGAGCCTCAGACTTCCTCGGAATACGAGGATGCTGAAATCTTCAAGAAACTCGACCCTTGGGATCTGGACTAGTCGGATGGTTGAAATGCCCACCTTTTAATTTGCTTACCCTTTTACTACTTCATCTGCATCTTTCCCCCCATCTTACGGTCGATTTAATGCTTACTCTTTGTATTCCCCCTTCTCTACACAGACCATTTTAATGTTTTTTCTTGTTATGATATTTGGCACTGATTTGCACGACTCATGGGTGGATATATGGCATGGTTTGTATTCTACTGAATTTCTGTATTCTAGCGTTGCGTGTATCGGGAATCCGGGGTCATGTCAGAAATGAATAATTAATTGATACAAATACACTCTTTCAATCACCAGGCTGTTCTATATAGCCTGACCACAAGGGTCTATCCATCGCCTTTGGCCCTCGTCTACATAATTTGACTTACGATAGGGGAATGTCCAACTGTAATGCTCAAAGCTGTTCATTTCTTTGCCCATCCCACAGGACTTGTATAAACAAACACAGTGCCCGTGAGCCACAAGCGTAGGGGAATGTGTACACTTGATAGAAGTTCGCATTCAAAAATTGAGAATAAGAAGCCAGAACCACCATTGAACGCCAGCTAATGCATGAGAAAACGAAGCCATCAAACACATCGCGTGTCAGGTCCGAGCCGAGTACACAAAGATGATGGTGCAATCTGGGAAATAGACCGAATAGCAAATCTATGCTTTTGTGACCTTAGCAGCTCCGCCCTTGGTCTTGGCCTTGCGGCCGCGGCGATCTCGCTTCTTCAACCCAGTCATTCCTGACTTGCAGACCTCGGCGTAGCGAACATAGAACGCCTCAATATCATCCGGGCTGACGACAGTCGAGAGCTTGATCTTCTGTGACTTCTTATCGGTGACCTTGCTTTCCTTGCTTGCGTTCTTGAGGTTCGGCGTATTGGTGTTTCCATCAGTTGCTCGGATGAGGATAGATGGTTGGGAGTTTGTGGTAGTGGCACCGGGCACATCGATGAGAGGTTTTTGAGTGAGATTTACCGAGCCATGAAGTTGTTGGGAGGTTTGGGAGAGCAGATCGGCAAGAGATTTGAAGAACTAAAGGTGATCGGTGTTAGTGATATAGCTTGGAACTGGTGGTCGTGGTCGCATGTGAGGAGGTGTAGCGGTCAGGTAACCAATATCAATATTTACCTCATCGTGTCCCAAATGTGGGGCCATATTTGGAGATCTTTGTGCAAGGCGCGCGACAATTAAGGAATCTGAAAGCTGGAGCAGATGATCAATATGCAATTGACAGCTGGGAACAACTCACAGTGGGGGATAAACTCCGCTGTGGGTGCCTCTCCGCCTTTGTTTTGGGGCAGCAGAAAAGTGAAAAAAGTTCCCTACCGCCCCGGGGTACCAGATATTGAGGACCGACATTTGAACTCTTTGAGAGCAGACAAAATATCTCAGAGGAACAAGATGCCCAAGATGGCCCGCCCTCGGCATAATACGACCGCCTTGCCTCGGGATCTACGATCTGAGCTCGGAATCCGCGATGTCTACGGTGACAAGAAGCGTCGCCTTAACGGACCTGCTTCGCGCAAAGAACGCCGCCAAAACGAGCGTACGCAGAAGAAATCCCGACATGCAGCCCCGCCGAACAAGAAGAGCTTCGAGCGCCCGCAGCAGAGGCCTCAGCAAAAACCACAACAGCAGGCTCGGGATGACAGCGATGAGGAAATTGGGGACGAGGACCTTGACCTCAACTCGGACGACATGGATCTCGACGAGGGACCCAGTGCGCCGCAGACCAAGTCTAAATCCACGAAAGATGCCGCGAAGAAGCCCAAATCTATTCTGAAGAAAGAAGCGGTCAAACAAGACTCCGAGTCCGAGTCTGAGCCTGAGTCCGGGTTCGGTTCAGAAATCGATCTCGATGAGGATGAGGATGAGGATGAAGATGAAGATGACGAGTCAGATGACGAGTCGGAAGAAGACGCCTACGAGGATGAACCTAAAGAAACCGAAGCCCACATCCCAGGATCGGTCAAGTCTAAGTTGGCGCAAGACGATGCCGAGATTGCTGCGTTGGAGAAAAAGCTTGGCCTCAAGAAAGGAGGTAAACTATCAAAGGCATTTGAGGAGGATGGGCTGGAGGATTTGCTGGGAGACCTGGGTGGTGGCGGCGGCGGCGGCGATGGCTCAGAGGATGAGAGCAAAAAGCGCAAACGAGAAGCCGATGATTGGCTACGAAACAAGAGACTCAAGGCCAAGAGCTTGCAAGCTCAACAACTCGAAAAAGAGGATAGTGAAATGGATAGCGCCGAGGATCTCGATCTCGACGAGGAAATCTTTGGAGGCGATGATTCTGACGAGGCCGCCGAAGGCAGTGATTTCGATGGCTTCGACGAGGAAGAGCGCAAAGAACCAAAAAAGAGGGAAAATCCTTATATCGCCCCGGTCACAAAACCTGAACCCACCGCTCAAAAGTACATTCCGCCTTCATTACGAGGTCGCTCCGACCCGGAAAGCGAATCTCTCACTCGTCTCAAGCGTCAAGCCCAGGGACATCTCAACAAGTTGTCCGAGGCCAACATGCTCTCGATTGTTGCCGAATTCGAAAAGCTTTACCGCGACTACCCACGCCAACACGTCACATCTACTTTGATCAATCTACTAATGGGCATGATCTGTGAGAGGGCTGCCCTCCAGGACACCTTCCTTATTCTGCATGCAGGTTTCATTGCGGCGTTGTATAAGCTCATGGGAATGGACGTTGGCGCTGAGATCGTCCAAACGGTTGTCGAGACATTGGATGCTGATGGTGACGAGCGTGGAAAGTTCCAAGGAAAAGAAGCTACCAACTTGGTCTCTCTTCTCTCGCAACTTTACAATTTCCACGTCATCGGTTCTTCCTTGATGTTTGACTACGTTCGTCTTTTCGTGCAGGAGATCACGGAATCAAACACCGAACTCTTGCTCAAGGTTATTCGGAGTAAGTGATATACCCAACCCATGATAAAACCCTTAGCCCTCTAACATGTACGCAGATTCTGGCCCTCAACTCCGACTCGATGACCCGTCTGCACTCAAGGATATCGTATTGCTCATTCAGCCAGCGGTCGCAAAGGCTGGCGAGGATAGTCTCTCTGTCCGAACAAAGTTTATGATTGACCTAATCACGGATTTGAAAAACAACCGCTCGAAAGCTTCGGCGGCAGCCGGTGCAGGCATCACTACAGAACACATTACCAGAATGCGCAAGATTTTAGGTTCTTTGAACAGCTCTCGGACGATCCGCGCGTCCGAACCTATTAACATCTCCCGTGACGATATCCACAACTCCTCCAAGAAGGGCAAGTGGTGGTTGGTCGGCGCAAGCTGGAAGGAAGATCCTCTTGTAACAGCACAAAGAGAAATGGCTGGTGTACAAATGCCCCAACATGAAGTCGGAGATGACGAAAGCGATGGCGAGCCTGACTTTGGAGTTCTCGCTCGAGCCCACCGCATGAATACAGACGTTCGTCGGTCGATCTTCGTTGCCATCATGTCTGCCAACGACTTCCAAGATGCACATGTCCGACTCATGAAGCTTCGTCTCAAGCGGGCGCAGGAGTTTGAAATCCCTCGTGTCCTCTTGCACTGTGCTATGGAGGAACAGGCCCATAACCCATACTATTCTCTGATTGCGCGTCGGATTTGCGGTGATCAAGGTCGACGCATCAAAGTGTCCTTTATGTTTGCACTTTGGAATATGTTCAAGAAGATGGGTGAGCGAGGAGATATAGACGAGGATGAAGACAACGATTTCGATCCGGATGATGAGGAGAATGGTGTTAGCATGAAGTCTGTGGTCAACTTGGCCAAGATGTTTAGCACCCTCATTATGGACGGCAGCCTGACACTGAGCATTTTGAAGAATCTCAACTTCGCATACCTGCAGCCCAAGACTAAGACATTTGTCGAAGTTTTGATCATCAGTATCATTCAACAATCCCAAAAGTCCAAGAAGAAGAAGAAGTCCAAGAGCTCCACGCCAGATGAGCCTGAGAAGAATGAAGGGCCTTTGATGCAAATCTTCCTGCGTGTCAAGGAGACACCACACATTGCCAAGGGCCTTATCTATTTCGTGCGAAAGGTTGTGGCGAAGAGTGATATTGTGTCCTCCGAGGAACTTAAACTAGTTCGGTGGGGATGCAATGTGGCTGCGGATGCCCTTAAGGCTGTGGCAGACTAAGGATTGCATTGGATTCATCTTGCAATTGCATATAGAATATACCCAAGTTGTTATGCTGCTCATGAGTTGTTTATTTTCCATGCTTTTTCCAAGCTTCAATATTACCATGTAAGAACTTTGCTCCTTTCGAACAAGAGAAGGATGAAATAAGTGACATTCTCCGTACAAATCTAGCAGACTACACAGCTAACTACCCCATACCCGGGGCTCTGTCCGACTAATATATGAAGTTTCTTAAAGCACTAGATGGCCTAACAGTTCGTTTCCAGAATGCTAAACAATCATAGCAAACGTCTTATCATATTCAGTTAAGCGCTAAGCCCCGGGGGCTGATTGGGGCCACGCTTACCACGCATGAGGCTAGCACTGCCTCCTTGGCGACCGGCAGGTTTCCCACATGGAACCCTTCCAGATGACTTCAATTTTTTACAAGCCATTAGATCTTGAGACATTGCATCACTAAAAATGGCGGAACTTGCGGGTACCGCCGTCGGCATCATATCGTTGGGCTTACAGGTATGCCAGGGAATCGTCTCGTACAGTCAGGCATGGCGGGGCTTCGACGAGGATATTCAAAATACGAGGAACAAAGCGAAAGCCCTTCACATGCTACTAAAGACGTTACGTGAAACGATAGAGGAATTACACCACACACGACCGGAAGTTGCTAGCGACCTCGAGGGCAAAGCTATGAGCATGCATAGTTCGATTGAAAAACTTAGGAAAATTGTAGACCGGTTCAAGCCTGCTCGGTCAGAGGCTTTCCCAGAGAAAGTTCGCGCTCAGCTGAAGAAAAGCGTGTATTACTTCCAGAAAGACACCTTGAAAGATATACAGAATCATTTGGATCAGATTCAAAACGTTCTGCAAACATCACTACTGATGTGGGTATAGAATGTGGTCACATATCTTCGAAGATGTGGTTATTGACCTTTGGACAGATATAACTGGCAGGATACAAGGGAGTCACGAGCCATGCAGATTTCAATATACGAAGAGATGCAGAGTATGCATTCCACCCTCAAGAAGGCTATTTCATCTACAGGCATGCCCCCGCCAAGTGTACTTCAACTTGTGTGTGATTCCCAGCGCAAACAACTCCCAATGACGCTGTCGAACAGTGGCCCAATGGTACAGACAAATATAGGGGTTGACAGGTATGACCTGTACAAAACAGCCGCGTGGACTCTGGTTGACCATTTTCAGCAATCGACTCCCAAGTCGACCTATGTGGACTAGGGCTCAGTCAAAGAAAGTGACAAGAGCATACAGCTATCACAGTCGCTTGTTAAATTTTGCAATATCTGCATCTTTCTCTATGATTCGAGGAGCTGGAGGCTTGTCCATTGCCCCAAGCTTGCAATTTCAAAGTGTATGGGGGCGGGATAGTGGAAGATACCAAAATGCCTATGAAATGATATGGGACTGTAGCGGAACTGGTTTGCTCATTCCAACACTGCTGAGTGCTTTCTCCGAGCAACGATTGTCTCCTTATGATGCTTTCTACCAAGAAGGGGATGATGGAGTTGACTCTCTTATGGATGTATGTTCACAAATACCCCTACCCAAAACATGGCTCTTATTGAAGATAGATAATTTGCACCGAATTCTACCGGTATGGTGACATGTATGATTTTCAGATCATTTCAGAAACCATCAAATTCATGCTTGAGTGCGACATGAAGCCAAAAAAAGAGGACCACTGGGGATACGGTGCACTATTGGATATTTGCACAACGGCTGTACTCGTCAAGGAAGATCTTCCATTGATTTTGAACATGATTGAGTTGAGAGGGCCACTTCAGTTATCTACCCGCAATTATCTATCCTCGAGTGCTCCCCACCATGTCAATTTGAAACACAACCTTCGACTGATTCTCTCTCAAGATGAAGACTGTATGTATTCCCACTCTTCCCTCCCCTAAGGGTATATTCTGTCGTCTCTTTACAAGATTAACTTAGATTCTCAGTGATTCAAGCACCGAAGATAATCAAGGCAATCATTCAAGAGTCCGAGGAAGAGCTCAGGGAAGCTTTGGCAAGTGGACATGCTTCGCCAAATGATACGATAGGTACCCTTTCGCCGCTGGAAGTTGCATTTGGGTGGCCAAAGGGCATACAAATTCTCCTACAGTCCGGGGAAAATCCACATTGTCACTTTCCCTTGCTTGCTATGGCCGAGGGAGTGCAAAACCACGCTTCAGCCGCTCTTTTACTTGAAGCAGGATGTGTTATTCAAATGGATGACCTGGTCAAGAACGAGCAGTGTAACGATGGTGGCCAAAGATACTCACTACTGGTCTACGAGTTGGCATCAAGACGAAGAAGATTATGTACGCTAGCACAATCTTCATTGCCACCCGATCAAATGCCACCTCTCGATGGGCCTGCCACAAACATATGCATAGCTCTAGCTGCCCACGGGATAGAGGTCCCAATCGAGTTGCGCTTTGCGACTGATTCACAGGGATCCACAGCACACTACCAGACCTGGTTAGCCAGGATGTCTAGGGATTTCATCAAGATCATGGATAGCATATACGAAATTGGATTCCATGACGTTGATTTGCCAAATCAGTATGGTATAACTCCCTTAATGGCATTCTCTCCTTCCACGGCAGCCGCCGCTCCTATGCTTATCAAGTGTGTAGCCTGGTTGATGTCGAAAGGAGCCAATGTTGAACGGAGAATGCCGGCATCAAATGCGAAAGTTGCTCATTTCCTCACAAGCCAAGTTATTAATATTCATTTCATGGAGATTGGGGGTGAATTGGATAGCTTCGACAGAGACTATCGCAATTGGACAAGAGGAATCACCGAATTGGCAGATGCATGCTTTTTTGTATCCCCTGCACAAGACTGTTGTATTTGCGCCTGTTCTTCTGGCGGATGTACCACACTCTCGGTGGCACTCCGATTCATCGTTTTGGAAACATCCAAATGGCGATCGGAAATCCAGCATGACCACCTCCGAAAGTTGATTCTCTCTCTGAGTGTATGGCAGGACTCCTGGCCAGATCTTTCTCGAGCGATAGTCAGAATCTTGACGTTCGATGCGTTAGGTCTAACGCATACGTGCTGCGCGGAAATAGATCAATTTGAGGTTGTGTGGGTGCCTTATCTGGCCCAAGGAGGGAGAGATGAGACAGAAATTGGCAGGATCTTGGATGACCAGTATTTGCTGCTCAAAGACTTCGAAGAACTGATGAAAGAGATGGAAAGCAAACTTGATGAGCTTGACCTTCCGCTCGAAGAGTTCCTCGATGGCTATTGGTATGACCGTGTAATCGAGTATCTTTCGAGGCGTGACCACTACGATGAGGAGCATGTCATGGAAACAAGAAGGATGGGAATCTTCCTCGAAGCAGAGGAGCTCTGTATACCTGACAGAGTCTCGTTACAATTTCGCTCTCGAGTTCAAGACCTGCAGGATGATTTATTGCTGGATGAACCAAAATGATTCGCTATGGCTTGAGGGTTGTTGGCCATTTGGATTTGGTATCTGATTACCTTACGCCGCGATATAGCTTCTGTATGTTTCACATGGGCAAATTGGACTTTTTTGGTCATAGCCAAGGGCGTAAAATCGTCAATCATGATACACAGAACCATATTTGGTACGTATTTAGGTCTATGAAATATAATGGAAGTGGAAAGATAGATCTTTCCTCATATCGATATAAATCACTGTAACTCATGAAGCTGTTTCAACGAGATCCCATTCCATGGCTATGAGCCAGCCCTCTTTTGTCTCTGGGTGTCCGCCATTTTCAGCCGAACCACGCTCCGACACGTGGCCAGATACTTTACCAGGTGTTTGATGTTCGCAGAAGTGATTTCCAAACTCTAAACCCCAGTTGAGCCCTCTGTGAATCCCCACTACGTCCCCTTTCCGAAGATCGGGTGTTATAGTGGCATCAGAATGCGAGTGAACTGGACGAACAGCGGATTTAGATCGTGAAGGTCCCATAATCATGAGGTTCAAGGCAGAATCAGGATTTCTCCCTTGCACATGATTCCCAGTAAGCACTTCTGCTTGAAGAAAGGCGAGAGAGCCACATCCGCTCAGGGCTGATTGACTGACGTGAACGACACGCGCAGTTAGGAGATACGCATTCAGCTTTTCCAGCGAGGCATCTGCCGCCTGCGAGTCTGGGGCTTGAGCTAAAGGGGGTTTCGGCAACTGGCCACGTTTTGTCCCCATTTCCAAGACCCAGCCGCGTACCTCGGCGGCCATTCCGCCAGGGATATAATTGGACACACCGGCTCGGTTTCGACCACGGCGATGCAGTGTGCGCGAGGAGGGAGAGAACGGTGCAGGGATATCCTCTGCATCCAGATTTGGCGACGGGGAGCGAGGCAAAATAAAAGCCGGTTTCCGTCTCTCAGGCGGCGATATGCCTGGTGTGTCTGGTTTGAATTTGGGTGCGGACTGGCTGCTGGGAGGCTTCGCTGTTGAGGAAAGCATAAACCGAGGACGACTGCGGAATGGTGTTCTCATATTGCCTGGCGTTGATGCAGCTGATGCGAATGGACGAGCACTTGGTGCGGGAGTTCTCTGGGTACCCATATCCCATGTCGTAGTGTTTTGCCCGCTTTTATCGGGCAGGTCGATGGGATTAGCTGGGGTATTTGCGGTTTCAGGTGGTGATGACAATATTGGATCAATCTGTGCGAGATTGCTATTGAAGGGCGTCGCGCTCTCTACACGACGCCGTTTATTCCCATCTCTGACCGGTGCAAACAGTGCGTCGAACTCAGCGTCTAGGATGCCTAGAGTCTCTGGTTCTTCAGGAGGAGTGCTGTCTATGGCATCATCTGGTAGTTTATCCACGTCTCCCCATCCGATTCGTATATCCCCGATATCTGCGGCATCATCAGAGTCCTCGATCGCGTCGCGTTGTTGGCGCGCGCGGGTGGCACTCTCGGTAGCATGCGGGTTACGCGCGACTTTACGCGTTGAAGATGGCCCATCGTCATCTATCACGTCAAGATCATCATCTTCCTTCTGTGCTATGCTTTGTGACAGCAGAAACCGAGGTGTGGGCGCGAATTGAGGCCCACTGCGACGCGTGGATGGGTTGCGGCGAGAGAGGCGAAATGGTGATGGAGTCTGTGACCAGTCCGTTTAGCCTGGATAATCGATAAATCACGCTGTAGACATACTGCCGGAAAAGGCATTTATCTGAAATGATTAGAAGTCTGGAAATAACACCATGGCGCTGCTTCAATGCACCCAGTTCGATGGATCTGTGGACTTGGGGGTTCGCGTTGATGCTGATGGGTAAAATCGGCCATCGCGCAAATTGTTTTGCGGCTCAACAACACACCCACATTACACAGTTTTTCGGCGAAATGAACTCACTCTTCTATTAACAAATGCTAGAAATGGTTGAAGAGACAAGCTATGAACAGGTTTAATAGACAGAAAATCCCCAATTTTTGGAGATATCGAACACTTATTTACGATTTCGGTGCATTTATATATCCTGGCATCTGACCTCGGGACCTTGCTCTTCACCTAAGCGAATAGTGATTATTTGATCGAAATGATACAAAAGCAGAAATGCAGAGAAACGGTCGATTATCCTATACCTATCGAATGAAGAACTTCAGGAGCTTCAGCGATGATGCAGCGGAGGCCCTAACCCCCTGTGATTATGTTCGGTGTTATTGATCTAATCCATGGCACAAATTATGTACAGCATACCTGCCCAGTTTTTATGCAAGCTTAGAGTGACGGGGGCTAATATCCCTGTACGAATGAAAACAGTTTAGTATCATGTTCTTCAAGAAAAGGAAAAGCAAAAGTGATTGGATGTGTCATGATGGTCTCATTTATTTTGACATGTAATCCGAAGGCTATAAGTACATGTATACAAAAAAGGAAATGTTCAATATGCGAAAAGCCATGTGCCAAATGTAGTAAAAAAAATATAGAAAAAAATGCTTACATCTGTGAAAAGTATTCATCGAAATTATCCGCGGCGACCTTAGTGCAGTCAAAGCCGTAGATCTCACGCTGCACATCGGCATCGGCCCACTTATCAGGCACAGGACCCTTGCCAGCGCGGAGGGCAGCGAATTGCTTGTCACGCTCCTCCTTGGCAGCACCCTCACCCAAATGCAAGGCACGACCAGAAGCGGTGGCCATCTCGACCAAAGCCTCAGCGCGGCTCTTGCGGACCTTCTCGTAAACACGGAGAGCCTTGTTGATAGACTCAGGAGTGACATCAGGGAGCTTGGAGAGGACCACACCGAGAACGGCTCCGTCTTCAATAGCTTGGGCAGCACCCTGGGCCAGGTGAGGCAGGGTAGGGTGGCAAGCATCACCAACCAAGGCAACGGAATCGTGAACCCAAGTGGGGAGGGGCTCGTGGACGCGCAGCTTCCATTCGCAGACTTCACCTTCGGGAACGTAGTTTAACATGCGCTGAACCATGGGGCAGAAGTCAGAGAAGACGCCCATCATGGCAGGCTTGGAGCCCTTGGTGGTATAGGTAGCGTTTGTGGCGGCTGCGAAGTTGGTATCGGGCTGGGTGGTGGAGAGGTTGTAGATAGTATTGTTGGAGACAGCGTAGGCAATAATGTGACGCTTTTCACCAATCCAGCGGGTTACACGGTTGCTGTTGATGAGGGCCAAAAGCTCGGAATCATCCTTGATCTGCTCCTTGTGGATCATGATACGATACGCGGCCTGTTGGGTGTCCTTGACACCAACGTCGACACCTAACCGCTTCAGCATCTCAACGCGGGTGACACTCTTAATTCCATCCGCAGCGAGAAGTACATCGCACTCGACCTTGAACGGAGCAGCTCCCTCGGCGCGGGGGCTAGCTGTGAATGATGGCCGAGGGCCGAAAGAACCCACGATATCTGCGTTGATTCCGAAGTGGAACTTGATTGTCGAGTGCTGCTTGCAACCCTCGTATAGTCCATTGGCTAGCGATGCACGATGGCCAACCATGTGCTTATATCCGTATGTCTGTTCAATGTACCGCAGATCCACATATGCGTGCTCAGTGTCCGTTGCGCCGTCTGCAACCATAGATTAGATCACGGTAAATTGTTTGATTGGTATATCGCAACATACCTCGCACTGATGTGTCTTCAATATTCACTGCCTCGGCCTCAATGCCCTTCCAGACACCGAGTCCATCCAAAACGCGGGCCATGTTAGGTGCTAATTGGATACCAGCGCCAACAAAGCCAAGGTCACGGGCACTTTCATAAACATCAATGTTCTTGAATCCCTGCTGAGCCAGAGCCAAAGCGGAAGTCAGACCACCCATTCCCGCGCCCAGAATGGCGATATGTAAATCTTGAGGTGCTTTCGTCATTTTATCGGTGATGTGCGGAGAAGATATATACGCGATGAGTGTTAACAGGACAAAGGAGAAGCAGATCTAAAATATGTCAAAGGAAAGATAGCGAAAAATGGTAAGAAGTATCTCTTTAAAAACTAGATATCCAACGGTGCAATGCCCGGGTGATGCTGCCGACCATGCCTTGCGTTTTGCTTCATTGGCACGGCGGAGTAAGTCTTTCCCGCTTCTCCCACATTCTCCCCACAAGCCCGTCGAGGGGGGTTGGAGGGGCTTATACGGCCTGGGGATTTCATCATTCCCTGCTTGGACTTTATCCGCTCTATAATTTGATGATATGTTGTAAGCGGGAAACTATCCCGAGGTCAACGTCAAATGCAGCTCATCGTCGCACTGCATGTTAGCCCTACTCTCATGGCCAAAAATCAGCCTTAAGGGGTCTTAAACCACCTTGCTTTTTTCCTTTGATTTTTTTCTCACGATTAACCTACTCTGAACAACTGTGAGCTACAGCAACTGTGAGCTACAGAGGCGCTCGAAATCAGTTTCACCTCTTTACTCTCTTCAATTCTTTGTCGAACTCTATTTTGGATAACGCCATACCTTTTACGGTTAGCTTACCCCAGACCCACACTCCTGGGTGTATCTTAGTATGGGCCATCTAAAAGAGGAGGGTTGAGCATTAAACCGGAAAGGAAACGCCAAGAAGTGGTAGAGTAAATCAAATACTTAGGATGAAGCTCATGTTGAACGATGCCCAGGTGGGGAACTGTGGTGAACTAATACCAGATCCTGACAGAGTGCAGATCCAAAAGGATGCTTCTACGTAAAAAGAAGGACGAAGCATAGTACTTAATTAAGAAAAATACATTGGACGATAGTCCGAACCAAATTATGATCAGCTTACAGCACAACAAATATAGCGTAGAGTGAACAACGGCGTCTGGTGAAAAGAGCCATGGTGTAATCATCGCTGTGACAAAAATAGGGGCGTCGAGCTAGGCAACCACGCGGCTAAGCTTGAGCATGATGTTGAGAAGGGAAGGTGGAAATGTGACCGGAAATTGTCCATGTTGCATATAAGCACGCAATTACTGCGTTGCCTTGCAGCTGGTGCAGTAATTGAGAGTGATATGACAAGAGTTTGACAGATATGTGGTTCCGCATTTTCCGACACCGTCATTTGCCTTCATGTACTCAACACTAGTAGAATTGTCAGCGCGAGTTAGGAGAAGCGGATAGGGGTATTGACTTACCTAGCCTTGATCTGCCGTCCAGTCATGCCAAAACCATAGTCATCGTTATCGCATGAATACATCGCCGTACAACCAGCTTGGCCAAACGTTGCAGCTATAATAATGCCACTATTGATCTTCGCTGTGTAGGATGTGTAGGATGAGTATATTGTGTCGTCTTCATACTGCGCATACGCTCTGTCGCAGGCATCGTCAACACTGTGGCATTGACCTGAACCATCGTGGTTACTGCCGGTTTGGCTTGGCGACGCAGTTTGCAGTGTCGTGGGTGCGCCAGCACCCTCCGTGGCAAGATTCTCGACGATCTGCGACGGATAAGAGAGAATTTCACCATTCGATTCGGTGGTGATGAAAGGCACGGGAGTCGCTGTAGGCGTAGTCGGAGTGAAGCTTGGTGTTAGGGTGATCTTGGATGGGAAGCTGGTGTACTCGTAGCACTGCCCTGAGATGGGAGAAGCCGTCGCCCAATAAGTTTGTCCCTCAGTCATTGTTGAACATTCACAATAAGGTGTGCTAACATCGGGGCCTCCCTTGTTCAAACACATAGGATCGCTAAGGGTTGGCAATGCCGACGTTATTTGGGGAGTGGGTGTCGTTTTAGGAGCCGAGGTTATGACCGGAGCCGAAGACGAAGATTGAGAGCTGGATGGAGCCGTCGAGCTGACTGGAGCCGTCGAGCTGACTGGAGCCGTCGAGCTGACTGGAGCCGTCGAGCTGACCGGAGCCGCCGAGCTGACTGGAGCCGTCGAGCTGACTGGAGCCGCCGAGCTGGGTAGAGCCGCCGAGCTGCCTGGAGGCGTTGAGCCGACAGGGGCTGTCGAGCTGACTATGGATGTTGAGCTGACAGACGATGGAGCTGATGACGATGTTACAGATGAGCTTCCGCCAACATGGAATGATGACATGGTCAAAGGCACGGCAGACGATGCAGGCGTCGATGATGGCGGGCCTACATGATATGTCACAACTGTGAAAGGCAAGACAGACGATGCAGGCGTCGATGAGATTGGGCCGACATGGTATGTCACAATTGTGAAGGGCACAGCTGTTTCCGTGGGCGTTTCAGTAGTGGTGGTGCTCGAGTCTGTGACTTTGAGATCACATCCAGTGGTTGTACTAATCTCAGTCGAAGTGGTGCAGGTTGACGTCGTTGTATCTGAGGTTGTAATGGGGGTACAAGTGACAAACTCGGTGGAGTAGGTCGAGGTAGACGAGGATGTGCACGAAGATGAGCTGCTGCTAGAATTATCATCGCCCTCGTCGCCCCCATCACCCCCTCCGCCACCACCACCGCCACCACTGGTGACAATTGAGGGCATGTTTGTGCCTGAAGAACAAAAGATTAGGCATGGAATACTAATACCACTGGGGAACCCAGGGAGGTTGAAGTATATGCCCGGGGTTGAGATTCCCCATATGCCAATGCCGCCAACAACCGGGATAATGGTTTCGTGGCCTTCCTCGGTCGTCGTTAAGACAGTGTTGCTCGCCGAGAGGGATTGAGTAATGCTGCCAGTGCTGAAGGCAGACGGGGGAGTAGTATAGGTCACCAACGGAGTGGGTGAGCCTGATGTCGTTGGCATAGAAGTTGAACTGGCTATACCCGATACTGATGATGGGGGTGAAGCACCCGTAGTTGTTTTTGATCTGCTGGAACCGGGTGGTTGAGAAGATTGAGAAGCGTCAGACGGAATGGCCGAGGGTAGCGCAGATGAATACGCTGATGAGAATGCCGAGTGCCCTGAAGAACTTGGGGTCATCGAAGAACTTGATATCACATCGACATTGCTGGAACTAGGTGATTGAGAAGATTGGGAAGCGTCGGACGGAATGGCCGAGGGTAGCGCAGATGAATACGCTGATGAGAATGCCGAGTGCCCTGAAGAACTGGGGGTCATCGAAGAACTTGATATCACATCGACATTGCTGGAACTAGGTGATTGAGAAGATTGGGAAGCGTTGGACGGAATGGCCGAGGGCAGTGCAGAAGAATAAGCTGAGGAGGATGCCGAGTGCTCTGAAGATGGTTCCGCAAATGATGAACTCTGGATCGTATGCCTACTGCTCGGAGATTGAGTGTTCCCGGCAACGGAAGAACCATGACTCTTTGTGGTCGAGAAAGTGGACGAAGCTTTACTGGAAACCCCAGAGGACGCACCAGGCAAACACACAACCTGCTGTGCCAGCAGCAGTAACAACGAGATGTGAATCAGCGTCATATTTGCGCACACGGATTCCGAGATTCAGGAAATGGGAGAGGACCTGGAGTCATGTTTTTCTAGTCTCAGACACTTGAACATAGGGGAGAAGTCTACCAGAAATAGAACAAGAGTGGCCCCCAACACAGATCTCCCGACGTCTGTTCTCATCCAATTCCGATTTTGATCAACAGGAGTTTCTACTTCCGGCGGCATTTGGGGCTTATCCTCAGCCGCTTAATTTTACTTTCTGGGCCGTGATTGGTCTCGTCGTGAAATTCTAATTGCAGAAGGCGAAGAAGAGGTTTTAAGTGGAAAGGACGGAGATTAGGGTCAAATTAGGCTTATACTTGCCTTTTCTTCAAATCCAGGAACAGGATCAAGCTGTCAACCTTGGGGGAAGGTTTGGCTAGTGCTTATCTGCAGGAGGCGTTGGGGGCGGAAGGGATCCACCTGGTTCCATGGGGCCAAAGCTATCCTGTCCAACCATCTGTTGACTAGCCTTGTATCGGACAAATACTTCCTAATGTTACCTTGTCCTTTTGAAAACAAGCTCCGATCTATTACCTTATATAGACAACCCAAACATTTCCGTGAACTTTCTGGGACGGGACGGGACGCTATGGCACGCCTAACCTAGAAAAATAGCGCATCTTCATGTTGTATTTGGGGGCGGTCGACTGATGAACAGGAAGGGCGAAATTGGTACCAGCCGCAAGGAATCTACGGAGTAGATTAAGGTAGATTATTTAGCCCCTATTTTTAACAAATGCGTCGGAGATACTATTTAAGCCAGCAAGATGCCAAACGGAATTGGTGAGCATAAAAGTCTATTTACTCTGGAGTAGGCTCATCCGCAGCTCCCTTCTTCTTCTCTGTTACGGCAACATCCTTGAGAGACCTTCCAGCAATGGATTTCAAGATGGGCAACAAAAGGCTTATGGCCCTGGTTCTCTTTTTCTTCTCCTATCTGACACTCTGCTTGTCGGTGCCCACAAAGTCTCTTGTGTGAGTCTATCCTACTACCACAAGTTATATCGAGACTACAAGGACTAACTGGAAAAGTTCCCTATCCAATCAAACTCCTAGGCGTCTATCCTTCGCCCGGTCTCTGACGAGTGCGCACCAAGGTGGTCTCGTGAAGCGCGTGGATGCAAAATATCAACAATTTGCCAATGATCTCGAGACCGCCACAATGGTCGATCAGGATGCTGAACAGTTTCTACCGTTTGGGGCAGCGCCCGCCATCTTCGCTAGTCACGGCTTCCAGGGTTGCATTGGGGTGGCGATTGTGTCCAGCCAGGGCGCCATCATTGCGCATTACACCAACGCTGCATCGGCAATGAACCAGGCCAGGACTCAGCTACCCAACCTGATCACGAACAATATAGACGCTTTGGCGGGAGCTAAGGCGTGGATCTATGCACACGTTTCTCTGTCAGATACCGACACATACACCTCTGAAACCAACAATAAGGTGTTGGAAGACATCGTCAAGACCAACTTGCATATCGTTCCTGCCCGAGTGAAGTACATTGAACCGGAGGATATGTTGGTGGACGAACAGGATGAACTTTTGGACCCGGATCAGTACCCTGAAGATTTATTGTATGGGGCCATCATGATAAAGCATCAGGCAGGCCAGTCGGCGGGAGCCGATGTTATCTTCATCAACCTAGATTGGCAGAAGGCCGCTGCTGAAAACAGTAAGCCACAGCCATCATCGTAGATCCAAGTATTATACTTGGATCTATTATACTTGGATCAGGTTGGAGGCATCACGGTAGAGAATAATTTATAATGCATACTCGAGCGGCCATCTTGCGTATAATGAATCATATTTAGAAACTGTACAGATCGTTGGTAAACCTAGCTCCCAGCTACGCTTCCCAGAACTCCAGAATGGAAACTACCTCCTGATGCTTGCGTTTGCGACCCCGGTCTTTAGCAGTGTGGCCCAGCGTGTCCGGCAAGTTGGGATCGGCACCCCGCTCCAGTAAAAACCGCAAACAGTCCACAGAATTCGTCTCCGCGGCTACATGAAGTGCCGTTGCCAGTGAATTTGACTGGCGATCAGCGAACATCTCTATGTCGTACTCGAACTCTCGTTGGTTGATCGGGAAGGCTTTCTCGTCCAGTAGCCATCGCATGATCTCCATGCGCTCTTCGCTCGACCCTTTAACAGCCCCGTGCAGAGCATTGCTTCGCGCAAAGTCTGCACCATGATCGTCAAGAAGTCTGAGAGTGGACAATGAGCCATAGCAAGCAGCATGGCTCAGTATATCTTTCGTCTTGTCTTTATTTCGGGCATTAGGATTTGCCCCATGCTCGAGACACCAACGTACCCGGTGCTCGTTGTTGACAACCTGCCTGCGGCCATTTGTTAATACCATTTTATTTCGAACAGACAACCAGATATGACCAACCGTAATATAGTACAAATATTGTTTTGAATGGGTCGATTGATATCCCACCCATGTGAGAGAAAGACCTCTAACACGTCAAAGGAATTCCCCAACATGGCTCTCTGTACGGCGTGGGAGGTAATAGGGCATTCTCGATGCTCGAGAAGGTACTCGACGACGTTGACCTTGTTTTTATGCGAGGCTGCAACCAGGATCCGATTGCGAATATACCAGTCCGTGCGAACCTTCTTGGTATTCTCCGGTGGCCGATTCAACTCGTTGAAAATTTCAAGCTGCTCAGACATCAAGGGCTTAAACCAAAGATGATCCCTGCTGGTTGCTGACGCACCGTCGGCAGTGAGCTCTGTGTCCCACGTTCTCAATTGATTCTGTAGTTCCGTGAGGTCGCCATCTCTAGCGGTGGCTAGCATCTTTGTAAAGAGCTCCTCGCGAGGGTTTTCATCGTTATGGGTAGCCATAATCAACTTAGATCGAAGTTCTTGCCAAGAGAAGACACAGGTTAGCTTACACAGGCAATCCTTATTTTCCGAGGGCGGTGAAGAGCGTGAGATTTGCTTTTTTAAGGGGGATCTCGATTGAAGAGTCTTGTGCCCAGGTGTAATGTAATCTATGGATGTTTACACTCTGTCATAGGCATTTATATTACTAGCCTGGAGTTTAGTTGGAACCTTCGAAGCCACGTGGGTCCGGGTGGCCCCGGCACCTGCCCGGGCCCTACCTAGGCCTTACTGTGATTATGTAAAATTCTTGGGCTCTAACTACAGGAGACCAAAGGAGAGGAGGGAGAGAGTTGTATTGGGAAAGGAGCGAAGCTCCTGACTGACTAGTTAGTTACCTCGTTAACTAACGTATTTCACATGCGAGTGACGCGCACAAGCGAGTGGCGCAGTCCGAAACACATAGTAAATGCGATAAACTACAACCTTATATCTCAACAACAACGTCCTTGTTTGATTCCATATTTACTCGATCGCTGTTGATAAGGATTTTGAATGATATATATCAATTTCAAGGCAATCAAAAGGTTGCAATATTTTACAACCTTATATCTCAACAGCCACCTTGTTATTTGATTTCATTACTTGTCGATAGCTATTGATAAGAATCTTTAATACTATATACCAATTTCAAGAAAATTGAAAAGGTAGATTATCATGGTATTGAAAATTACGTTGCCAAAAGCCAGAAATATATATATCGCAATCACAAAATCAGAGAATTTCTCCGAACTCCACAAAGAGGCTAGATATGACCTAAAAACCATTAAGCTATAAGGAAAGCCTCATATAGACTACCTTTCTTGAGATATCAAGTTGTAATCTATCGCATTTACTATGTGTTTTGGGGTGCGCCACTCGTTTACATGCGCCGCTCGTTTACCGAATACGTTATGAGTGGCTATATGCCTAAGGCACTAACTAGGCCTAAGGCCGTAGCACAACAAAAACTATAACTAGGGGAGTCCCCGAAGTCCACTCCAGGGCTTAACTCTGCAAGCAAATATCAAAAAGCGCTTGACCGAGGAAGAAGCGACCCAGTACACACCAAAGCTGACCAAGGAACCTGATTTGAATTATTACCACTTCGACGAAGTCCCCCAAAGACAGCAATATCCCACTATAAACCCAATCTAGTATGTATTTCTGTCATCCGTCTCCATTTAGTATTACAATCATAGCTTAGTGGGGCTTGGGATTGGGCTTGGACAGCTTCATACATGTCGCAAGTAGGAGCTTATGAGGGAGTGGATGGATGTCCGGAAGAAGCGTGATAGAGCAAAAAAGTGAACTCGTGATATCTCGCTCTGCTATGACTCTCATGAATATTGCATGCCTTGATTAGTGGAGTACATTTGCTTTTGCTGGTTGTTAGTCACGCTCATTTGAGATTTGCATGGCATCTTGAACCGATAGCACCCAAATCATGAAGTGAGGCTCAGTGAAAAGCTGCTGATAAATGACCCAACAATGGAAATACTTGCTGGAAGTTTTCCATAAACACCAGAGAGCTTGGTTTTATGCTTGCGTTTCTGCTTGGCTTTTTAGTGCATCCGTATTACATTGTTGTGTTATGATGGAAGACCAGCCCAAACAGACATCATGGGCTCTACTGAGATCCGAGTTGCAAGTCATTTTCTTTACCAGATAAGGTCTTTCAATTTCTTTTTCTGACAGTTAGAAAATTTGATATTTTGACCTGTTTTTCATATAATTCTTGGCTGCTGATTTTCATCACATTATACATTGGTCATGTTATCCCTCACCTTTTCACTTGTTTGCAGAACTCATAGGAAGCTAGAGCTACAAGGCTCCACACCCTACGTAGCGGATTTCCTCTACAAATTCTTGGCATTCCTGTTCCATTTTAGTGGTCAATGCCAATACTAGCGTGGCATAGAGAAAATATGGCGAGCTGAACACCCGTCATAGCTGGTTATAAGGACCCTCTTTACTGGACTGCTAGATCCATAGATACCACTTTCTCTTATAGTTTGGCAAATGGATACTGTTGCTAGGATCCACCACTTGATCTTGGGCCAGGTGACATCATTATGCATCTTCAAAAGTGTGGTACTTAGCTCTGGTTGTGCTGCGGGATCAAAATCAGCTAGGCCACCCACTAAGATTTTCCCTCAACATCGCTGCACATTTCGATTTTCATCTCCTCCACTAGCTAAACTAGCTAACAAGCAATATATAATCAATAGTAACAGACTAAGGTCGATCTCTGTATACTTTCAAAGCATTTTGTATTGCACACTTACGCATACTGCATGCGTCAACGCGCGGTTTCCACAGAACTTATAGCGAGCTTCAGCTATAAGTTATAGTTGTAGATATTCCACAATTTGACGATCAATAGCGGTGTGCTCAATTTGGTCACTCATAACACAATACTTGGGTCGTCGAGCGGTATTGGGGTTCGACGACCCGAGTAGGGGAAAACCTTAGCAAGCATTGTCATTATCATTGATAGTTTATCTTAATCATGTGATCAATCAACCACCGAGCGCTTGATACATCTGCTCAACATCACTTCCCATCTGGAGCTCAAGCTCCTCGAGCTGAAGGCGGTAGAACTCTATATCTCCTCCTGCGGCTGCCACCATGGCTACAGGCACAGCATCGAGGTATTCTTGCTTCGACATGGAGACTAAATTGGCCCGTAAGAAACTTGATCTAGAAGAAAGGAGATATGACTCACCATGTGCATTTACAGACGCACGCTTAGCAGACCACATGGCATGATAAGCATTCGTTGAGCCATCGTTATTGGCATCTCCGACAACATAGAGGCCACTGACACTGGACTCCATGTTGCTTTTTACTTTGACGGACTTTCCGTCCATCTCCAATCGCAGCTGCTTGTGAAGACTGGATGTCTGAGCAGTCGGCACGGAGATGAGCATTCCGTTCGTGATCAGAGGATTGGGGGCGCCACCATTTAGGTGGACCTTATACTCGTCGTCTTTGGGTTCCATATTCGTCGTGGTCCGTTCGACCTTGGTGATATCGTTCTCCCGGATAGGGATGTTGAAGGTCTTCTTAATTACACTCTCCCATCCGGGCCAGCGAGCCTCTGCTTCATCTTTGTCTTCTTTGCTGATCGGCCCGCCTGTCACAATGGTTATGTCTGTTGTCAACTTCCTAATATTGAGGGCAGACCCAATGGCACTTGCAAGCTTGCCATAGACGACCATTTTGCGGTTCTTGTAGTCATGGCCATCGCACCAGGGGCACCAGAATACACCTCGTCCGAAAGCTTCGGCAAAGCCCGGCTTATTGGGTAAGACATCCTTAATCCCAGTAGCCAGAATGATCCTCTTGGCAGTGACCATTCCGCCCTTGTCGTCATAGACCCGGAACCCCTTCTCGAGAGAAATAATGCCAATAACTTTCGTCTTGCGTGTGGCCCAGAATGAGTAGTCGGGATATAGCTCGTCAATCTGCTGTCGGACGGCTGTTCGGAATTTCAGTGGCACCTGCCCTATATGGAGTCAGTATCTGAACTCTGAGCTCGTGCAAAATCACTTACCATCTTGGCCAAGTACATCGTGCATATATCTAGTCTGTTCATTCCGATACTCCTGTGAATCATACAAGAGTGATGTTCGCGCAACTCGAGCAAGAGACATGGATGCAGCCAGGCCGGCAGGGCCACCGCCAACGATAACAACATCATAGTCAAATTTGGTAGGGTTCCATTCATCAGACGAAGTATAGTCTGTTATATTGAACGCACCATCATCGATCACAACATCTTGGGTAAGCTCGGAGATGTTTTCCTCGGACGCTTCTGCCAAAGGCTGCTGGGGGACAGTAAGAGCAGAAGAAAGGGGCAGAGATAGGAGGCAGAAGCGCCAGAAGGAAAGGTTGAAGAACACCATTTCAATAATGCAATTGTTGACGACTGTGTAATTTGTATTTTCTAGGGCATATCCTCAATATTTATATTTCGAAGATGAGCCGAGCTCGTATTCCCCGCCGTCTTGAGCTGTCTAAATACTTTACCGCATCACACCGGGATTATGCAGTGTGATTGCTTCGCACGATCTTCACTGCATCCGAGACAATGAGGCAATGAGCCACATTCTCCTCTCTTGGTCGACAGCATTGATTTGCGGGCTTAGAAGTTCTGGCCCACAGATTGCCCAAGCTGCGCAGATGTGCGCAGATCCGAGCAGCTTTGACGAATCGCCACGCGTCGATCGCATGGTTCTTCCACCTCAGCTAGCCACTCCCACTGCCGATCATAGTATTTGCCTGGAGTTCAGAGAAGAGAGTTCTAATTGGTCAAGGGAGGATCCCCCCAAACCCCCCAACCCCCAATGCCACATTTTCTCTCGTAGCCTCCGCCGTCAAGTACCTCGTACATGACCAAAGTCGGACTGCGTAGAGAACTAATCTTGATAGGTCAACCTCATTCTCGTTTGTTTTCCCCATAGTTCCTACTCAGTACTGCCCTTTCTATTTGTGCCTGGCGTCGGTCGCGCAGCTGGTAATCCCCACTTCGCCTGGCGCAGACCTCCAGGGCTTCGATCGTGTGTAGATATGAACGACAGCCCGTATCACGTTGATTAGATCTCTCAGCTCAAGAGCTCGGTTTGTGACTTGAATTTTCCATCTATATACATATGATGTGTAGAGCAATTACTTTTTAAAAATATCTTGCTCAAGTACGTGGACACAATACCTCTTAACCAGCTTCATGGTGTTTTCCCTGACCTCTACTTCTTATGTTGTATGACATCATAATGCAGTTCAATACCCCCGGGGCCAAATCACCATATTCGTCAGCATAAGTTGATGCAGTGCAGTCATCAAACATTGTTACCCCTCCATCTGCGGGAACTTGCACTTGTATGCTTTTCCAACAAAGAATTTGACCAGATAGCATCAAATATTTACATCACGATCCTCACTGACTTATACTCAAAATGAGTTTGCAAGGTACCATTACACCCTGTCACTGTGGGTGGTCCTACACAATATCTAATCAACGGTTATTCTTAGCGTATGTCGACAATTCTCTTTTGGGGACCGGGAAAATCAACGAAGCCGCTATATACTCAATAGCAGACAACAGTGTCTTGGGAGCCAGTTCAGCTTTCAGTGTAAGTTGTTGCTTATTGTTTGCTCTTCGGTATTGGCTGGAATGGCTAATACATTTATCTTTACATCTCTTTACAGGTTAAGCCTGAGGAGATACAGAGCCTTGTGAAAGGCTTTACCGATTCAGGCCCTCTGTATTCCAATGGGATTCATATCGGCGGGACCAAATATATTGCGATCAAAGCGGATGACCGGAGTATATATGGCAAGAAGGTAAGATTTACAATTATACCGCTGATCTACAATTCACTAAAAGCGAGTGAGTTTAGGGCAGCGAAGGATTTTGTGCGGTGAAAACAAAGCAGGCATTACTGATTGGGCATTATCCTGAAACAGTACAGCCCTGGGAGGCGGCAAACGTTGTTGAGCAGCTTGCGGATTACCTGATCGGAGGAGAATACTGAGATACTTCTTCATTATTCAACGCGATAGTTGAACAACGATCTGATCGTCACCTGTTCTATTGCTAGACCGATTAAGTTATTTTCTTCGTATTAACCCCGCATTGTGAATTCACGCGGGACGCCTCCTACCCACAATTCTATTCCGAAATCTTTGACATATATAATTGCTCCTATACAATAGTAGCATCTCGCCCTACCCTGGGTGGAACTTGCCAACCGCTAATTGACTAGGTGGGTGGCATTCTGGCAGAAGAGATTTCAATTGATAATCGCTCTGGGAATTATATCCAACCGGAGTGGGGGATCAGCATTACATTGGCCAGATTTGTGGACTTAGAGATCGAGCAAAAGTGGGCTCAGTGCTATAGATACTTTGGCTAAACATATAGAACAGAGCATGCATATGGCTTCCTCGTGTTGGATGGTCCCCCGGAATCTATCGACTATGCCTTTGGAGATTCCTATACTGTCGCCCGGCGGAGCAGTAAAATGCTGAATCGCAGGCGTTCCATGATGACTACCAATACCACTGTCCTTGAGTCAACCTTTGACCATGCCGAAGAGACAATCTTCGTGTACTGCAACTACAGACATGAGAAGACATTAATGGGCAGAACAAAGGCAGATGTAAACGGCCTTGATATGGGTATCTCTTTTGTGTATCTTATGGAAAATTTAGGCCTTCCTTTGCATCCTTTCCAGTATATTCGCACGCGCAATGAGCGCGACACAAGTTTTGGTGTCGCAGGAAATAATCGTTTCCTCCTAGAAACCGTTCCCAAAATCTTTCCCCGACGATGGGGTGTTCCACTTGAAGTGACGCAGCCATTATCTCAATAGATTGGAAGTTACAGTAGCGACCGGTATCGCCTTCCATGTCGGGAACATAGAGATGCTATTTCAAGCCCTAATTACATGATACGCTAATCCAGATATGAATAGCGCGTAAATTATTCGTTTTGTAGCTTACCAAGCAATAAATACTAGACGCATCCTGATCCAGACCTCCATAGTCACGGTTCTACGCCTTCCAATTCTGGATAAACACCCCGAGCCCAATCAAGCCGGGCTCATCTTAAGGGGCAGATCTCACGTGCAAGGAACTAACTGGACGCCACATGGCTCACTGCTCACTGCCCAATTATATAAAGCATCCATGTATTGGTAGCGTCATCGCTACGTCACAATTAGCGCTGTATGGATACATCCAACATCGTCAGAATAGATAAGAGACAACTAGTTGATCTAGGTCAATCTGTCCGATCAATCTTCCCAGGTGACTTAACATGATACTGGAGAAGTTATATGTAAGAAGACTCCAATTTGTTATTGGATTTGAATTTATGTTTGTTTCGATATGCATATTTGCCGTTTACGCATCGCATGTCATTCTTGATCTGCGCATCACGGGAAAAAAAATCAATTTTAGTATTCCAGGGTAATTATTCAAAAGGTCTCAGTCTTACGAGCTCAGATTCCATCGAGGGGTCGTAAAGGTTCTCGGCGACAAGAAAGTCCTTGACACTCACGGGCTCGTACCGTCCCCCTAGAGACAGATAGTGAACCATTGTATGTCCCTCAGTATCAGTCAGCCGATGATCCAGGCCTCTTTGAATCAAGAAACGGACCATGCTCCGGAGTGACTTGCTTGCAGCCAGGTGAAGCGCTGTCTTTCCACCTGGGGCAGTGCGAGTATGAATATCCGCGCCGGCTGCTAGAAGCGCTTTAATCCTCTGAATGGCGCCACTGCTGGCGGCGCAGTGGAGGGGATAGACCATATCGGATCGGGTGACATTTCTTTCCGAGGTCCAGTACATATTCATGCGGGAGGTCTTTGCCACCCATCCTGTAAATTGCAAAATCTTACTGTCTGCCGATGCCATCACATCAGCACCATGTTGGATAAGACACTCGACAAGGGTGGAATCGTCTCGTCCATCGTCTGATTGAAGGATAGAACCGTTGTTATAAGCAGCTGCTAGGTGAAGAGGGGTATGATTTCCTGGAGTTGATGCGATTGATGGATTCGCTCCGTGTTCAAGTAAGTAATTGGCCATCACGACCTGGTTCTTGCACGCAGCAAAGTGCAGTGGAGTCCAATTATGACAATCAAGATCATTAATGGTGAGATTACTGTTATCAAGGATCCATTTGAAAGTCTTGGTTTTCCCAGCCTCGGCCGCCAGATGCAAAACAGAAGCATTCAACTTAGTTCGACAGTGGATGTCAGCACCTGCAGCGACGAGCATCCGCACCGTTCTCAAGGGACAAGAAGAAATAGCAACAAGTAGAACTGTCTCTCCAAATTGACCTTTTTGGTGAAGATCAGGTGATGACTTAAGCAATTCTTTAACAGCGGCTTCATTACCAACACGAGCTGCCGTCAAAATAGGCGTGTCACCCGTGTTGGTTAAGGCATTGACATTTGCGCCTGAAGCGAGCAAAAAACGCAGCACCGGCAGTCCATTCTGTGCTCCAGTCGGAAGACTAGCTGCACGATGTAATGGCGTTTCCCAATGAGAATTCTCAAGGTTGATCGTGGCACCTTCCTGCACCAACAACTGAAGGCATTCCAAGCGACCCCAAGTAGCAGCGCGATGAATGGGCTCGTCACCTCGATGGCTTGGCCAAGCCGTGCCCTTGTAGCCAAGCTTCTTGCGGTACTCTATGAGCATCTTTAAGATTTCCACATGGCCCCGACCGGCCGCTGTGAGCAACTCGTCATCGTCCGAATCCGGGCCGGGGTTGCTCGGAGATTGGACGTTATATTGGATGAGTAGTTGTATGATTTCGCGTCTGCCTAGCCAGACGGCGATTTGCAATGGGGCTCTCTCTGAACTGCCATCAGGTGAAACACCATCTGCAAGAAGTGCGTTGACCTTGGCGACGTCATTCTTGCGGATGGCTCGAAGGAGCTTCCTTTCCCGCTTTTCCTGCAGCCGGATGATGTAGTCCTGGTCACAGTTCTCCTGGTCTGACAGGTCAGTAAAGAGGCCTGACATGCTGGTAAAAAAGTCCGACATTCTGGGAAAGGAAATTTGATCAGAGGAAAGGAAGAGAAAAAAGGAAAAAAACTAATACATATCAAAATTTAGTCACATGATAACACCCCCCCCCCCCCCCCCCCCCAAGAGTCACAACCCTGTGTGGGCTCCCTCGGAGCTGCTCTCCATTAAGAGAACATAAGCCAAAGCGTATACTATTTGCCGAAATTATTTCTCTTTAACTATGTATATTTGTGGGGTTCTACCAGCATATCGATCGGTATCAATCGGCATTAACTATCGTGGACTAGCTACGTGTGCCCTAATCCAGCCAGCTAAAGATCGGTAGCCGAAGGATAGTGAAGACAATGTACGATACCAATCTACGCTACAATTCTTGGCCCTATGTTAAACAACATGTGTATGAAGCATACTTCTAGAGCCGTCACTCGAGTGTAGACTTACGATGATGCGTTTGTGATTTCGTATACCTCGCTCATCTCCCAAATCAGTGTATTCGCCCAATGATTAATCCATGTTCAGCCCTCTTCCCAAATTATCCATTCTATATTACTGAAGCCCAGCATCGCCAATTCGTTGGACGGATAAGTATCTCACGTCGTTAACAAGAGTGGAGTAGATGAGGAAGTTCACTCCAATCCCGCGTCCATTTCGCCGATAATTCGTGTAGTCTGGGGCGAAACCGTTATAAAGAACCGAATACCCCTCCCTTGCAAGGTAACCCATGGTCCGAAGGCTCTCACCCCATTGTTGCAGAGTGACCGCATACATGTGTTCTTCCAACGGCACTTGTTCCATCTCCAGGCTGCCCACGTACCACCTTTGGTCAGTCGGGCATTCCATAGGCGATGACCTCGTGTTGCCGACGTATGAGCCATCATTGTGTCTCCTCGTATCTCGGTTTTCGATTCTCAGATTGCCACCCCGGTATCGCTGGCCTACTCTTTGGCCGTGGTAGGCAGTGATGTGAGTGACGCCCATGAAGGGGTTATCAGTGTCTTCTGAGGGAATGTGAGTGTGAACGTCCTAGATGTGGTGTTAGCCTTTCGGTTGGTACCTGCAAGTAGGGCAATAGTAAGCGTGATTGAAGGTTAATTACATTGATGGTATGAATATGGAAGACGACCCAACGATCAGATGGGTCTTCCTGGTACACATGGGCATTAGAGCCTAGTACACCAACAGTACTACCAATCCAATAGGCAAGCTCAAGGAATGGCCCTGGTTGCGCTGCTCGTGCACCATGGTTATTGTCGTTGTAATGTTCCCAGCGGGCATATTGCAAGGTTAATGCGCTGTTTAATATGCCATCTAGGATGTCTTCGATGGTAGGCTGGAAGAGCAACAGATTCCCATACGCACCAAGAACGTTAATATGACGCCTGTCCAAGGAAGTGCCTCTCTCAACACCTTTGTACCCGCCTTCTAGATCGCGTTTTGCACTACCAGAAGAATCCGCCACCTCGCACAGATATGACGCCGCGCTGTTTAAATACTGCATACCATCGTTCGCGGTGTTGGGGTTGGCAGTCATATCACTAACGTAGGCATACGTGTTGAGTGTGTAGCCGGAGTCTGCAATCACTCCATTCATAGATTCAATCAAGAAGGCCTCACCATACTCAGCAGCGGGCCCATCCACATCCCAGAGATAGGTGGTTTCTTCAAGCATCGTTTCGACTGTGCGTGCTGTGTAGGCATTGAGCAACTCAAAGCTCTCCAGGACCAAAATGGAACGCTTGTCCCACAGTCCTATCTTTTTGTCGTCATTGTTGTCTCCCGACCAAGAGGAACTCTGCCAGTCATCTGGTGCCCCAGGCTCGGTCATATAGCGCTCGATCAAAGATTTGTACTGCGAGTAGTATTGTTGCTTGGGGTCTCTCGGCTCAATAGCCTTGGTATCATCATCATCGTCATTATCATCGTTGCCAGGGTCATCCTCTTCGGGCTTGGAGATGACTGGAGGATCTCCCTCGCAGCAGTAAGCTTCCCAGCTGAGCATACAGTCTCCCATATGCATGCCCAAACGTGTGGACCCATCTGGACACGAGGCTTCACAGAAGACATCAGATTTGATGCGATGGGTAGCCTTCTTCTTCCAATCGCACTTTTTGAACTGCCAAGGAGTAGCATCCTTCTTGCAGCAGAAGCTTTTGGCGCCGGTATGACAAACTTGTTCACCACCCGCCCCGTTAGAACTAGCGAAGACGAAGTCGGGATAGTCTGATGGGCAGTCATGATGCTTGCCGGCTGATGAGCAAGTTGGGGAACTACCAACCCACTTGCATTGTCCCTATGGCTCAGTGGAGGGGGTCTTTGTGCAGCAAGCGGACTGATGACTGTAATCGCAGTAAGGTGACCCCAATGTGCCGACTTCCACCTCGCCATCCTTGCACCCGGGGCTGCAGGAACCACCACGAGATGGCATTCCACGCAACTGGCAGGTGGGCTGCTTGACATCACCTGGACAGCAAAGCTTACTGAACCCAGAGCTTCCGCAGGCGGTGTCATCAGTCATAGATAGGTTGTCGCTATCGGATCTTGGAACCCACTTCCATCCACCTGGGCAGTCTTCTCCGCAGTTGCTCCACAAACATCGACATTTTTGTCATTGTCAGCACGCTTGGTGAGTGACCGAGAAGACAGTTGTGCTGATGAGTCTGATGCTGTCGAGGAGGTAGACACAGCTTTGGGGTAGTCGGGGAAGTCCATACGTTCGCGGCCAAGACCTCTAGTCAGTGCTTTGGCAGAGGAATGGTTGTTGTTATCGTGAGAGATAGCCCAGACCATGACGCCGCCCAGACATTGGGATTTTGCAAAGTCTCCGCGGATCTTGAATGTGTCTGCATCATCATACGAGACCCATTGGTCGCCGAATGATACAGCCTTTACTGCATCCTCTTCGTAGAATTTTGGAGTCAGATTGTTGTCGTCAATGATAGTTTGAATCTCAGAGTTCAGCAAAAATCCAATGGTCTCGCTGCACTGTCCTGCATTTCCTCCGGAGAGATATGTGCAACCAGGTTCAGCACAGTCGGGAGACGCTAGGGTAAAACCCCGCCCATAGAACGCCAGGCCCATGGTGACCTTACTGGGATCAATATCATTTCTCCACAAGAGATCCATAGCACCCTTAACCTCAGTCAGATTAGTGTGGGGGTTAAGAAAGGGTCCAACCCAAGTATTGTTCATGTCCCATGTTCCATGGATATCATAGGTCATGATATTGAACCAGTCGACGGCGTCCTCCAGTTCCTTGACATCAAAATGTTGGAGATACCAAAAGCTGGCGGGCAGCGTCAAAGACAATCCATATTCTTTGCCGCTGCTGTGTAGCTGCGAGCGGAGGTTTTTCATCCACTTGGGAAAGTTATGGAAGTCAGCTTTGCGACCACTGCGATCCTCGGCAACAGGATATTCCCTAGTGTAGAAAATGAAACAATCAGGACTAAGAGTCACCAAGGGAGAGGTAGAGGGGGGCGGGAAGAGGGAGAGAAATGGAGCTGGGCAAATAATCCAGAGAGACATATTTCGTTCTGTGAACTACTATATACCGAGGGAATCACGTACCAGTCAATATCTACTCCATCAAAGCCATAGGTGGACATCATAGCCAGTAGGGACTTGGCGAATAGTTTTTGGTTTATCTCAGAACCAGCAATGTCGGAAAAGGTTGTAGCCGTAGGTTGTTCAGCGTCATTGAACACCCAGCCTCCAAGAGCAATCCAAATCTCCACACCGGGCTGTTCCAGGCGTAAACTCTGGACTCGTCTCCATAGCTCATCGTCACGGTCAGCCGATGCAGTGATTGCGAAAGTATCTGGGTCGATGTTTGCAAAGGCAAAGTTGATATGAGTGTAGTAACCAGCCGGAATACCTTCTGGGATCATGCCACCGCAAGGACGAGCCTCAGACCATTCCTCATAGTATCCTACAACACGGTTGATGCTCTGGCTACCCACGGAGCATGAAGGGCGATCGACCTTGTCTTTCTCGCCACAGAAATCCTCGGTAGTACCACAAAAGCCGTACTTGGAGCAACAGACATTCAACGGACACTTTTTGCTTTCGGCCCAGTCTAAACCCCAGCCAGCATCACACTCAGATTTGAGACCGCAGTTGTTCACGCAGCCTTTTCCCTTGGAGCAATAATCTTCCCCATAACCGCAGTTGCCATATTTCGAGCAGCAGCCAACCTTGCAAGGTACGCTGGCACTGCACTCACTGCCTCCACCGGACAAACCATCATCTTCGATGGCGTCACAGGTGCTGAGACAGCCAGATCCGCAGTGATCATCTCCAAAGCCGCAGAAGCCATATTTTGAGCAGCAGCCCGATTCGCACAGATTTGTAGCACTGCATTCTTCAGCGGAGGCTGAGCTTAGGTAGACTGTCAAGAGTACTGACCTTTGTGGACTTCCTTTGTTGCTAGTCTCATAGGTAAGATGGCCAACCATTACTTACCTTACTCTTCACTTTCACTTTCACTTTCACTTTCTCTGAACTTCCATTTCCACTTGCTTCACTATTTGACCAAGCCTTCATCAATTTGGTTACATCCATAATCCATACAGTAAAGCCGTCCAGATTACCTCAGACTATTTGTACTGTACCAGTGAGATCTCTCTTTCTAAGACGTTGAACTTTTTCTACAGGTAAACTGACAATACATGTATAGCGAGCTATGACGGATCCTTCTCCGATTCGCTCGTTAAATGACAACTAGCTGAAGGTCCAATGAAGCATACAAACGAGAGCAAAAACTAATATTCCTTGCGCGTGAAACTGATAATCCTATTTCTTGCATGCCCGAGTCACATATTCGGTTGCTCGAAGATTCCAAGTTCGACGTCCTGATGGACCTCCGCTACCGAGCCCCCGAACGAGCCAATACCCACCCTATTCTCCTTCTGGAAGTCCAACAAGTCCTTCCAAGGTTATAAGCTACCAGGCGGTAATTACACCTATTCCTGAGCACGTGGCGCCTCGCCAAGCTTGCATATCATGCTCTCGATGGAAAGACGCAGGGCAATTATCCACAATATTATGACCTTTCAACAGGAGGAGGCAAAGAGACAATCAGCTTCGGTCAGGTATCTAGCGGTAATCTTGCGCCCTTTGATAAAGGCGTTCCAAACTGTCGGCAACCTTGTGGATCTCGCGTGTTGGCGAAGAGGAACAAAATTATGGATAGCTATGGAAATGGAGATATTGTGCCAAGATGATTCCGAGACCGAAATCTTCGAATTGTCGCATGGTTGATCAATCACTGCGCTCTCGCAATACACTTTGGAGGCTTGTAGCGGAAAATAGCCCACTGCTTGGGCCAGGAGAAATGGAAATATCATTACTTCGGTTTCAGGTCTATCCCTTAGGATCGTTGTGCTAGGAGTGGGTACGCTTTCTAACCATCTCAGTTACTGCACCGTTGCCCGTGTGAACGTCCGTGATCACATTCTTCAAGAACTTCAGGAGATCATAGCCACATACGACGTGCTAAGTGATGTCCCGGTTTTCAACATCGTTAATGCGGTGTATCAAGCTCCACACAAACGATGCTTCCGATATCGATGCTTCCTTTCTGGTGTTGACGATAGTCTATCGCCATTTCGGCTTTTTTTTCACGCTATACCATGGCTTCTTTAGCCCGGCCTTCCCCTTTTACCTCCACTTTGACCTCCACTTACCTCAGGGCTCTCAAATATAATGCCAGCCATGCGTCATCACTTCGATTGTCTCTTAGAGCCCGTTCGACTCATCACGGCCACCGTCGCCCGGGACGTTGGCAACGAGGCGCCGCAGATACACCGAGTGAACATCGAGCATTTTGCCAATCCCTTGCCCATTCACTGATTATCCAAAAATCATTCAACTCACATAAAGCCCCGTAGAAGTGCGATCTCTCTTCCTACACTTTGACCCTTCTCTAGGAGTCAAAGCTGACAGTCTATAGCAACGACGGATGTTCCCTCGATCCTCTCCCTGGTCGACACCGAGATGAATGTCGCCGGGAACCTGTACTACCGAGCGCACGAGCGGAAGAATTCCCGCGCTCGGCTTATTTGCGAAGGTCGGGCAATCCTTAGGCGCTACCGGGTGTTGGCATCGTATACACCCGGACATGAAGCGCCTCGCTACCCTCGTCTGATTATCAACATCATGCGAAAATGTATGACTACCCTGATCGAGAAGATGATTGCCCTTTGGGAGGAAGAGTTGCAAGATGAGGAGGTTTTTAGGCATATAAGAGGGCCGAATGAGAGTTGATAAATCCGTACGCTGGGGATTCCTAAGTGCTTAGGGCGAGAAGAATGAAAGTCAAAACTTGAGATTCGGGTCGATTTATAAAGACACTTGTGTTGGTATGGAGTATCCATGTCCCATCGAGCTCGGCCAACAGACCCGAATACCCACTCGCCATAGCTTATCTCCTAGCGTCGGACCGAACTACCAAAAAGCGGATAGCCACGGATTGATGACGCGGCTTTCTAGTATATTGTACCTTTCTAGGCTTACCATATATGAACGGTGCTTTTTCCGCTCATGCAGCCCGATCTGCGATCTGATAAAGATTTCCGAAATACTCTATTTCTTAAGACTTCTCCTACCAGAGTAGTTCCTCTTTCATAATGCGACCACCATCGCTCCTCCCGCTATTCGGAATTCTAGGCTTACCAAGCGCCCTCGCAACGGCCCCAAACAACGAGCCGATCAAAAATGAAAATCACATTTTCAACGTGATCCAAGACTCCATGCGCCAGTGGGGATCGTCTCTACACCACAATGGCGCGTCGTTCTTCCTCGCGGGTGTTCCCGCCGGTACACAACTCTACCATGGAACTTCCAAGGCCAACCCGGTGAATGGCACCGAGTGGTTGGCGTTTGAGCCCGAACATGCCATGGTCTTCGCCCGGCCGCGACGTGGTCCCCCGCCACACCTACCGCCTAACGATGATGATACCGAGCCAGAAGATGGAGGCCATGGCGAGTTGCGGAAGCGGGAACACCATGACACAGATGAGAAACATCACGGCCCGCCGAAGGCATTGGATGAGAATGAGTCGGGGTACTTGCATACCTATTCTGCAGCCAAGTATCTCCGTCTTCTGTATCTTGACGGTATGTCTGCTGCCAAGACATCGAAAGGCACGCTTGATTCTCAGGATGCTGTTTTGTTCAGCGGCTCGTTCGATGATTCTCCGGGTTGGGGTGGGCAAGAAAACGAACGCGCCAGACTGGCCTGCGAGATGGCCAAGAACGAATGGGATGATCGCATTGACGGTGTGCTGCGTATGGAAGCTGGCTTTGAGATTATCTTGTGCGACTTTGAGCGCGACCTCACTCCTGTGCGAATCACGCAGGTCAAGCAGAACTCTGAGGAACAACGTGCGCCTAGGAACAGTAAACATGGCGATCGGAATGGTCCTCGCAAAGATGGTGGTGACAAGCACGACGGCGTTCATGGCCTGAGGAAAGAGGACGATGGAAAGAGACATGGCCCCGGTGGGCCTGGTGGTCCTAGAGGTCCTCCCCACGGCGGACCTGGAAACGGACCCGACTCGTCGCGATGGATGCGTGCGATCACCGCACGCTACAACGGAATCGGTGGAAACCGTGTTTCGCTGAACTTCAACCACTTTGTGACTGCCTTCTCCAGTAATGTAGACCTGTTCCAAGACAATTCAACCCTTCCCCGACTTGCCAACCTCTCTCCTGGGGAGCGTGCTTTTATTCGTGCCGAAGTCACGAATCTGATCATGACGCATCATCCCGCTGATTTCAGCGAGGACTGGCAGGCGATTACGGATATGATCGTGACTCGGTACAGCAAGGAGCTGTCATACTTTGTTTCCGGTAGCATTGATTCAATCGAGCGCCTGCAGTCTGAGATTGAGCGTGTTTTGACTCCGTTCATTGACTACAGTGAGCGGGATGACGGCGCGGAGATTGAGCGTTGTGCAACTCAGTTCTTGCCGTCGTCATCTTTAGAAAGTGGCAGTATTGCGGCGCATGCTGTTCACGGTGTTGCTCGCAGAATCTGCTCGTCTTTGATTGAGGCTGGGAAGGAAAAGGAGCTTGAGTCTGCGGTCCAGGTTGTTCGGAATCTTGTTAGTTATCTTGATTGGGCGACGTGGAAGGAGTGCCGGGGTTGTGCGGCAAATGAGATTTGTGTCGTGCCTATTTGGCCCATGGGTACAATCCAGGACTATGAGAGCCCTGAGTGTAAGGATGCATCAAATCCATATGATCAGGGTGGAGAGAGTTACTGGGGTGGAATGCACCACTGAGTGATCTAATGTGGATCATCAGTCTTTTTTTAGATCGGGTTTTAGATACCGTTCCAGCCGAACTTGTGGTTTGGACATCATTGACTTAATTCAGACATATAGAACACAAGAATAGTCGGTCGCTTATGCGGCCTTGATTTCTTTTTGGTAGTCTTTTTTAAGTGTCTTTTCTTTGGGATATGTTCCCCCTTGTTGACGTTGTGGCTAGAATACACGCGGTGAAACCTGCTTGAAATGTGCAAATCAACTTTATAATGTCCAACATTTGTTTTATTGAGAGTATATACAGTATACAGAACATCGTTATGCTCAAAAGGAAGTATGTAGAAGGGAGACCATTGTGTTCGTTATTGTTGCATGCGCTAGTTCCAAAGCAACCCACTGGGTCGTATTCCCTTTATATAAAATATGAAATTGGTGAATGGTAGAAGAGAACGATCAGACCCTATCAAGTGTAGAATATTTACTGGGAGAGAGCACTCTGCGCGGAGGAGACGATGGAGCCGATGGCAGCACCGAGGCTGCCGAGGCCGAGAGTGGAAAGGAGACCCTGGACAGCGCCGTCAACCTTAATCAAAAGGACGGAAGCCTTGTCCTCAGAGTTGACAGCAATGAAATCAGCACCGGGGATGTTGGGGATCTTGGACTTGAGCTCGGAGACGGAGGGGGCAATGGCAACGACGTTGCCGACGGGGCCCTCAACGGTGGAGAGGTCAAGAGTGCTGAAGAGACCGAGAAGGGTAGGCTCAACCTGGAAGAGAAGGTCTTTGCCACCAGCGAGGCCGTTCACGTCAGTGACGGAGAGGACGTTTTGGAGAGGGTCGGCGCGCTTGACGTTGCCGGTGACGGACTCAAGGCCGCCAACGATGGAGCCGAGAAGGCTGCCGACCTCGCCGAGACCGAGGCTGTGGAGGAGATCGACGACTGCCTGGGTCAGCTCAATGAGCACGGCGTTGCCATTCTCGAGGATAGCAGTGACCTGGGTGAGGCCGGAGCCGCTGCTGGTGTCGAGCTGGTCGACGGACCCAGCGGTCTGAATGACCTGGCCAACGGGCTCCTTGAGAGTGCTGAGGGGCAGCTTGCTCATCAGACTCTGGAGCTCGGACTCGGCCATCATCTTAAAGTTCGAGGTTCCGGCCTGGTTGAGGATGGTAAGAACCTGACCGGGGCCGGCGCCCTGGGTCAAGCCGGAGGCGGCACCGGTAGGAATGGGCAAGGCGGACAACGAGGAGGTTGCGGCGGCACCGGAGCAAGTGGGGATCATAGATGCCACGGGGAGAGGGATACCCGAGGGGATGACGCCAGAGGGCAGGCAAGAGGGAACTCCGGAGGGCAAAGAGCCGGTGGAGCCTGAAAGGAGGTTGGTGGGCAAAGAGCCGGTGGCGCCTGAAAGGAGGTTGGTGGGCAAGGCCATAGCAGTTGAGGCCAGAAGGGCCGCGGAGAAGGTGAAAGACTTCATCTTGTCGTTTAGTGAGTGGAATAAGTTCAAAGACTTGTTTGGTATAAATGAATGGACGGTATGAACCGAGGTTAAGGAATGACTTGTTGGTAAGGAATGACAAGAAGAAAGTTCTTAGAGTTTGAACATCACGGCAAGACGTCTCGCGTTATATACGATAGTCGTGAGCAGGGGATCAGCATTGATTTGAGTCCGACCCCTCGTCTGTTGACGTCCTCCGGTGTACCCCTGGACTAACAGGTGCCTTAGAGGGGCCGCTCGTCTCGCAAATGAGTCCGATGGGAGAATGGAGCAATAGCGTTTTGTTTCATCTACCAAGACGTAAGCTTCAACTCTGAGTGGCTAACGAAGGCGCCGCCACACAAGATTGGATCCGGCACACGGTGTTAGTTCCGCTATAAGCTTCATAAAAGGCCCATCTTCATTAACCACTTTGCAGATCATTTACTTGGCTCGGTGACAAACCCGGGGGGTAGTTCCCACTTGAACTGTCAGGATGAGGCCAAGACATGGATGACATGGTCGTCTTTATTGATCCAATCCAGCTCATTTTTGAGTCGGGAAACTCCCTGGTTGAGGCATAAGAAGAAGCATGCCCATTATAGGGGTACGTTTGCCATATATTCTGTTTAGCGTTCAAAGTACTCCGTACTCCACCACCATAGCAATGAGGGCTCCGAGCCCAAATTCACCGGCGCTTGATAGCGTCGTAGGTATGTAGCAGACCTTAAGAAGTCAATCCGGGATCGACACGGCTGGTACCAACCTTGCTGGTCAAAATCGTCAATGATTGGTGGTCTCGTGCGCTAAGGTCGCTTGAGATCAGCAGTCTGTCTGCCGGGAAAAATTGTTAGAAGAAGGTTAGAACTCCACGCGGGCAACATTAACGCTGATTGCAATTTTGTTCCTCCGCAGTGGGTTAAAATGTCAAATAGTCCAGTGGGGCCTTGACACCCGTTAATTGCGGTGAGTTCTTTGTTTGCACTGCGGAAAATTGCAGGATTGAGCACTGGTGATGATATCATTGTGTCGGACTCGTGGGATATCCTCAGAGAATAGGGGTTACCAATACCCTAGGCCAACATGGATGTATGTTGTAGCAGATATTTTCCAGTCCCACCACAAATTCAATGTAAATTCGAACATTTAATAACCTTAAAAGGTATCCAGGGGAGAAATCCAGGGGAGAAAGTCAAAAGCCGTTGGGTTGTTGGATTTAAACTTTGAGGGTCCGGGGAACTCAGGGGTACCTAGGTAAAAACACACAGCTTCTTTTGATCATTAAAATTTAGTAAATTTCAGCCTGCATTTTCATATTTTGTTCTATTTCTCCCCATCAGCATACTCCGTAGATTCCATACACCGTCTCTAATACGGAGCATACTAAAAAAATTGAGGCAACAACGAAACAGAAGTGGAGCTGATCGTCCTTGACGTTGCATCAAACATGAAGTACAACCCTAATTCAAACCTTCCGCTTCTCGAGGTCGGGGGCTTACCAGGGTATATATTTTGGGTATCAATTTGGAGAGGAAATTTTTATACAAGTCTATCCTGGTATATAAATGTGTGATGAGGTTGCAGGTATTCACGACTGTGCGGATTCTCAGGCCTCGCTGCTGGCCTATTTTTCCATGGATTTCCTACTGATCAGTAGTGACCAACAACTTAGTTGGACAAAATCTTAGCGGCAGCGGCTTCAGCAACGACCATGACGGCAGTTTGAATGTTACCGGTCGGGAGATCGGGATGGATACTGGCATCAACGATGTACTATGAAAAAAAGGATTAGCTTCATCTTTTGGGCAAACGAACTATTCTGGGCAACTTACCAGGTTATCCACTCCGTAAACCTTGGTATTGGTATCGACAACGGAAGTGCCGTTCTTACGGCCATCATCGGTACCCATCTTCGCAGTGCTGGTGTAGTGCGTACCAGGGGTTTGGGCCTTCAAGATGGCCGAGACATTGGGGTAGGTCTCAAGCTCGAACCCGGTGGACGGGGCGGTGATGTCATTGACCATCTTCTGAATAAAAGTGCGGGCGGCCTTCCGGTCAGCAGCGGTCTGGAGGTAAGGCGACTTCTCAATGACAGTCTTTCCGCTAGCATCAAGCCCCAGGACACCGGACGAGGTGAGGCCGTGGGTCATGTACGTGGTTACGGTCACCACGCCCTCATCAGTAGGCGCGCACGAGCCCTGGTAGTACTGAGTGTGGCCATCAATCTCCTCTGAGGTGAAGAAGATCATGCGGTGCTTACCCTGGGTCAGAACACCGCTGTGCTTGCGGTAGAGGGAGATATCGCGAGCGTCGGTTCCATTCAGGACCCCGTCGTAGTCAACAAGACCAAATGAGGCGTTGGTGTTGAAAACGATCGGGAAAATGGGGTGGTCCTTGAGACCGACACCGACAGGCAGATCAATCCACTGACGCTTGGGAGGAACGGCAACACCGCTCTTCTTCGCAGTCTCGATCTGGGCCTTGCCACCAATACCAGAGTTCCACAACAGGCGCGGAGTAGATAGAGCGCCGGCTGCCAGCACCACACGACCGTGGGGAGCAACAGTGATAATCTCGGAGCGGCCCGAGGGAGTCTGAATCTCGACGCCAGTGACCTGGCTACCGGAACGGACCAGGCGAATCGCTTTGGTTCGGAGAGCAAGGTGGAAGTTGTCTAGCTTGGTAGCATCGGGGAGATAGGTGCGAACAGGGCCAGCACGCATCTGGTTCTGCACGTTCCAGGACGGGTAGCTGTAGATCTGGTGCTTCTCATTTGGCTCGGTGATCATATCCACCGACTTCCAGCCAAGGCCACCGAGGAACTTGGACAGCACAGCATAGAGACCCTGGTCATATCGCTTGCCGTCGGCAGAGGGCAGGGTGGTTCCGGGGTTGCGCTTGTAGAGTCGGTCTGCAGCCGACTCGACATCCTTCCACTTCCAGCCCTTGGGCCATTTGTCGTCGAAGTCACGGGCTGGCGGGTGAACGAAGACCATATAGTTGACCGTTACGCCACCACCGAGCACACAGGCAGCATTGCCAGCAGTGTCGGTGCACATATACTGGTTCCAGACATCGAGCGCCCCGATGTCGGCCGACAGTCCCGGAAGATCGATGGGAGTCAATGAGTGGTCCCAAGTGAGGGTCTCATTGTTACCGGTGGCCACAGTTGGTCCGACACCTCGCTCAAGGAGCAGAACTTTCTTTCCTGCCTGGGCGAACTTCTCGGCGCTGATGATACCGGAAGGGCCACCGCCGACCACAATATAATCATAGGTGTGGTTCTGGAAAACAGAAGCAGAGGCAGCTCCTGTAAAGACAGAGAGAGCAATGGCGAGAGGGCCAGCCTGAAAGATCCTCATTTTGACGTATACGAAGGAATGAGATCTCACTACGAAATCCCGATCTATATGTTGTAAACCTTGTCAGGGCAGGGGTTTGCCCATTTTAACTGTTTCGCGACAAGTCCGTCGCACTCATCCAGCCAGGCCCAGTGGATCAATTGTTGAAGACTTGGCGTGCAAGAAACACGGCGAAACATGGCTCGTCGTGGATTAATTTCGTCAAATGTCACCGATTAGGTATAGTGCGATCAGATAAGAGCACTAACTTTTGTTCCTGAACCAGCGCAGCCTCCCACCAGAAATTCTCTGATCCAAGTTTCCGTCTGAGCGTTTAGCCGGAATTACTATGTCTTGTGACTACAACATACATCTGTTATACACCAAATGGCGTATGTTGGCCCTGGATGTTGAAACCCTTAAATTGCTGCTGTTTTGAGAAGTCTCAGACCGAATAAACATGCCCCCACTTCAATCACGAGGCTTTATGCCATTCTCGGAGCAAGCACACCGAAATGGTCTTGGTATCCGTTCATTCTCCCGGGAGAGCGTTTTCCCAGCCAGCTCTGCTGCTGACGTACATAGAAACAACCTCGAGCCTTACGGGGTAGATGTTTCCTGGACTGTGATTCGTGTATTCCGCGGAAGAGGCGTTTATCAAGTTCTCCGTCTCTCTAAGCCACCGCCCCATTTGCCTGGGCACTTGGATACTGTATGTAATAATGTTCTGGAAGACCTGCCAAGTGGATAGTGGATATCATGAAAACCCTCCCAATGTCCTTACCAAGCATGTAATAAGCAGAATCACATCCCGAGGTCGCAGGACCCACTTCAGGTAATCATGCATAATCACCTTCTGGAAGTAAGAACAACCTTCGGTGGCCCTGAGCGTTCCAAATCTAGGCAAGCTCATACTTGCCAAGAAGACAGTCTGCTCGTTTTTCCGACAATAGGCCGAACCATGAATTTCTTCCATTGGATAACCCGAATCCTGTGGTTTTCTGAAACACATTCTTCGTTTCATATAGGGAAAGTTTGCATAGCCCTGTCACAGTAGAATATTGGCAAATTGACAGATAATCGTTAATCGCGAAGTGGTCATAAGTGACTCTAGTACTAAGATCATCCGGCGGAGCTAAACAAAAACTACCTGGCTACGATATAGGAGTTGAGGATACTCCGTAGATATAATCCCCCTTGAGTAGTCAATTTTGATAAAGCTTAAAAAACATTAGTGTAGGGGCGCTTATAAACTTCTGTGATCTGATACCTTTGTCGGGAAATCATAGCAGTTGCTAGTTATATATCTCCAAAATTCAACGTCTGTATGCTCTATTCGCTATACGTCTTCATTGGAACATTTTTCCCCATCCTAAATTTCAACAATTAGAGGGCTTGCTTCTGACTTAATTCAATCAACAGAGAACTACTTTGTAGTTGGAGATATTAAAGGTAGCATAGAACTTGATGTCATGCGCGATGAGGTCATTTTGTTTGTGTTTTGAGTTGAACAAGTGCATACCCAATCCCAAAATATGAGTAGAGGTCAAAATATTCCCGCTTCCTGCTATGAACAGTAACAGGCATGAAATATTGAGGGTTTCGCAAATTCCGTCTTGAATATGGAAAAGACGGGGAATATGAGGGGAGTCAACAAAAGAGTGGGGCCAACCGTTGCATAGGGCGCGAAGCTCAACATCTCCAACACCCCTTGTATCACTCTTCTCCAGGCACAAAATGTCGAGCCCAGCCACTCGCCTTATACCAACATCTTCACGCACTCTTCTCCTCACCCTCGACGCATTCGGCACCCTCTTCCACCCGCGTCTCCCCGTCCCCGAGCAATATGCCGCGACCGCGCACCAATTCGGATTATCGCGCACTACCGTCACCCCGGACAAACTCAAAAACGCATTCCGGGATACCTTTCGTGCGCAGATGCAACAGTACCCAAATTATGGTCGCGCGGATGTTCTCCGAGGCCAATACGGGGGGCCGAGGCAGTGGTGGGAAGAGGTGATCAGGGGGAGTTTCGGGCGTGTTTTGTCAGCAGAAAGTGGGGAGACGCGTCCCGGACACCCCAAAGAGCATGTCCCTGATGCCATGGTGGAAGCCCTACTAGATCGATTTGCTAGTTCCGAAGGGTACGCACTCTATGACGATGTGCTGCCCTTCTTCCGCCGAATGCGCAAACTGAAGACCGCACATAAGTGGTCGTTTGATAGGATTGTTGTGGGGGTGGTATCCAATTCGGATGACCGCGTCCCCGGTGTGCTGAAGTCGTTGGGGTTGACAGTTGGTGATATGCGCGCTGACCAGGATCAATCGAGTATGGATCTTCCCGGGTTTGAGGGACGAAGTATCAAAAAAGATGTTGTCGGAGAAGACGACAAAGCTCAGTCAGACCGCAATTTGGACCTTGATATTGATATGGTCATTACGAGTTATGAGGCCGGTCAGGAGAAACCTCATCGTTTGGTCTTTGACGTGGCGAGACGGCAGGCTCTCAAGGTTGCCCGCCCATGGTTGACCAGCAGAACCAAATTTAGCTCTGTGCATGTGGGGGATGATTATGAAAAGGACTATCAGGCTGCAAGAAAAGCAGGCTGGGAGAGTTATTTCCTTCCTCGAGATACTCTTGGTACCGATGACTTTGAAGCGAAGCAACTCCCGGATCTCCTGAAGTTGGCAGAGAAATTGGAGCTTTTCCCGTAAAAGCACATGTCAACAGATGGCAGATGCACAGTTGAACTTGATCAGAGTTAATCATCGACAATTTATGTCAAACCACAAGTCAAGAAGATAACCTCGAAGTTCCCTGGGCTCTGGAAACAGATACTTCCACAACGACAATATCCAAAACTCTTGAAAGATCATGACTCTGTGCTCTTCACCCTCAGGCTTCATCACGGTGCTTCGCTCCCTGACATACACCATGCACCACCTTTCTCTCAACCATCAGAGTTTCCTTGGTAGCAACGAGCTTTTGATTTGGGCTCAATGGGTTTGTTGCGCAATTCCCATAGAGGTTCCTTCCACCAGCACTCAAAGCACAGTCTCGAGGCCAGACCCCAAAATTGTACCGAGCATAACGCATCAGCAGATGGTACTGAAGACGCTTACCTATCGCTTGTTATTGTCGATTTGGCTAAATGATCCTGCCGGTTTCTTGTTTTTTTGTATTCGCATCCACCGACAGAGTCTATTCTTGGCACGACCTAGCAGCTTCGAATTCAATTGGGGGAACGGCTGTCCGAAGGGCCTCGCTCGAGATGTGGTTGTTGACCATATGGGATGTATGGAATATAGGAACCAAAAGGGTATAATGGAATGCTCCTTACAAAGGGTCACAATTCAATAGTTGTATAAGTTCCATGGCCCAAGACAGAAAACGAAGCAGAACGGTAACACGTGAATATGACTATATAATAAAGTGGTTTTAGGTCTAGATCCGGGGTGGGAGACCCAAAACCACGATAAATAAGTGAATTTACGAGTCTCCCCGGTATAGAACCCGTGTCCCATATACCCCGCATATCCCCAAGTTGCGCACGGGCGCGGAACCGAACTGCGCATTGAACTCCGAACTTATTTTGAGATATCTATCCTTTTTGCACTGTGAACTCTTCCTGCTACGTTCAATTGGTCCTGTTGCATTGCCTCGAAATATATCAGTCTTGAAATTCGACACAGAGGGTCCACTCTGCTTCGACATTGAAGATGGAAGGCGTTCAAAAGCCACAGGGGTCTGTTATAATCATCGGAGCTGGTACTCAAGGTAGACGTCTTGCCCACATGGTAAGTGCTGATATTGAAGACCATGAACATCTGTCTTGGCGCTAACGTGTTGAAGTGGTCAAGCCGAGGCGGCACCGTCCGTCTGGTAGATCTCCAAGAGCAACAGCTCCAAGATGGTCTGAAGTACGTGGAACAACTTCGTGCGGATGCTACAGACCATGAAGGAGATTGGGGAGAGGTTGAGGTTTCACAGCCCTCTTCTTTGCAATCTACACTGAAAGATGCGTGGCTCGTTGTTGAGGTACGAATCAACGCCTTACCGATAGGACTAATTGATTGACATGGCCTGAAACCAGTGTGTGCCGGAGAACTTGGAGCTAAAGCGAAAAGTGATCAGTCAACTTGATGAGCTTGCACCTGAAGGCACAATCATTGCTTCGAACTCGAGTAGCTACGGAATCTTTGAGATTATCGAGGGCATGAGCTTGAAAAACAACAAAAGAGTTGTGAGCGCGCACTGCTGTAGGTGACTATTCAATGCCGAATGGAATACTTCGCTAACATCTCGTGTCAGATTGGCCACCAGAGACATCCGGTAATTCATATCGTTATGTCCAAGTGATAGTCTTTTCCTGTTCAATTTACTAACTTGGAAGCCAGCAATTGAAATTATGGGCCACAAGGATAGCGATCCTAAGCTGATTGATCTCGTCTTGGAGCAATGTAGAGAACATGGATTTTCACCTTTCCACGTCAAAAGAGACTCTATCGGCTACATATACAACAGGTGAGTTATCCTTCTCTCTGTGTTACTGCACGATCGGGTTTATAACAATCTTCAAGAATCTGGGCTGCTATCAAGCGAGAGACTCTTCTCACCTTGTCCGAAGGTGTTGCCACACCCAAAGAAATTGATGCCATTTTCAAAGACGTCCTGAAGACGCCCAAAGGCCCATGTGAACAGATGGATGTTGTCGGCCTAGATGTCGTATTGGACATCGAGAATCATTACGCCGAATCTCGGAGTGGTATTCCTACAGAACCGCGGGACTACCTTCGGGAGATGATTCAAGGTGGAAGTCTGGGCGTCAAAAACGGCCGAGGATTCTACGACTATGAAGAACAAAAGAACTGAATTTGTCCATAGTCCAAATGTTTGACAATGCACTCCCCTCTTATATACTCCAATAAGAAGGATCTTCACATTACCAACGAATCAGCTCTCAGATTCGCCTGATACCTCAGCATCATTGGTCTAGTGGTAGAATTCGTCGTTGCCATCGACGAGGCCCGTGTTCGATTCACGGATGATGCACATCTTTTTTTTGGTTTCAGTATGAGGAATCCACTGATTGATTAGTGGGTTTCCTCGTTGTGGAGCAAAAAACGGATATAGATTCCTCAAAACTTGGCACTTGGAAAGATTGCGAGAGAAATGTGAATCTAAATGTTTGATTGAATATGTAGCGGATTCATTATGAACAATACAATACGCCTAATAATGCCCGAAATCCAAATGTGACCTTAACTCCAGGGAAACCAATCCCATTCCATCATAGCATAACATGAAAAAGCAACTCCACGCCCATGTAGAAAGAAAGACATCACAATTCATCGGGCATCCACCTAGTCCCATTGGCCCTTATCCAGGCCACCCAAACCACCACCAGTATGCTTACCCAGCAACTTGGCAATGTTAGACCCCCCGCTGCGCTGCTTGATGCGGAGCTCCTTTTCACGCTCACGCTCACGCGCAGCTGTATACGAGTTGACGGCACCGCCCTTCTTGGGACCCGAAGCTGCAGGTTTGGAGACACGGTTGGAGGCGCTCGAGCTACTAGAAGATGAGGAGCCAGTCGTAACACGACGCAGGAGTTGAGGAGGGCGGAATCCAATAGGGCCATCTCCGCCGCTGCCGCTGTGGAATGCAAGCTTGGAGTTTGCAGAGTCAGAGTTGGTGCCTGTGGCGGAGTTGGAGGATGCTTGTCGAAGAAGGGCAAGGCGGTCGACCACGACTCCACGCGTGCGGCGTGGGTGGCTAGGTTTGGCGAAGTTATTGTCTGATTGCGGCTGATCGTCATCGCCTTGGACTTCTTCCGCACTGGGAGTATCTTCATCTTCTTGCTCGTGTTCTTCCTCATCGAGAGAAGCATCGTCCTGGAAGGAGTCGTATTCGGGGGTTTCAGTGAGGAAAGACAAGGTTTCACGAATCTCTGCTATAGTAGCTGGTTTCTTTGACATTGCACTGGCGGGGGTGCGACGGAGGCGAGGCGGTGGACGGTTGGTTGCATCTTCAGCTGAGGGTTCGAGAGGGCGCTTGCGGTTCTGACCATCGCTCGTCGCGTCATTCGAGTGTTCTCCCGAAGCGGGGTCCTGCGATGTTCCTCCTTGGGAGCCGTTCTCTTCTTCCTCGAGGAAGTCGATATTGAAGTCATCATCAATTTCGCGATCCTCAACGGCCTTGAAGAATGCGGCCTTCTTGGGATTCTCGGCAATCTCGCCGATTTTCTCGTCTGCAAGGAGAGCGCGGCGCATCTTAGCGAACTCGCGTTGCTTCTCACGGCGACGTGCTAAGTGCTCATCGTCCGAGTCGTCGAGGTCAAAGTCATCATCCGCATTCTTGCGACGACGGAGGGCTCCAGTGGTGATATCTCTCATCAACTTGGCGACATCTTTCTCATCGCGGTTGCGATCGTGAACCCTATAAGAATGTTAGCATCTTCTCATTAAATATGTACCAAACTCTAACATACGCATTGAGTGCGGCCAGTTGCTTCTCATCAACCACCTCGCCGCTGTTGTCGTTGATCATTTGGCGATCAATAGCATTTTCTTCACCATCACTCTCGTCACTGTGACCTCCAAGGCCTGCATATTCATCTTCAGATTCTTCGGCGGCCTCATCGACAATGTCTTTGGCCTTGCTGTTCTTCTTGTTGTATTGCGGAGCAGGATTCTTCTTTACAGCCTTATCCTTCTTCATGACATTGAAGGCGTTGGCGTCGATTTCAAAGTCACCTTCATTATCATTCTCGTCGACTTGAGGAAGTTCATTTGCACGTCCTCGGCGCAACATTTTGCGCTTGCGATCAGCAATGGGCGACTGAGTTTGACCCACAAGGACGGTGTCGACGGTAGACATGGGTGGAGTACCCCTGAATCTTTTCGCAGGATCGAATGGTGAGAATACAAAGCCCTCATCCTGGGTTGGGTCGGGCAGCTGGGATTGGGAATACTCCGAGAAAGCATATGGCGCAGGCGACTCTGATACTCGGGTCACACTCTGCGTGTAGCCCTCCATAAAGTCTTTATCCTGAGGCTGGGGCTGGCTGTCTGGGACAAGAACCTCTGATTCTTCTTTTCGAAGTTGCGGAATAGGCCGACCAGGGTCTGGAAGAGAGAAGGGTATGGTGGAAGATTCAGCTTGGGTGCCAGCGCCATTGCCATCCAATGTGGAGGCAAAGGCCTGGGTAAGACCTAGGGTCATATCGCCTGGCGTTCCCATGCCAAGGAAGTTGGGTCGTTCGGCGGGCTGCGGGACATAACTAGGGGCTCTCACAGGCGTTGAGGGTGGTTGTGGTTGGTCTTCATCTTCGTCATCGCTAATCACTCGAGTTCGTCTCTTCCGTCTCGCGGCAGGCGTCTCGTTCTCTGCATCTGAAGGAGCGGCCTCACTCTCGTCGTCAGCCGAATCGTCGCCTTCGTCGGCCTCACGTTCGATGAGATCCCCACTGCCATTGACGCGCTCGTTTTCTTCCTCTTGGTCATCTTCGTCGTCTCCTTCAACATCACCTTCCTGATCAGAGCCGGAAAGCTCGTAGTCATCATCCTCTTCTTCATCATCGTCACCGTTGCTCTTCTTCCTAGCAGCTTTCTCCAGTCGGCGGATTTCATCTGCCTCTTTGCGGGCTTTGTCAACAAGGTTTTCCATGTCATCCTCTATCGCTGCACGCTCCTCGGCTGTTTCAATGACCACTCCCTTGGCCCTGAGCTCTTCAATGCGCTCCCGGCGTTCCTTAGCTGCTTGCTGTCGGGCCCGCCATAAGAGACTTGCGGACAGCTCTGCGGAGTTCATAGAAGCCATTTTTCGGGTAGGAGATGTCAAGTGTGCCAATGCCTTGAGCTTGGTCATAGAGGGGTCTTCGTGCAACTGTCTAGTAGGCAGGTTTTCGAACGCTGCAATGCGACGGCACTTGCCAGGGGATGTTACCACCTCAAGGTCGCTGTCGGAATCGTCTGAATTTTTCTGATGCGCAGCAACCGCTTTCCTGGAAAGCAGCACGCGGATAGGTGGTTGTGTTAGTGGGCGCGAAACTCTCTTCAATTTACCACCCTCGGATTTGGGTTCAGGTGTAGAAGTCGAGACGTTTTGGACTGCGGGGCCCTTGAACAATGCAGAATGCTGGTTTGGCGCCAGGAGGTCTTTCGGGGCAGGCAAGTCTTCCGTGTCCGCATCCATATCCACATCAACTGCTTGAACTTGGGCATGCTCAGAATCAGCGGTCGACTTAGGGGCATCCAAATGGCCGACTGGAGAAGTATGCGGAGTATCTTTGGTCTTGGCGCGTAGTTCTTCATCAGAAGAATTTTGTGATCCGACCGCTGAGGATGTATTTGCCGCAGGCTGCTCGACCGGGGTATCGGGTTGCATGAAGTTGAATTTGGCAAAAAGGCTTTCCTTGGTGATCTTCTTTTTTGTCTTGGCCTGGTGAGCTAGTTGCATGTTACGGCTCATTCGCTGAGTCTCCTGCCTCATCTCATCCAGTGCCTTCTTGCTGGCTTTCCGGGGCTGACGAGCCTTCTGGGAGAGCTTGCTCGCAGAACGCGGATCATCAGCACCGCTCTCCTCGCCTGAGAGTACTTCCGAGCTGAACTGCTCCATCTGAGCTTTTCGGATGGCATTCTTCTTCTCGGCCTCGGCTTTCTCTCGCTCCTCACGTTCCTTGCGCTTTTGAGCGACAAGAGACATAAAACGGGCATTTCCTTTGGGCTTATTCTCTGCGGCATTTTCTGTGTCCACGTTTTCGGTGTGTGGGTCGTCATGCGGTTGGCCTGGTGAAGATACAAAGAGAGGAGAGTCGGGTCTTGAACGGGGAGGGGTCTGGCTCGTTCTGTTGTCGGACCTGGGGGAGTTGGTTGTGGACTTATGCTTTCTCCTCGGGCCGGCCGTAGGTAGATCATCATCATCGTCATCACTAGATTCGCCGATGGGTGTGGGTTGTGGTTCTGTCCGCTGGGGTTTCTCGCCCTGTTCTTTTTTTGATCGGAAGGCCTTTGACACCCGGGCAAATGCCGAACTTTCGTCCTCGGGTTCGGCTAGTCTAGAATTACCCTGTAAACGGGCAGCCATACGGCCCTTTGGTCGGAAAACCTCATCTGCGCTATCGGAATCGTCTTCTGAGTCGCGCAATGGGCCATTCTTGCGTGTATCATCAACCGGCACCAAATCACGCCCTAGATCAAGCTTCGAGACAGCATCTGTTGACTTGGCAATTTGAGTGTCGTCCTCCGAGTCGCTGTCAAATTCCGCCATCATGGCCTTGATCTTCTGGCCGGGGGTAATAATGTTCGGCGAATCGCCCGTGGGCGACACGGAACGCGTCGACCGTGGTGTGGATGGTGAGGACATGTTGTGAATATTATGGTGAATTATGGTGGGTTTTAGGAAGTAATTCCCATAATGATATCGATTGTACTTGGAGGATAGCTTTGAGAGTTCCAAGGTCCGGAATAAGGTGGAGTGGACGCCAGGTTCAAGGGCGCATAGTCTGAACGCGATGCGCGTTCCTCGCGTTGCTAGGCCATACACGTGATCTTATCTTATCGCCCAATGTATTATCCGCCAAGTGGACGTCCAGGGTTAATTGGCTTTATTAGTGTTACAGGCAACTATCGAAATGAGTACATATTGTGGTAGCAAGTGATATTTTCTCGTTTTAATTTTTTTGGTCTGGTTTGTTGTGTGATTATTTTGGAAATGTCTCTTCCGGTAGATAAAATGCTGCATTCCCAGAAATTTTCATAATACAAAGCTTGATGCTATTTTCTGAATAGACGCCGAGATTACCCCCGGACTCCTCAAATATCGCGTAAGGAAAAACAGAAGCAAAAGATACAATCACAATACGGGCAAGGCTTTGAGCCAACCACCGCCAAGGGTCCTTGAGAAATGTAGACTTGTTCAGAGGAATTGTGGAATCTCAGAACAAAATAGTGTTCTCGTAGGTAGTAAATCGATTCACCGAACAAAAGCCACTGAACTGAACCGCAGGAAAAGACACCATTCTTGAATGAGACTAAATCTCGATATCGATGTCCATATCCAGGGCCGCAATGTTCTCGTCGTCGGTGTTGCGGTAACTAATCATGAAGCCATTCTTGGGCTTCTTTGGAGTGATGCGAGAGGCCGAAGTTCCCTTTTGTGCGGGACTGCCGTTGGACTTTGCGGTAGCAGGGGTATCTTTAGGGTTGTGCACAGAAGTGGCGTCGGCGGCAGCGGATTTGGGTGCTCCGTTGACATCGTGGTGGGTTTTGGCTACTGTTCGCACGCGCATGAAGGGATTTGGGGCTGCCTCTCCGCGTGCAACAGCCTCGGCTGCCTTCTTAGCGGCCTTTCTCTCTTCGAGCTGAGCACGGCGACCATTCTCAATGTTAAGCTTCTGGTTGCGAAGGTTGATCTGGTGGACTCGTTCGGCTTCCGATGGACCTCTGTCGACCTCTTTCTTAACAAGGCTTGTTCCCCAGGACAGGGTCGGGTTGACCATTTTCTGCAGTTCTGCATCGATCTTCTCGACCTCCTCCATGTTTCCGTTGATTTTGGCAAATTCCAGATTTCTTTCAAGTTCGAGACGGTTAAGCACATTCTTCTTGTGGTCGAAAGCACCCTGGCGACGCAGTTTCTCGTTCAACTCTTCACGAGTGAATGTATGGTTGAGAAGACGGTTGATATCGGCAACCTTCGACTCAACCTTGCCCTTTGTAGCCAGCTTGCAATCCTCAACAGTGAGGGTCTGAACGTAACGGCGGTACTCGGCCTAATCACTGTTAGTTGGCTCTCAAGATTCGAGAGGAAGGAACAAACCTCAGTAAGTGGAGAATTCGAGAAAGTGACGAATGGGAAGTCTTTGACAGACTTTCCATGTGCCAGCTTGACATACTGATCCGTGACAAATGAGCGACCGTTCTCGCCCTCCAAGGCGTATGGTTTTCCCTGAGAGATTCCTAGAGAAACGTCAGCGTGCACAAACAAGCGAGGCAGCATAAGTTCATACCAGTAATCAGGCCCAAGCGATATTCATTCTGGCCATTGTCGGGGTGCGGGCCAATGCTCAGGCGAGCGTAGCAGCCAATCATAGCATTCTCAAATCCAGGGTAGAAGCAAACTTTGGCAAAGTTATTACGTCCAACTTGAGCACGTCGAATTTCCCGAAGCTCGGCGGGCGGGTCATCCTTTGGAAGGGAAACAGAACGGCGGCCAACGCGGTCGTCCAGTTCAAGATCACTCTCCGCAACAGCATCTTCATCAGAAATATCAGATCCCATGGAGCGCGAACGGCGGCGCGATTTTGTAGGGTCTCGGCGACGGAGTTCATCCCGCTTGCCCTTCTGCTCACGCTGGCGCTTGTAGGCCTCGATGGCTCCGGACGTTTCTCCGACTTTGCGGCCACCAAGAGTGGTCTTCTGGCGCGAGCTCTTGCGCTGATTGTCATCCAAGCCGGCAGACCCTGCCTTTCGTTTGGCTTTCTTGGCCGCTCGTGCTTCCTCGCGCGAGCGAGATGCTAGAAGGCGGCGCAGAGCCAGATCCTGGTTGTGGCGATCCACTTGCTGGGCACGTTCGGACAGGGTTTCCTCGCGCTGAATTTCAGGCATAGCCATGATATCCTTTTTGTCCTGGGCCGAGTAGTACAATTTATCATATGGGAAAATGGGGCGATCCTCGTCGTTGTCGTCGGAGTTGTCGGCCTCTGACTCGGACTCGGACATGGGGGCAGACTGAAGCGAGTGACGAGATCCATCGTCAGATCTGTATATATTGTCAGGTCAATAAGGCTCTTCGTTATCAAAATGGAGAGGCACTGCTCACACTTCACCCTCCGATTCATCATTTGCGCGCTTGCGGGATCGGCGGCCCACCAATTTGGCAGTTCCTTTGCGACCCATGGCTGCAGGTGAGGTATCTCGATCTTGAGCGTGTGAAGAAGCTGAGTGTGCTGGTGATTTGGGGGGTGGTGAAGTTTCCTCCTCAGAGTCACCCGCCAAAGCGAGCAGCTCAGCATCCAAATCGTCCGCCATTGTGAATATCTCTCAATACAGTTATACCCTCAATAGAACTCAATAAACGGGAGGCCTATATATCAATAGGCATTCAACAGCCCTAGAGCAATAGGAGTATTCGTGTTCCTATTGACTTCTTCCCTCCTTTCCAGGAGTCGTTCCAAATTTGGAGTAGGAGGCAAGACTTGCAAAAGGTGGCCCAAAATGTCTGTTCCGGATGAAGTAATGTCCCAAGTTCGACAAACACTCTATACACGGGACGAAGGGAGGACGTAATGGGGAGTATCGTAAAAATCGTGTAGATGGTCGTCGCAAGTTGGCCTTAGCCGTGAACTTCATGACGTTCAATGCCAAGCCGATGGTAAGCGCGCGGTAGCGCCAAGGCGGTATAAGCGACCAATACGCGACCTCTGAGCTTCGTCTCTTGAATCGGCCTCATTAATAGTCCAATTTAATCGCTCGATGTTGTCTTTACCTATTCTGCGCAGATGCGCCTTGTCGCATTGTCGTTCTTCTGCACCGGCAACAACTTCTATTTTTCTCGATTTCCTCGCGCCATCAACATTTAAGCATGGCCAATCCCGGCAGGCTTCAACTACCGCCGGCACCCCCGGTGGCTCCAAACCTCTATATGTTCTCAGCAAAGAGCAACGCGAATTCATGGACAGTGCCCTGCGAGTGAATCAAGCCGGTGAACTCGCCGCCACGCTGATCTACAAAGCCCAAACGCCTCAGATCGTCCGATCATATCCGCACCTCCGACCTTTGATGAAACACATGTACGACCAGGAAGCCGGGCACCTTAAGACATTCAATCACCTCATCGCTAAGCACCAAATTCGTCCGACTGCCATGTATCCGGCATGGGAGGTAGCTGCCACATTTTTGGGTTGGTCGACTGCGGCGTTGGGTCGCGAAGCTGCGATGGCTTGCACCGAAGCTGTGGAGACTGAAATTGGATCACACTACAACGACCAAGTAAGGGAGATTCTGTCTTGGGAGGCAGATGCCGAGAGGCGGGGGGAGGAGCTGGATGAGGAACTTAAAGAAATGTTGACCACATTCCGGAGAATTCGTGACGAGGAACTAGAGCATCTCGACCATGCTGTGGCCAACGACTCAAAGGAGGCGAAGCCCTACGATCCGCTTGTCGATGTCATTCGTTTTGGATGCAGGACCGCTATCAAGATCAGCGAGAAGATCTAATCTGGCAATTTGGTGGAACGCATATGCCGGGGTTGCGCTGCCATTTATATATTCTGTTGCCTTCCAGGACTCCATGTACTATACCGATTAACTACATTCTTATCTCGATATTGATAACTATATTTAACATTGTATATTCTAATTCCGAGTTATGTGCCCAATGCAATCTCTCTCGCTCGCCGCAGGGTATCAATAAAATAACCGCCTTCTTTAGGCTCATGGTCTCTGACTTTTATCCCCAGTGTGTGTGGCCAGGACCGCTCACTCAGAGTCAATGGCTTTTTGCTCTAAGTATTCCATGAAGTTTTGGGAGAATCTCACAACCTGCTCGTAGACCTCCTCGAACCCATTAGCACCCCCATAGTAAGGATCCTTCACCACCTCACCGCCGCCAACGCGATCGTGCAGCTTTCCACCCTTGCCGAAATCACCAAACATCCGCACCTCGGCAACCTTCGCATCAGCCCCGTATGCACCGATGGCAGCATCTACGTGCGACCGCGTACTCCTCGAGCTTGGCTTGGTGTCGGTCTTCCTCTGCAGAGTCGCAATAACCGAGTCGCGCACATCCTCCAGGTCGCGGAGATTGGACTTGTCCATAGCGAGCAGGTAGTCGAAGGTGAGGAAGTCTTCCCTTGTCACTCTTCGGGCAGCATGCTCGTAGTTGATGATTTTGTGGCGGCGCAAGGTGGACATGGTGCGGGAGTCGGGCGGCTCGAGGCTGTGGTAGGCGGCTGTACCAGCGGAGTCGATCTCACCGATGGAGGGGTGGGTAGCGGCCAGGTTGCGGAACACTCCTTCGGCCATCGGGGAACGACCTAGACAGGTTTAGCATGTCGCAATGGCGGGGGAAGAATCGGGCATGATGACGAACAGATGTTTCCCAGGCAGACAAATAGCACGCTGGTGGGGTGCCTGTTCGAGTTGGAAGCCATAGTGGGGTAGCAGGGATCACCAAGGAATTTTGATGTGATTTTCAGGATATGCAGAGCTAGGAAGTAAGTGAGACGATAGTATACAAGGACTTGGTTCGAGTTTAACGATGCAAGTCGGGTATTATCGATAGGCCCTAAGTCGGGGTCTCCACCCAGGATGGATATCTTGACCTGCATTACGTCGCTGCTACACATATATGTTGTACGTCAGGGAGAAAGCAGGAACAAAGCAAGAACTAAAAGATGTGCAGATCAAGGCCCATATCCAGCTATTGAAGCTGGAGATACGGAGTACATCACCTATTGATAGTAGGAACAGGCAGCTGTTTATTTTTATTTTTCAGTTCACTGAAAAATAAAAAAAGAACAGTAGCCTAGCCACAGTGTGACTTCCGATGACCTCAGATGCTAAAAAAAGCAACACCGAAAAGTGAGAACAGGCTGCCACTGGTAGGGGCTAAGAGGAAATTGGTGAGCCACATGTGACAAGCCTGTGTGGCTGAGATCCAGTCAGTTGGCCCAGTAACAAGATCGGGTTCACTCCAAGTGGGGTTTCTCCTCTTCAACAATCCGTGGCTCAAGGGTTTCAGGACTCTTCCCAAGGTTCTTTCCTGCAATATCATTGGGTCTTTTTGTTCCGAAAGAAGAATCTGAGGGAATCTGCTCTTTTTTTCTAAGGACTGTCCCCTGTATCTCTATTCAACGGGCCTAATCAGCGTGTGAAGATACCTCCACAAGGCAGTGCGGAGCAGCACAGACACTTCTGATTCGCCCCCATATCCACCCATTATCGTTGCCGGGAATCGAAAGGCGTCGTAAACAACAGAGGGGACAACCCAGATTTATTCCACATTTTTTCGATCGCTGTTCTTTACCTACTACGCGGTCCTGTGACAATCCATAATCCATATACCCTTCCCTTGTATCAAATTTCGCTTGCGATCCTCCTTCATATCTGAAACGACGCCGAGAACTTGTATCCGTCAATCGGACTAGGGACTCCTCCCGCTGACGCTTAATATTCCACTCGGCGCTCCTGGCGCAATCTCCAACAACCTTGGGGCGGGATAATTTCGCTACACTCAATCCTAAGGCTCCTCCATTATGGCCTACAATCGTGTGGGTGCCGGTTAGTGCTCCTCCAGCCTTATTGGACCCTCCCTCTCTCACTCTCTGTCTCTTTTCATGTTGCCTGCGCATTCTCCATCTCTCTGAAACTGGTCAAATCAGTGCTGGTCATTGATTCAATGGTCTCAGTACGATTTGCGCTGTTAGATTATTGCCATTCAAGCTTTCATTGAGGAATCTTCTACGACTCAAAACTAACAATGTCGCGAACAGACCCGTTCGGAGACGAGCACACTTCGCCCATGTTGAATCCCTCCCATCTTACCGGATACAGCAATCGCACACCTTCCCCAGGGCGACCACTGGAACATGGTTACCAGCTCTCTGACAACCCATATGGGCCTCAGTCGCATCTTCCCATGCCATCCAGTGATCGCTTGGCCGAACAACCTACTGTGAGTATTACGAGATAAGAGCGAAGTATGCTGTGTACGACCCAATACTGACAATCTACCCTGAAAACAGTACTCGGTCGAAAATGTTGATAACTCCTATGGCCACCATGATGCATACGACGCACACCGTCCCTATCCTGGTCACGAGTATTCGCTAGACCCTGAAGCCCATCACGACGCCTACTACACCCAACCCTACCAGCCTACACACACCCCACATGATGATTATGACCTAGGGCAGTACCCGGAGGGAGGACACACCCCCTTTGAAGTTGACCAGCCCATGCTGGCAACAGGCGAAAACCCCTTCGGGCCGGACCCGTATACTGAGTTCCAGGATGAACCGCGCCCGACGCCCAGCCCAGCGCCTATTCGCCGTTGGAAGACGGTGAAAGAAGTCCAACTTTTCAACGGCAACCTCGTCCTCGATTGCCCCATTGCACCGAGACTGCTCAGCCAAGTACCCCACGCCGAGGCACCAGGTCGTGATGAATTCACGCACATGCGATATTCGGCTGCGACATGCGATCCTGCCGATTTCTTCGAAGAGCGGTTTACCCTCCGTCAGAAGCTTTTCGCAAAGCCTCGCAACACCGAACTCTTCATCGTTGTGACCATGTACAATGAAGATGATTTCCTCTTCGCGCGCACGATGTCTGGTGTGTTCAAGAACATTGATCACATGTGTTCGCGCACAAGCAGCAAAACGTGGGGCAAGGATTCGTGGAAGAAGATTGTAGTCTGTATCATTAGCGACGGTCGTGCCAAGATCAACCCTCGGACGCGCGCTGTGCTGGCAGGTCTGGGTGTGTACCAGGACGGAATTGCGAAGCAACAAGTCAACGGCAAGGACGTCACCGCGCATATCTACGAGTACACTACTCAAGTTGGGTTGGAAGTAAAGGGCACTCAAGTGCATCTCAAGCCTCGATCCGGGCCTCCTGTGCAGCTGATTTTCTGTTTGAAGGAAAAGAATCAGAAGAAAATCAATTCTCATAGATGGTTCTTCCAAGCCTTCGGTCGTGTCTTGGATCCCAATATCTGTGTCCTCTTGGATGCGGGTACCAAGCCTGGCAGGGACTCGATCTATCACCTCTGGAAGGCCTTCGATGTCGAGCCCATGTGCGGTGGTGCATGTGGTGAGATCAAGGTCATGTTGTCTCACGGCAAGAAATTGCTGAACCCGCTGGTGGCTGGTCAAAATTTCGAGTACAAGCTCAGCAACATTCTCGATAAACCCCTTGAGTCTTCATTCGGTTTTATTACTGTGCTGCCTGGTGCGTTCTCCGCCTACCGTTTTGTCGCACTGCAAAACGACAAGAATGGTCAAGGTCCACTAGAGCGGTACTTCCTAGGCGAGAAGATGCACGGTGCCAATGCTGGTGTCTTCACAGCCAACATGTACTTGGCTGAGGATCGAATCCTGTGTTTCGAGATTGTCTCCAAGCGCAAGTGCCGATGGCTCCTCCAGTACGTGAAGTCGTCTACTGGTGAAACCGATGTGCCTGATCAGATGGCCGAGTTCATTCTCCAGCGTCGTCGTTGGCTGAATGGCAGTTTCTTCGCTGCTGTCTACGCCATTACCCACTTCTACCAGATCTTCCGCAGTGATCACAGCTTCATTCGCAAGTTTATGTTGATGATTGAGTTTGTCTATCAGACAATTGCGATGATTTTCGCGTGGTTCGGAATTGTACGGTTCCCCCTCCATCCACCATTATTTTGTATCTATGCTAACGCCCTGCGCAGGGTAACTTCTTCTTGGTTTTCCACATCTTGACAACATACTTGGGCTCAGACGAGCTACTGGGTACTGCTGGTAAGGTTCTAGGCATTGTCTTTGAATGGCTATACCTGGCAACTCTCGTTACATGCTTCGTTTTAGCTCTCGGTAATCGACCCGGCGGATCCAACAAGTTCTATATGACCATGGTCTATTTCTGGATCGTGATCATGATATACCTTGCATTCGCTGCCGTCTTTGTCACGGTCAAATCGATCCAAACAGAGGTGGCCTCGAACACCTTTACGGTCAGCCAACTATTCACCAATAAGACGTTCTTTTCTATCATCGTCTCGCTTGGATCGACCTATGTCATGTGGTTCCTCGCCTCGTTCATCTTCCTGGACCCATGGCACATGTTCACCAGTGTAAGTGATCCTGTGGATCTAATTTTGTTGAATCTTCTAACATCCTCCAGTTCATTCAATACATCTTGCTTACGCCAACCTACATCAACGTCCTCAACATCTATGCCTTCTGCAACACCCACGATATCACATGGGGAACCAAGGGAGATGACAAGGCCGAGAAACTGCCCTCTGCGCACCTTAAGCCCGGCGGTAAGGTCGACGTCAACATTCCGCAAGACGACGGCGATCTGAACGCGCAGTATGAGGCTGAGATTGCCAAGTTTGCCATGAAGGCCCCCAAGGAGGTCGCAACTATTACCGAGGAAGAAAAGCAAGCCGACTACTACAAGGGATTCCGCAGTGCCGTCGTGCTCGCCTGGGTATTCTGCAACTTTGCTCTTGGGGCTGTTGTTCTGAGCGCTGCCGGTTTGGAAACTTTCGACGACACATCCAAGACTAGTGCCGAAGATGCGCAGACCGAACGCTCCATGATCTACATGGAAGTTGTTCTCTGGAGTGTTGCCGCTCTCTCAATGTTCAAGTTTATGGGTGCAATGTGGTATCTGGTTGTTCGTATGGTGAGTTATCTTCCTTGCACTAAGACTTTTGTCGATCATATACTAACATTTATATTCTAGTTCCGTGGCGTTTGATTCAGCGAACTTTTAAGCATGATGATTGTGTTCCTTTGCGCCTTGCAGCAATGCTATCTTTTCATATATCCCCTGATTTTATCCGGATTTGGATTTGGTTACAATACCACGGCGGGCCCGGTCTGGTATGCAAATGGAAATGAAAATGGAATATGTTTGATGACTTCCCCGCGATATGCTTTTCGTCCTTTGTGACACGTGGAATGACATGATATCGTGATGCATCTGGTTTTGGTCTTTTCTTTATATCATTTGGTCTGGTGCATTATTTGCATGTGCTTGCCTCTGCATATGTATACTTGGGCTCATGGTTTTTGTGTTTCTTGTGAGAATTTGTGTACTATATCTGTAGATATGGAGGAGCATTGATTATTCTGCAAACTTTGTGTTTATCCAAAAAAAGGAGTGTTTGTGTAGATGAATCCGAGGCATCACTGGAATTGAGCAGTCAAGATGCGAAGTTTCAAGTAGTGAGTAAATATAGTGACATACTTCTATCAGTTATGAGAAGGTTTCAAACAAGCTACATTGCTCCAATAAGTGTCTAGCGTGCACCAAATATATTAACACTATAAATCAGCACCAACTATCTAATCCAAATCAAATCAACTTCAAGAAGCCTGGTTCTTAGAATGCACACATAATGCAATTCCTCCAAGTACCAGCCCCATCCCCAACCATGTCTGCTTTGCAATCACCTTGCGCTCAACATACCACTCTCCAAGAACAGTAAACAAGAACGCACTCGAGTTTGCAAGCGGAACAGTTAAAGAGAGTTCTACACAGCAACTGGTTAGCTATTCCACATCTCAAACCCACAGAATCAGAAGCCAAGAAAGCCAAGGAATGACACCTACCATGTTTCCCAACAAGCAAAAAGAACCAAATACTGCCCGTGAGATTGATAACCAAGGGAATCGCATACGCAGGCGTGCGAAGCAGATTAACAACCGTCCAGAAAACAGAAACAACCTTCGCCCGCAGCCACGACTGCTTCACAGGAGCTCCACGCCTCCACGCCGGCGTAGGTATATCGTCCCGGTCCTCATCTGCGCCGCTTTCCCTGTCTTCCGTAGTATCGCGACTCCCGCTCTGTCCAGAGACTTCACCATCCGGCCCTGTATCTGCATCCGCAGTCTTCGGTTTCCGGTTCACATCACTGCTGCTCGTACTCCGCCTCCGCACACCATCCTCGTCACTGTCTTCTTCTTCCTCCCGAAAGACCAATTCCTGTGCCTCACCCGCATCCGAGAACCCGGTTTGCGGCGAATCTTGTGAGCGTCCTCTTCTGCGCTCTAGGGAGTTCGATTCGTTTGCTTGCTTCTCTTGTCGGGCGTTGAAGTCTGCGGCGGCGCGGCGGATAAAGGGGGTTGTGAAGCCCCATGCGACGCCGACGAGTAAGAAGGAGAGCACGTAGCTGAAAACAGAGGGGGCGGCTTCAACGGGGATGCCAGCATCTGGATCCATGTTTGTATCTTGGGACCTGGGAGGCTGTTGGACAATTGGTTGGTTTGTTGCACGGTGTTTTACTGCAGCCCTGACGTTGGTGCAGGCGATGGACCGTTGGTCTGTGCGTTGCTGATAAGATCCAGATAAGGTTGCGTCTGACGATCCTTGCATCGATAAAATGGATGCAAGGGTTGGCATGCTTTAGTTCATTGACAGATCGGGGATTTTGAGAATTTGAGATAAGGAATAGTAAATGAAGTAATGGCGCATGTACTGTATATTTTACCAATAGGTTTCGCGTACTTTGGGGTCAATTTTGATTGTTCTGAGGTTGATGGGCATCCTCAGGCAAAGTTTAGCCACAGTAAATTGATACAGCACTTAAGAGACGGCGTGAAAGAATAGACTGACTTACCTGTAGGGTTTCACACCGTGGAGGCTTCAACCAAGTCTGAGTGCGATGAAACAAACAAGATTCGTCAGTCAATTGCTCGCAACCCACAAGCCCACAAAGATACTGCACAAGAAAAGAATCAAGTACAAAATTTGCTCTCAGTAGGTCAACTGCGAGCCTCCGATCAAGCTTGCCCGGCCGCCACCGAGGGTGTCGCCACGTCTGATGGATGTGAAACATCATCAAGACCGATTCATCACAGAGCAAAAAGAGACCCACCACCCGCCTTCTCACTCGAACCCACTTCACCAGAGTCCACAGCACCAGAAGATCAGTTCCCTTATATCCGTTGCTTAAGCGAACGCCGAGGCTTGAGAAGACGAACGCCCACTGTGTCCGAGAAAAGACTCCTGATGTGCTTCCTACTCTAATGTGCTCAAACGGTCGCCCGTGCAGCATCCCCCTACTTCTCTCACCAGCAACAGTAACTCCTCCTCTTTATGTATCCTCACTGGCATCTTGAACCGTGGCAGCCCGCTGCCCTTCCCCCTTCAGTGCCGCTCGTCACAGGTGAGTCTGCTGTCGAATGCCCCCGCCAGTTATCCTCCTCCATCGTTCCAGGTGAGTCTGGTGTCGAAGCCCCATGTAAGATAAGAAACACTTGAAGAGATCGAAAGAGGGAAGGAGGAGAAGTATGACAATGAGGGTATTTATATGTTGGGGGAAAACACCACACCTTCTGAATCGGGAAGGCACCTTGACACCTATTGACAACGACTATAGGACGGAATGAATGAACTTTAATTTCCTGGCTTGCTTACTTCAACCCTTTTTGATACCAGTAGGTATCATAGTTTTTATGTGAGCTATATAGCCTGTTCTGCTTGCTTGCCCAGGACTCTAGTTACATACGCGATTCAACATATCGGCGTAGCGGCAATGATTATATGTCATGGACTTTGAGATCTCGAATACCATGGTACGGTCTGTGGTAGATCGCACGTGTCAAGCTATACATATCTACCTAGGTAGGAACTGTAGTCTACTAGAGTCAAACCAAGTAAGCACTAGGATGTGTGATATCTATATTAGCGGTTGTCAGGTGATCTTTCGTGTTAATTTCCCTGTGGCTTGTTCAAACCCATATTATATGCTCCACAAAGATGTAAATATGTCCGATTACGCCATCTATAGCCCTGCGATGGAGAACTGTCGAAAATTCATTGTGCGCATGCGACCGGTTTTGGAAGGTCGGACTAGTGGTGATAATATTGTTTTTACTATTCGGGATGGTGAGCATGGCTTTGATGGTGATGTTCGATATGAAGAAACTTGGTTGCAGGATAGCTTCACGGTTGCAGTAGGTACTTGGGTGGAGTAGTATCTTGAAGTAATATATAGTAATATATATATATATATATGTATGTATGTAGTCTATTAGAACAATATGTCTCTTTGTGCAGCACAGCACGAGAGACTCAAAAAGGAACAAAATATAAGAGAGATAAACAGGAAGGTTGGTGGATGGCCCAAAAGGCATTGGACGAAAGGACAAAAAAATCAACAAAAAATAGCAAGGAAATATAGACAAAGAATGATAAATATTAGCAAGAAGGTAGTGACAAAATTTAGTTGCCACCCTTCGATTTCTTCCCAGGAATGAGTTTGTTGACTGATTCCTTTATATCCGCACTGCTCCACCGCTTCACGCGGACAAGATAGTACATGATAGTAGCGACGAAAATATTGAAAGCAATGAATGCCCACATGATACCGAAGTTGCGCCACCTTTCAGAATAGAAGATACCGGCCGTGCCCAGGTACTGATCCGCAACTTGGAGAGAGCAGTAACTGCAATCGCTCGTAGCCTCGGGATTCATCAACTGACCGCCAGCGGCGGTGACATATTTCATGAGGTACTGTCCGCAAGTCTGGCCCGAGGGCGGATCGAAGATGGATAGTTCGGCGGTCGAGCATACCACCTGGCGATTGTGAAGCTGTGTGCCAGCCATGCCGCCGATCCAGTATGTAAATGGCGAGACACGGTACATGAAGATCCAGAAGCCGGGAAGAGCAGATGGGGGCTGCATCACACCGCAGAACGTAAGAGACATCGCGAAGAGAAGAACGACTACTGCACTGGCGGTTGTTTCGTCTGGTAGACCAGCAATGACCATGTGGGTGAAGGTGCTGGCGTAGATGAAGAAGACAATGCAGAACAGGAGGACGGTTCCCTGGGTCAGCGAATCGGGGATTCCAACGACAGCATAGAAGTAGGAGCCGTAGGTCAATATACCCATGACGACCATGAAGGGGACCTCAACAATGATGTTTGCGATGAGGAAAGCTTTCCAGGAGTAGGATTTGCTGGGACGTTCACGTCCCTCGTAGAGCGATCGCTGGCTGACGAACACGGGCATGATCTAGTGAAATTAGTGTATGTTCATTTGCTTGGATTCTGGGTTGAGCATACCTGTTGCGCCAATGATGAGAAGATTGTACAAATCATGAAGAGAGAGTAGATGACGGTCTGCATGCCTTGCAGCGACGTTTTGGCACCGTAGAAAGAGAAACCAATGAACAGACCAGAGACAATTCCAAGTCCCCATTTCGCCAGAATGTAGGATGGCATGCGCCAGTATTGCTGGAACACGCGGGATGTGACCTGGGTCATTTGGAACCAGAACGGCATGGCGAATTCAGAGTGACTTTGTGTTGAATCATCGGTGGCCGGGGGTTCATTTTCCTTTTCTTTATGAATTCGCTCGAGTTCAGTCTGGACCTGCTTGCTTTCATTGCTCTGCTTCCACACGTCGAACCAGTCCTGGCCCTTGTTATTCTGACCAGCGTTGACAATGCCCAGCATGTATTCAGCTGGGTTCTCGCTGTCCTCACACTTACGCGCACCGTTGGCTTCGAAGTACTCGAGCATTGTGCTAGAGTTGTCTCCGACCGGACCAAAGTACACAGTCTTACCGCCTCGGGCAAGGAACAGTAGCTGATCGAATTGTTGGAAGAGCATAGCGCTAGGTTGATGGATTGTGCAAAGAACTGCTTGGCCGTGCTCGGCAAGCTTGCGAAGGAATGAACAAATAGCCCAAGAGCTCTGAGAGTCGAGACCACTAAGACACAGTTAGCATTTGGAAGGTGTGAGAATTTGTTGCATGGGGTACTTGCCTGGTAGGCTCATCCAAAAAGAGAAGCAGCTTGGGTTTGGCGGCCAATTCGACGCCGATAGTCAACAACTTGCGCTGTTCGACGTTCAGACCCTCACCAGGGACACCAACAATGGCTTCGGCAAACTCCTCCATCTTCAACATTCTGATCACATCCTCGACATAGTCGTGCTTCTCCTTAGTCGAGACAGAGGCTGGCTGACGCAACATAGCACTGAATCGCAGAGACTCACGCACAGTAGCAGTATCGAGGTGAAGATCCTGCTGCTGAACATAACCTGTCTTCCTCTGGAAACTCTGATCCAATTCACGACCATTGACAAACATATCACCAGTGATAACACCCATCGATGTGCGGTGTGCCAGTACATCAAGCAAGGTCGTCTTACCAGCGCCACTGACACCCATGAGTGCAGTCAGGGTTCCAGGCTTGACCCAACCAGAAACATTATCCAAGAGACGACGTGGCTCGCCCTTAATCTCAATATCATAGGACACATCGCGCCAAGTGAAGGTATCGGTCTGAGCCTGGATAGCACCCATTCCCTGGTCGTCTGTATCCGCAGCAGGCTGAGCTTTAGATGGCTCGGTGCTTTCAACATCGGATCCAGACTTGTGGCCTTGGCGGAAACGGGCAGGCTCATGACCGCGACGGAAGACCAGAGCTTCGGCGGTACTTGTAGTAGCGGAGTTCAGCTCGGTTGCGACAAAGTAGATCATCATGAAACCGACCAAGAAGGCTATCAGGATACCAAAGTTTCGCCAGACGTGGCTGTAGCTGTAGGAGTAGTTCAATTCAATGTACCGGTCACCGTTGACTGTTCTAGATCCTGCGACCGAACCAGCCGCAGTGCAACTGAATGCATTGCCTGATAGGTCGGCGTATGCGGGAACATATGATGAGCAAGGGAACTCGCGACCATGGAACTCGTTGGCAATCAGTATCTCGAAGGCGTAGTAGATCGGATTGAGATAATGAAGCCATTCGAACCAAGGATGCATAGACGGAACAGGGAGGACAAAACCGGTGTAAACAACGAGGATCAGAATCATGACACCTGCCAGACCCATTGCCTGTGAGATAGTTTTGGTGACAGCGGCTAATGTGCGGAAGACTGCACTCATGACGAACGTGATGATGAGAGTGATGAGGAAGTAGAGGAAGAAGTTGGATGCTTCTCGTTTCAGACCGGCCAGGAAGTATAGGATGATGTTAAACACGACAGCCAATGCAAACTTAACTGGTATATCACTGAGCACACCAGCAATGGCTTCCGTGGCGGGATGATAAAAGGCAAATGAGGCATGTTTTTCGACAATTGGCCGTTGTGAGTAGAGACTGTTGATTTCGGACATTGCTGTGAGGGCATTGAGAAGGACGGCAAAGAACAGAGTTGCACCTTTTGACGTAAACCCTGCAGTTGCATCCGGAGTCCCGTAGAAGACTGATCCGATGATCAGAGCCATGATAATATTAGTGCCCACCGTAGCGATGGTTGCGGCAGCATCGTTCCAGAGTCGTTGATAGGCGCGAATGGTGTTGAGTTTGATTTGCATAGGAACACTGATGATGTATGGAGACTTGGGCCGGGTGTGTTTGGCCTGGGCGCCACGCTTCCATTGCTGGAGATCAGCGACGGCTTGCACATCATTTCCAACGGGATTTTGTCCTTCATATTCAGCAGTTTCAAACATCAATTGCTTGTATTCAGGTGACTTAAGCCATGCGGCCTCAAAGTCCTCAGGCGTACGGGGAACACGATTCTCCATGCCGGGCTTAGCTTGCCGCTCCTGAGGATTTGTAATCGAAGTGAGGAAATCTCCAGTGGTCTGTCGAGTCGGACAATCCCAGCCTTGGTTTTCAAAGTAGGACTTGGCTGCGGCAGCAGGTCCAAAGAAGATTTGGTGGCCTTCGTAAAGTACAATCACCTTGTCAAATACATCGTAGATGCTTTGACTTGCCTGATAAGCAGCGACCGCATGACACGAGCCAGTGATATCCGAGGACAGTCGCAAAGCCTCGACAAACTTCAATGCCGTGGCGGAATCCAATCCTCGAGTAGAGTTGTCCCAGGCAGCGATTGGAGCATGAGCCAGGGCCATCTCTGCAATACTGACACGCTTTCGCTCACCACCCGAAACACCACGGATGAAATCATCTCCGACGCGCGTGTTATATGTGTGACTGAGTCCAAAGACAGCCATGATGATCTGAGCCATGTATTTGGCGAATTCTGTGCGCGACATGCCTTGGAACCGTTGGGCGGGAGTTCGTGTTGCAGCTGCAAACTCTAGAGTCTGACCGACAGTCAAGTTCGGAAAGTGTCTGTCAACCTATACAATTCAAAGTTAGCAATGTTTTCATTAGCGTGGTCGATGTTGGGACTGTACCTCTTGGTTGTATACTAGCTCACCCTTGAACTCTTTTATCATGCGAGATTGAGAAATTCCTAGTGACTGTTAGCTCTATTGTAGAATGTTGGAGCTCGAGTTTTACCATTGTAATGAATGACACTCTCCTTATCCATACTCAAACCATGCAGCTCTCCAGTCATGGACTTCAGAAGTGTACTACAGCCGGCACCTGGCCGACCAAGCACAAGCAACAGCTCGCCACTTTTCAAAATGCCATTGAAGTCCTTGAGGATTCGCCTTTGAGGAGAGTGTGATTCACGAATGATTTGGGGCAACCGAAAAGGGGCAGTCAGGGTCGATGTGACTGTATCTTGGAACTGGAGCGCAGCGCCCGATCCATATACATTGAGTTGTTTGAAAACGACGTCTGATGTGTGTCCCGAGGAGCCATCCCGGTTGAGCTCGTTGAACGCCGCTTTGAGCCATTTTTGCAAATTGAACTTTCCAGATTGGGGGTCGAGAGATGGATCCTGTGCAGCGAGGACTGCTAGGGTATCTGTGGTTCCAGGGGTCGATTGTCGGCGAGACCGTTGAGTGGCTATTCTGGTGAGGGTCTCAACATCGACTTGGTCGATGAATGCCATAGGAGACTCGTCGAGAGTTGATGCATCTCCGGTATGAGGTGGAGTTGGTCCATCCTTTTCCCTGAAGGAGGAGCTTGTCTCGGACGTCATCGTGCCGAGAAAGAATGGGCAAGGAGCACAGGGATATTTGGACAGAGATTCGAAAACAAATTATAATGGAAAATCATTCAAAGGGGGAGGGGAATGATTAGATATTTAAGTCTTGGGCACTGTGGCCATTTCCGTTTTTGGATGACATTTTTACATTGAAACGTAACTGTGGATCGCCGTCGGGGGTCGGCGCAATTGAAGGCAATTGAGGAAATATATGAGTGGATGTGCCTTGGTATGATCCGGGAGCAATGATTGGGTGAGTTGACACCAAATCAATCTGGGCAAGTCGCCACAACTGTATCCTCCACTGCCCTACGCTATCATTGACGCTATGCAAACTTAAAATCAGTAAGCCTCGTGCTGAGTCAGCGGGACTTTCTTGGACCCTCGGCCCGGGAAAACGGATATTGAAGATCCCGAGCCCCCGGTCCCTCCGATTTTAGGTTAGGCACCCATGGACCGGTACATCGCTGGATGCACTAGTCCTTATGTATGTACATAAGTCTAATTATGTCCTAGCCTACTCCCGTACCGAGTAGAGCTTGCGAGGATCTGAAATCTTCCCGCCCCACATTTCTTCTAGATTCTCCTTTATTGATCCACAATTTTTCTTATGAAAAGTCTCCAGATCCAGGGTTCGGATGAAAATTCGGTCAGATTGGTCCTGTATCGGCTCGGGAACACATCGGCGCGTTTGCTTTTGAAACAAAATTCTGACGTTCTAATAGGTCCCATATTTACAATGTCCCGAACCCGTTATACCGGAACTAAATACTTTGTACTCCGTACACGAGGACGGTTGTATTGTACAATGCACCCTGATGTGCCGGATCTTGTGCATCTGGATGGTTCCAATGTTTGCTTCCAAGGTCGCATATCGCCACTTTTTGATCCGCATCTTTACCTGGTGGAGCACAGATTACCCCGGTATGCCATCCACGCTGGAATGTTCCCTCTAAACAAAATACCGTTTTCGATAGACTATTGATCTCGCCGTGACGCTATCTATAGTACCAAATTAATAAATAGGGGCACTCGGTGGACCACCCGTGGACTAGCTAACCATGTATGTAACTAGTACACCGTTAGTCTCGCGAAATAATGTTGTGATTTTGCATATGATCACATGCTAGCTATCACATGCTATCACATGCTTAAGGGTCGTTCTTTGTTGTTTGCATGGTTTGACGAAGTGGGTTTGCTACATTTATATACCTTCCAGCGGGATAACCCCCTCCCCTCTCTTCCTTCTCTCCCCATCTCTAGTATTTTGAATTGACTGCACTTTTTGTCCAAAGAACCGACACATAACAAATACAAGGGTAAAGTGATCAATTTTATAAGCTAAGTCCATAACAAGAGCCAAGTGCAGGATCTAATTGCAAGGCTTGCCTTGCAAAACCGAGTCAATAACACAGCCTAAAAATCGTGGATAGAGAGATCATACAGGGTTACATCTACATGGTTGATAAATCGAAATCAAAGGGCAGAATGAGCCTAAATGATTTGAAATAGAACCTAGGGTGTTCATTGTGCATGCAAAGTTGTGCCTTTCACATCGCCGCTGCGAATATTGAACTCGAGTGAGAAAGCAAGCTGAAAGTAGACAACCCAACGGAACAGTGGGAAGCCAGTTACCGAAGAGCTCGTTGGGGTTGGGAACAGTACATATGTATCTCCGGAAAAGATGGAGTTGACAAATGGCTGTTAGGTGTGGAGGTAGTTGGAGTTGCAAAAGTCATCTTAGCAATCCCCAAGTTAAGCTTCGATATCGTGATTCGAGAGCCAAAAAAGGCAATTAAACCGACAAAAGCAAATATACCAACTCAGACATAGAATAAAGAACGAAGTCAGCACTTCCGAATTGTTGCGACGAAAAAATATTTCCAGGGCGAAATTAAGACATCGAGGCATAGAAAGAGCATCAGTCTGTTTTGAGATGCTTTCGAGCACCTGGGACGCTGAATGTAAATACTCTACTACTCTACTAGTTTTCATAATTTAAGCCTTTTTCCGCAGGTCTATGTTGTACTTAACAAACTGAGAAGGGGGAGAAAATATCCATACAGATATCTAAAGAGACCGCGTGAAGAGACCACTAAGAAAGACGATCTGAGAAGACTACCATATAAAACTATCAAAAAATAATAATAAGTAGCCGACTATTCTTGTCTAGAATCTTGACAAGAAATTACATAAATCAAGTGACAGGTCAAATTGAAACAGGATTCGACTTGACATCAACGGGCGGGGAAGATCGGCGGGATCCGATCTGAGTAAAACAACCTGGGAAGCTTGGCTCCCCTCTCTTCCTCTACGTAAGCTCAAAGATATCATCTCACCATGGCAATCCAGTCACTACGCGAAATCAACGCATATAATCTACGCACGTTCAAGCGACAATATGTCTCCGAGATCTCAGGCTCGCTTGGCGATCTAGGTACATTTCTGCCTATCGCGATTGCGCTAGCTGTCAACGGCACCGTCTCCCTCACCAGCACATTGATCTTCTCGGGGATTTTCAATATTCTAACGGGTGTGTTTTTTGGTATTCCGCTACCAGTTCAGCCGATGAAGGCCATCGCCGCAGTGGCCATCGCGCGTAGTTTCTCAAATGGCACGATCGCTGCGGCGGGGATCTTCGTCGGCGCCTGTATCCTTGTCTTCAGCTTGACGGGTATCTTGCACTGGTTTGCCAGTGTAATTCCCATTCCGGTTATCAAGGGTATCCAAGTCGGGGCGGGATTATCCCTGATTATCGCAGCCTGTACCAGCATGCTGCAACCCTTGGGCTGGATCAGTCCCTCCTGGGCTGATAACCGTATCTGGGCAGTCGCTGCATTTGTTGCGCTTCTGCTCACCAATATTTATCGCCGAGTACCCTATGCAATGGTTGTGTTAGTGCTGGGTCTGGTGTTTGCTATTATTCGGACTGCATTGGTGGGGCATATGCCCGGTTTCGAGGTGTGGCATCCTTTTGTTCTGGTTCCGACCCCGCTTCAATGGCGTGTCGGTGCTGTGGATGCTGGTATTGGTCAAATTCCTCTTACCACGCTCAACTCCATTGTGGCGGTCGTCCACTTGGCGAATGATCTGCTGCCGAACGTGCGCACTCCATCCATCACCCACATCGGGCTGAGCGTGGCCGGCATGAACTTAATTGGATGCTGGTTTGGTGCTATGCCCGTCTGCCATGGATCTGGTGGCCTTGCAGCGCAGTATCGGTTCGGAGCTCGCTCAGGAGCAAGTGTGATCTTCCTCGGCCTGTTGAAACTTCTCATCGGCCTTCTCTTCGGAGAGACCTTGGTTGACCTTCTGAAGCGCTTCCCTGCCGCCTTTCTCGGCGTGATGGTTATTGCAGCTGGCGCGGAGCTGCTTAGCGTGGGCGAGAGCCTCAACACCACTGGTGCTCGGGACCTCGGCCAGACCGGTGCTGGACTTTTGTCAAATTTGGGGGAGCATATTGGCCCTGTTCTCACTGATGAAGAACGCAGTCGCCGCTGGACTGTCATGATGGTCACTGTGGGATTGCTGGTAGGGTTCAAAAATGATGCGATTGGCTTCATTGCTGGTATGCTTTGCCACTGGTCCTACGACATCCCGAAATGGTGGGAGAAGGCGCGTAGCCGCTGGTCAGAGGGGCGTTTGCGTCTACGTGACTAGACATACATTGGAGTGAAATTTTCGGTTTTACGATCTCATGATATCCTTCACGACATATGCATGAAGAACTCACCAGATATATCATTTTTGACTTTATATATAGCAATAAGCGAGTGCAATTACTTACCATAAGCAAATGCAAATATTTACCAATCCACTCACCCTAGAGTAAGTTCCTAATATCCACGTCACTCTCTCTCCGCAGCCTGGTGCCTGTACTAGGATCCTCATACGGGCGGTTCTCCCTTGCCGAAGACGAGAGGCCATCCGCAGCAAAATCCACATCCCGTCCGAGTCTCCGACCACCAGCATCCCTCATCTCCTTGTGACGCCTAGTAACCCCGCCGATATCATACTCGGGTTGGTCATTATAAGAGCCGGTCACGGGGTCATAAACCCTAGACCCCAGCGGCGAAGAAACCAAATTAGACGAATCGTCCTCGCCGTCCCCATCCAAGAGCTGAGCCGCCGCACCCCCAATATCAGCCAGGACATTGCGCGTGGAATCTTCGGACGCGTAATTTTTGGAATCTGAAACATCGTCATCTAGCTCGGTGATGCGCCGTACTCCACCTGCAGAGGTAACACCCGTGGGCTCTGGTAAAGCCAGCTGTTCCTGACCTGTGCTGTCGTAGCGCCGCTCTTCAACGACTGCAGGTTGGCCTAAATCTTGCTGGGCGGTACGTACGATTGTTGTGCCGTCGGGTTCGGTGTATGATGTTGTCGAATATCTGTGTCCGGTTGTAGTCTTGCCGTCGCTGCCGTTGGTTGTGGAACTGTAGTAGTACGAGGAACTTGTGAAAGAGTCGGACATCGTGGTGAACGGTAGCGCTCGGTGGGATGTGGGAGAGTAAAACGGCGATCTGGTCCACTTGGAGTTTTTTGCAGTTGAGTTTGTTTAGTTGGGCAATGGAAGGTTGATACTAAACCTTTGCGAGCTTTTTTAATGTCGGTTTGCTTGTAGAAGCTGCTCTGTGAAATGTTGGCATCGGCACTGTAGAAATTGTAATGATTTCTTTCGAAGTTTCAACCTGCTCAATTTCGATACATATGTATGTTTATATAGTTCGTCTTGTCCTGTCCTGTGGCAAGCTTAACTTGCCGCTTGCATCATTGCCTCCTGAGGCAACTAGCCTCTATGGAAGAGGCAAAGGCCCATCGGTGTCACCGAGGGGTCTGGAGATACCCCACGAGAACTGAGCCGGGGAAACAGAGCATATATCGAGCGTGTAGGCATTATCCATAGATGCCACGTGCACGGATGAAGCCCTAGATAAATTACTGGGCGTATCAAAATGGCTTATCACCTCTCCCCCGCTTTTCAACATCGAAACCAACCCATCTCCAACTCTGGAACACAACACACCTCATGACTGGACTTACCGAAGCTCAAATTGCCTCCTTCAAGGAGAACGGGTACCTCGTCCTCCCCGACTACCTCACCCCAACCGAGGTCACCGGTCTCCTCGCCGAGACAAACAAACTCCTCGAGGAGTTCCCCCTCGAATCCCACCCCCTCACCCAGTTTACAACGGGCGACGAAACCGCCGACCATGTAGGCGACGACTACTTCCTGAACTCAGGCGACAAGATTCGCTTCTTTTTCGAGCCAGACGCGTTCGGAACCGAGCCGGATCCTTTAACCGGCCGGGCCGCGCTACTAAAGCCCAAAAACCGCGCCGTCAACAAGATCGGTCATTCGCTGCATACCTTGTCGCCTCCCTTCAAGGCCATATCACTCAACGAGCGGAACGCTGCTGTCGCGCGGTCCTTGGGATTCGCCGATCCCCGCGTGCTGCAGAGTATGGTTATCTGTAAGCAGCCCTCGATTGGTGGGGCTGTGCCGTCCCATCGCGATTCGGAGTTTTTGTATACGGATCCGCCTTCTGCCGTAGGCTGGTGGTATGCACTGCAAGATGCGGGACCGGCGAATGGGACACTAGGTATGTACAAGGGGTCGCATACGAGAAGGAAGGGTGGTCACATTGCTAGAAGGTTCGTGAGGAAGGAGAATGGAGCTGGGACCGAGTTTATTGAGAATCAGGGGCCTTCACTCCCCAAAGGCATGGAAGAGGAGAAGAGTTCCGAGGCTACAGATGAGGATCTGGAGATTCTTGATATTAAGGCTGGATCGCTTGTGCTCATTCATGGGAATGTTTTGCATAAGAGCGAGAAGAATACCAGCCTGAATAGTCGGTATGCCTATACCTTCCATGTTATTGAGGGCGCACAGGGGTGGGATTATGATGAGCGGAATTGGCTGCAGCCGCCTGCTGGTGGGTTCTCAAAGTTGAATACTTGATACACAGTCAGAATACGAATGAATGATGTTACGGTCCATAATGGTAAATAGTTTGACTTTTATTCTTTATGCAAATCCTGTACAAAAGATGGCCCGCCATATACACCAAGTGTGCGAATCCCAGACACCCCGAACTCCAAGTTGCGATTCAAGGCCGTCAGATCAGGTTGCCTTCAACATGTCAAGCATTCCTTTCGTTTGCCACGCTTGTTGGGCCATCTCCACTTCATCGCGCACCCGGCGGTGCAGACGCTCCACCATCTTGTCGACCTGTGCGGACTGGCCCAGGTTTCCAGAGTAGATATCAAGAAGGTTCATGGCGACCTCGACGCTGAGATCGACCAAGCGGGGTTCACGGATGTTCTTGTGAACCCACTGCAGGACGGGCTGGAGGCTGACCTCATCACGGTCCTTCAGAGAGGCGCGGAGGGCGGAGCGGTGGCGCAGGGCCGTAAGTAGAGTAAGTTGCGCAGTCTTGTCGGCTGAGGTGAGGACCTGGTCCAACGCAACAGAGTAGCGTGCCTTGCGGAGATCGTTCTCCCAAGGCTGCTCTCTCTTCCGCTTCTTGCGGTCCTGGCCCTCAATGACAATCTCCACACCTTCTCCGATGAAATCGCGTCCACGTAGACGCTTTTCCCACCCAGAGCCACGGGTCTTCTTCTTCTTAGCGACTTCGCGGTCGTGCTCCTCCAATTTACCCTCCAGCAGGGCTGCCATTTCCTTCCGGCGCTCCCGCTCCTTGATCTTCTGTTGGCCAGACAGTCGGGTCTTGATAGACAGAAGACCTGACTGCATACCGACAGCAATGTGCTTATCCTCGTATTCGGTTCCGGAAGTAATCGCGCGCAGAGAGAGAATGGGCGACGGGTATTTGGATCCGGAGACGGGGTTCCACCCTGTGGTCTCAAAGACCTTCATGTGTCCATCGAGTGCACCACTCAGCAATCGCTCACCATTGGAGGCTAGCGCAAGGGCAGTGACCGTCTTTTGATGACTCTGGATCATGTGTAGCGGTTTACCAGCCACAATATCCAGCACCGCAATCTTGTTGTCGGCCGCGGCCAGAACTGTAGTTCCGGCGGGCATGGGCAGAATAGTCTCGATCGGCGCACCCATCTTGAACGTCATAGCGGCACGGTTTCCAACTCGAGGATCCCACAGTCGAACAGTACGATCGTAAGAACCCGAAACCACCAGACCGGAAGAAGCCATCGAGCCAGGCATGAATGCACCGCTACGTACGTAATCGCTGTGGCCGACAAAGGTGCGCGCACTAGTTTGGGACGGCAAGTCCCACAACCGGACTGTACGGTCATCACTGGCAGTGAGGACCGAGGTAGGATCGCTGGGAGAGAACTTGGTCACCCACACGGGCTGCTTGTGGTCCTTCCATGTCTTCAGAATGGCGCGCGATTTAACATCGAAAACTTGCACGGTACCGGTGTCGTCACCTGTCACCAAGACACGTCCATCCGCACGAACGTCAGTACCGCGCACGGTATCGTCAAACCGTGTGAGTGTCCGCAGGAGTTTCCGTGTGCGAATCGAATAGATCTGAACTCGTGCGCCTGTTGTCACGGTGAAGACATCGGGCGGTTGTGTAAGAGAGGGGAATGCCGCAGCAGAGGAAGGAACGGAAGGCTGAGTGATGAGGTTGACCGGTCCATTGGCCGGCGACGGGATTAGGAGCGGGTTTTTGAATGTTCGCCAGTATTGTTGCTCGGGCGTTAACTGCGTCGAGGGTAACGAGGCGAGCTTGACCTGCTGCAGAGGCAGGACGGGCGCCGCCATGATTGCAGTGGTGAATAAACAGTAGTTGTTCGGGGGGTATTAGTTAGGTAGGCAACCCGGGATGAGCAATGGGTGGTTAAGGTGAGCCAACTAGAGTGCTACCGTGAAGTTCATGAAGACCATCTTTTTTTCTGCCGATCAAAAAAGTTCGTCTCGCCCAATCGGGAATGGTGGCGGTAGCTGTTGTTGCCTGAGGCATTAATTTTTAATATTTCAGCCTGAGGCCACACGGCAGAAATATGGCTCTTGGCATTATCCACGGGCATCATTCTTATCTTTGGCTGTGCATCACCTGGCAAAGGTATGCGCTGACAACAGCCAGAGCCTAGACTGGATCCCCCATCAGAGGAGTCCAGAGTACGAATGAAATTTACAAGATTCCTCTAGACCGATATTTTCAGATCCTCGGATTCGAGCCATTGCAACTTCTCTACCTCTGATTATCCATTAGGATACAAGCACAATAACCCCGGGCCATTCAGCTTTCCTCGGCAGAGCATCTGCATACCATACATAATTTTCCGAATTGACAGGTGACGCCCGCAGATTCCATTTCGGGTAATCTATCCTGTACGCAGTACATATCGATGCTTGCTCTTATATGTCACCTCCATCATGGTCAATCAACCTCGAGAGATCTTTCCTCGAGTAAGCCTAACGTTTTCCATCAATTGACCCGCCTAAAGATAAACCCGAAACCTGCTGGATATACGTTGTACATCGTAGGCTTCCACATTTCGACCATCTCGTCATGTTAATAATAGTAACCCTGGCAGGGATTGATTGCCCCACGAACCCACTGAGGCAGTGAGGCAGGCAACATCGTTGATTATAAAAGTATCTGGAATCAGTAGGGGATGATGTGTGCAGAGCAGGCGAACAAGACAGTCTCACTAATATTGCCAATGTATGACCTGCGGTACCAAAAAAAGGCATACCCAAAATCCGACTCACATTATACACAGGAATGATTAGGACTGTGAGTGGTCGCTATGGCAATTCGGTGGGGGGAAAACGGAGATCCATCGTGGTGCAGCTAACCCTAAAGGTGGGGGAGCCGCGACGGCTTGACAGCTTATTGAAGCCCCAATGCAGCTGAAACCGGATTCACAAACAACAGTACGGAGTATTGAGGGATGACGATCTTGTCTGGACCCAATGGTCGGCAGTTTACGCCCTGTCCCACTAGGAATGCGCAAATCTCTGAATCTGTGGTGGCTGGGGATCCGATCGAGCTGACGGCGATCCACTGCATGTGGAATACCTGGCTGGGGTTGGTTAAAGAGAGGACTTGAATGGCATCATGCAATATATTGCAATATATATGAGGATGTTAATATTAGCAATCTTGAAATTATGAGGTATACGGAATACTCCGTATCAACTCAGCAGTGTACATATGTATGTAGTTTCCAAGTTTCTCTTTGTTTACTCGGATGCAAGGTTTGTGTATCCACGGGTATGGTAAATCGACCCAGACACCGCCAGGGGTAACAACCAATCAACAGTCCAGATCTGATACAACCCCAGCCACCTCCAATACTCTGGACATCGGACATTCCAAGAGTATCTTTTCTCTTTTCTTCTTCCCCTCTCCCTAGACATTGGCTCAATGCTCTTTTCTGTTTATATCCAATACACCTGGTGATTAGAAACTGGGTCAACAATGTCGAAGATCTCCAAGGTCAACCATGCGGCGGGCATCTTCGCTGACATCTCCGTCGATGGCCCCATTATCGGCACCTTGGTCGCAATCATCGACCGAGCCAAGAACCTACCAAACCGAAAGACCATGGGCAAGCAGAATCCCTATGCTGCAGCACGATTGGGCAAGGAAGCAAAGAAAACACAAACAGATTTGCGAGGAGGACAAACTCCTAGATGGTAAGCTTTTGGCCTGATAGATGTGGGAATTGAAGCTTACTTCTCTAGGGACTCGGAACTCCGATTTACCGTCCATGAATCCCCCGATTACTTTAAGCTAAAGGTCTCCGTGTTCAATGACGATAAGAAGACAGACATGATCGGCGAGACGTGGGTCGATTTACAAAGCTTGATCATTCCGGGTGGAAGCCAGAATGATCACTGGCACCCACTTCAATACCGTGGGAAATATGCAGGAGATATCCGAATTGAAATGACCTACTACGACACCAGACAACAAGACGAGGTCCTGATTGGACGCCGACAAGAAGCTGCTGACAGGGTCCAAGGCAAAGTCCTTAGTACTCCAAGCAGTACGGGCTTGTCTGGTCCTCGGCAATTGAAAGATGTCAAGCGACGACCCTTGCCCAGTGGTCCTGCAGGGGTCCCGGCAAGACCAGCTCCTCTAGAACAAGCCCACTCTGCGCCTCCACTTCACCACCCGGCCCCGTCGAGACCCGCCCTGCCTGAACATTCAAACACCGTATCTGGTGCTCCGGACGCCATCTCCTACGCCCCGAGACATTCAGAGCCTGCTTACGATGCGTCGTCTTACCGCGCACCTTCTCCTGTCCCGCCCCCTCCCGGGGTGGGTATGATGGTACCGATAACTATACTCAAGAATGGAACACCCCAGCTGTTGCTCCTCTTCGCCGACAAATCACCCATGAACTCCCTTCTGCCTCCAATGAAGTTATTGAAACCCCATATGACTCGCGTCTACTATACCAGCAGCAGGAACAAGAACTGCAGCAACAACAACTGCAGCAACAACAACTGCAGCTGCAGCAGCAGCAACAGCAACTGCGGAATCATCCCGAGTATGATCAGCCACCTTCGAGAGACTATCGCCTCGCCAGGCAAAGTCAGTACGAGGCAGACCCACATGAGCAAGTGCCATACCATTCCACGCATCAAGATCTCTACTCTCAAATAGAGCAACCCCGATACGATCCAGACCCTATGTCATATGGGGCAACGCATGCACACGAGTTACCAGCTTCGGACTTTATGCCTTCCTCTTTAGGGCCAGTGGATGACCCACGGTACCATCCACACCGAGTTCGACCTCTACAAATCACTGCTCATGGTCATAACTACCACCCAGAGTATGCCGGAATGCAACCACGGGTAGAGGATGAAGATGATGATGGACCGCCCCCTCCTCCACCGGCACACCGGTCACAAAGGCCGCACTCTCAGCTGCCTACGCCGAAAACATCGCCCCACCCCTATGCATCCTACACACCCCCATCTACTTCTCGATCCTCAGTTCCCCATCTGCCATCGAGCATATCTACCGCGTCTCACCGAGATCGTTATCAGGAGCCTTCGTCAATGGGGAGCTCCCCAGCCATGCCCGCAAGCCTCGTCGCAGGTTATGAACCGGAAGACTCATCTGAGAGAGCAGCAGCACTCGAGCGATCAGTCCGCAAACGCAGCACCCACTGGGATGATGAAATGATGATTTCCCAGTCGCCTGAACCAGTTCCTGTATCAGCACCCGCCCACTATGATGCTCCTGTCTACCCTCTGCGAACATCCCCCCGACCTATTGAACAAAGACCCACTTCCAGCAGAGGTGGATCTGTCAGCCCTGATATGCGGGCTGTGACCCGGAAGTCAGTCAGTCCGCGGCCCTCTTCTTCAGACGTCCGTGGTGGATCTTCAATCCCTTTCTCTCCCGACTCCTACATCTCTCTAAACCCGAATGCCTCTCACACTCCCAGCCGAGATCCTTCCCCGGCATACGACTCGCCTTCGCAAGCTAGAGATGCCGTGATACGTGGAAAGACTGAACCCCATCGAGACATGGATCACCCAATTATCGGGGATGATGGTCGTGAGATTGACCCCTCTGACCATCTTCCCACTGATACATGGGCGCCCGAACCAGAAAGGAAGAACCGCAAGCCCGAGGTTATCATCCGCTTCAAGCACTCGTCCCGGCCAACTTCCAGAGGCAACGACACCCCCTCATCACGCAGCACAGGCCCGCCACGCGTCGGGTTCAGAACAGAGACCACTACCTATCCGTCGGATCGCTCAGTCCAGTACACACCCACCCATGTGAACGCGAGTCCAGGATCAATGGTTCGAACTCCAGCTCGGCCGGACTATGCGCGTGAACGCTCTGACAGCTATACGCAAAGTCGGGTCTACAGCACGCCCACTTCGGTTGAGCGGCCGCGCTCTTCTCGAGGCTCTGTCTCGCCATCTCCGGGGTCTCGTACGCCACTGTATGACTACAGTCCAGGTCCCCCGATTCCAAACAAGGTGCCAATCACTGGAGGAAGCCCAGGCTATCCCGTCATGTCTGGCAATCCAAATGGAAACATCCGCATGGATGCCCTGAGTCGAGAGCTGAGTACGATTGACATTGGCTCTGCGGCGTGCAGCCCTAACCGGGGGGCTGTTCGAAAGTACGTACCAAGACAACCAGCGTCAATGGGCTACGCTAGGTAAAACGATTTTCTTTTCACATTTATGGATGACTTATGTACTGCTATGTTTGTTTTGGACCCTTGGTGGGCATATTTCGCCGTTATTTTCGATTTTTGTTTTCAGATTGCATTGCTCTTGATATCCGGCAAAGATGGCGTTATGGATTTGATTTACGGGGGATATAGCTTCTGATCATGTACACATAACAGGAATAACAAATGATACCTTAAAGTGACACCTTGACTCTTACTACTAGATGGGTGTTTCTGTAGACTTGAGACTATGTTTGACAAGTTCATTGATGTAATCGCTCGGTGGTCTGACAGTAGTCCTCACCGCTGCCTTATAAGTGTCCCTGATATCCCGGTTTCTCCAGTGGATTTTGTTCCATTCCGTTAGCTCGGGCTGCCTGTGGTTGTCTCTTCACAATCATGCTGTCATATATGGAGATATTACGCCCAGGCCGTGAGCCACAACCTCATAACTTTTACACTTTCGTATAGAATATGGTGATCCCTATTGATTTAGAGCAAAGGCTCTGCCTGCATCCTGCCTCTGTGGACATAAGCACCACCGTCATACTCAGTAAATCTATTGTAGAGATTCGGCTATTCCAATTTGTTATCTGGCTACTGAACAGCACACACGATGCACTTAATAGATATTAGGATAGTGATATCCAATAAAGAGAAAAGTCATCTGAATTCGACCATGTACAAACATTGTAGGAAATTTCCTGCAAACTTATAAAAGCCCATCCTATTCTGATACTGCTCTTCCTCCTCTATCCTATCCCCACGCTGTTTTACTTTCCATTTTCGCCCAACACCTGAAGCCTCTCTCACTATCAGATAGCTCGTGCATCATCGACAACGGGGCTTTGCTATCAGAAATCATCACCTAGGTACGTTCGTTATCAAGAACGTACTTTCCCATCTTCCTTTATCTTTGTCTTGTTTCGCACCATAGCTTCCATCCAGCATGCAAGGCCAGGGCCCTGACGTCCCAGGCGATCGGGGCCACCTCCCTGAGGAGGACATGAAAGTGTATGTATATGCAACATCCCCAGAATCTACCCGGTATTTTATAAGTTGAAAATATTGCTCGACCTCCCTTCCATGACATGTTGATATACACGTCTTTTACGTTTGTCTTGAGATCGGATTTATTAACTTACAGAGCTTAGGCCTAGCAACACTACCCATGCCAACCAACATGTTTCAACGTGAGTATACGATATATCCCCTGGCAACACTATTTAGCATCCAAGCCTATTCTATCTGGCGTCCTATCTTTGTTTTAGCCTTTCATTACTCCTTTGCCTTCCCGTTCCTTGTTCACTATATATGAAGTGTGCCCCGATACAAGCCCGTCTTGTGTGTCGAGAGCATGGTATTCTGTGAGGATGTCAGCTAATCGAAATATTAGCCCCGATAGGTCCGGTCAAACAATTCACCAGGGAAACCCACCCCTGTCGCTACTTCTCTCCCCCCCCACATACTTCACCATTGATACCTCTGGACACAATCAATTCCAGTCCTCTATCTAGTCCTCCCCGCCAATACGGCACAGCACAGCCACTTGGTTCCCGTTTCACCAACGCAAATGGATCTTATCCTATTTATGATCCCATCCGGGGAGTGCAGCTCAGGAGTGCCGCTGATCGCGCCAATCCATACCGGGATAGACTGGAACGAACTGACCATGCACGAGGGCAAGAACGGGCTCGCAGCAGAAGTCCTCGCCGCCCAATTCAACCCGTTGACCTTCCCGAATCTCGAGAAGTACCAAGAGTTCCAAATATGGGATTCAATCACTATCCTCGGGAGATATATGTCCCCCCCGGAATCAATGACCTGATTCCTCAAATCCTACCTAGCTCCTCCCCGACACTATCTTCGAACAACACCCAGCGTGGTTGTGGTCGTGGTCGTGCACTGGACCACCTAAGGGACTCTCCTCAGCAGATTTGCCCTTTCAATGACGGCAAATCGTATGAATACCTCCACGACCAGCAGCAACAAGTGCAGGCGTGTGACTCGAGACCCGAAAGACCCCCGGCCAACAAACAAGAGGAAAATACCAACGACAACGACGAGGATCATCTATGTGAATTTGCTGCTCCATGCCGAATGCATCCCTCACCCGATGGAATGCACTACCGAAAGGTCGTTTCGCACGTGTTTGGCAGAAACAAGGCCGTTACCAAGCTGTTCCCACTCGGCGTCTGGGTTCATTATTGTCGAAAGCACTACCAGCGTGCTCGGTATCGCGCAGACCAATGGCCGTTTACGCAGTGTGACCTCCTATTAGAATCACTGAGCCGAATGGAGAACTGGGATGGAGTGGAGAGTTTCGAACTCATCCTCCGCCGCCGAGAGCAAATGCGTGTCGGACGTGAAGCCGACGGCGCACCCACCACCGGGACCTCTAATCAGAACGAGATTACTCCCTCTGCCGGCCAGGCCCAAGACCAAGAGAACAAGTCTTCGGGCGTCGTTACTCGCTCCCCAGGCCGTAAGCATCCAACTGCCATCATCGCCCCGGTCCCAGACTGGCTTCGCCAACACGTTGGTCACGGCAAGACATTTCAAGAAATCCGCCATATCATCGAACTGGTGCGTAACCACATGGTCAGGCTGCGAAATCGAGAAAGAGCGCAACACCAGTTCAATCATATTCCCAAGTCCCCGAGTGCACCAGGAAGCCCTCGTCGAGGTGCATCTTCTAACGGCCGAAAGGGACGTATCGCTAAACCCACCAACCGAGACACCCTACGCCTGCGTGCTAGCACTGTTCGTTTCCCCGATGTTGAAATCCTCCCCCATTTCAAGCCATGGGTTAAGGAGGCTGCGCTTCGGCAGCGATCTGCCACTAACCGTCCCATGAAAGAAAGGGATATCAAAGACTATGAGTCGGAGCAGAGGATTTCCGGAGGGGGACATATCATTGGAGAAATCCAGGATACCCGTGACGCCAATGCTCGAGCTGAATCAACTCAGCCGACAAACGGCGACTTTGCGACTAACAACACAACACCCTGTCCGGAACAACGCTGCGAGTCCACTTCCGCGATTGAGACTGCTGCGGCCAATCTCTCGCATATGCAACCCCACATCGGCAGGGCTGGGACCAACCGTGGCCAGTCCGAGAGCCAGCGGCGACGCAGCGAACGGGTCTATATCAAGGCCTTAGACCGTATCTCTAGCCAGGGTTCTATCAAGAAGCCCGGCAAGGATGGTGAGCCGGGCAAGGATGACGACAAATAGCTTTCCGTCGACTCGCCAATCTACTTTCTGATGATAACAATCAATGAGCATATCAAAAAGAAAAGAAAAAAAAGGATTGAAAACGAAATCAAAAAAGAAGTCTTGACAGATTATTGCCTTGCCAGCATATTCCAGTGACAAGCTGAGCTCGGCGGGGTATTGAATGGACTCGTCAATACAATGTTTAAGTATGCCTTGTGGTCGATGAATCCAATTCGAATTCGAAGAAGAAAGATTGAAAAACTTCCAGATTGATTGGAAAGAGGCACAATCACCACAGACTCAAGGGCTTATGTTAACCTACAGCCTACGCATATGATCGGTGAACGAAGATATTGTCCTGTTCATGCTGGTCCACATTGGTATCAGGCCATGATGCCCTGCGGGTGATTTCAATCCCCATGTTCATTGTGTTTCAGATATGGAGCGAAAGACTAGCTGAAGATTTATGAAGACTTGGATGGGGACTTGGAGGAGGAAGAGTAAAGGAACAAGCAAGAAAGAAACAACACATGCCACGGTGCTGAAGAGTTGAACAGTTTTGGTGCATTCAACAGATATGGCTAGAATTTGATAGCACTGTACTCAATACAATTGATTCAATTTAATTGCCTTGTGAGACTTGGTCAATAACTGGCTGTCTTGATTAATTCTACCTAGGTACCTTGGTAAACATCAGATAGTGTTATGCTGATCCATGGGAGTCACCTCGACGGTTTAAGGCTATTTCAACGATATTCGTAAATCTAGCGTCTCAGATCCCATTTGTAGCTTCATCAAAAGACCACCTAGATACATATTTATGTACTCAGCTAAGCAAAGAAAAGTCAATTGAACGAATATTTGCATGAGAAAGGGAAAAAAAAGAAAAAATGTGAGACACATACTCCGTACAATGTAGATAGAACCCGCAACAATACGACTCGCTTGCTGGAAAGACACCGAAATGCAGCAGAAACAAAAAGCTCCTATGCAACCACCCAGGCAATATGAATAAAAAATTAATGTAAGGTAATTATCATGGTAGTTTTTGTATGAACAAAAGCCAAAATAAGGTCTCAGATAACAGACTGATCTAGCTTGCCACAGCCAGCTGGGCGACGAGATCAGACGCCACATCAAGGAAGGGGTAAGGGCTGGTCACCTCCTTCTCCTTGTTCTTGAAGCGCTTGCTGATGGGATGCCATTCGGTGTCACCGTCGGCGCGGATCACGTTCTGGTAGCCATCGCATTTGAAATCAACCATGTAATTGTTTTCTTCGAGTTGGTAAAGCTGGATGTCAAGGAAGACCCAAACACCGTATGTGATGTGCGGGAGTCCGCTTGGTCCATTGACAGAGGAGGCCCCGCTCGTAAGACCGCTGTCGGGTACGGAGGACTGGAGGTCTCTGCCCTTGTCTTCTGTTGGCGCAGAGATCCCCGAGATGTTGAAGCGGCGGCGCAGTTCTTCGAGGTCGCTGCGGCTATTGTAAACACTGGTGGAGGCCCCAGGGGCCTTGATGCCTTCTTTCAGTAGGCGTGCACGAATAAACCATGGGTCCTTGGGAATGTAGTAGTCGGATGGGAGGTCGGGGTATTTGCTCTGCAATGGTTTGGGCTTATCAGGGGAGGGGGTCGCGTCGGGGCCGATATTGGTGCCTAGAGAATGTAAGAATGAGCTCAAAATGGGTAATGAGTGGAAACATACCTGATTCCACAGGTTGAATATCCCACAATCCACCCTGGGCAGCAATTGCCCGGTACAGATACAGCATGGCCTCATATGGCTGGTTTCGGGATCGAATACCAAACTGCCATTTGCGGCTCCGCTTTGGCTGTTTTTCGAGGGGTTGGCCTGTTGGCGGCTCGAATCGCAACTTGTCCAAGTCGACGACACTGCGTGCGTGGGGCTTCAATGCACGGGCCGTGGCGGCCTGTTCTTCGGGAGACATGTCACGATAGGCAGATCCATGTCCCTCTCGGTCAAGGTGGGCGGATTCTTGGCGACGCTGCTCGAGCATTTCGTTGCGAGCTCTTTTATCTCGTTCACGTTGTTCCATGAGTTGGTCGTGAACATATGGTAAGCTAGTAGGGAGGATCCGGACGTGGCTAACGCGAGCTTCTTCCTCGGATTCTGATTGCTGTGGATCTTCCGAGGCCATCCGGCGCGATGCACTGGCGGTCCTGTTCATGGTGGGTGCAGGGGATCCTTGAGGACGAGGCACAGGAGTCCGATCCGCAGATGAAGGTGCAGCTCCTTTCTGGACATTTTGAGCTAACAAATTATCCTCCGTGGGTGCTGGTATCGTTAGCAGAGATGTAGGTTAATTAAGTATTTCGGGTCTTACAATTGGTTTGCATCATCTCATTCTCAACGACGATAGAGAAGGCATCCTTGATCGCGCTGGGTTCCGATTGTCTCAATGCCTCTTCGATATCCTCTCGGCCATATCCCATGCTTCGTTCGAGCTTGGAAACCGCAATTCGATGAATTTTGTGCTGGACTGGTGGAGGCTTTGCCATATCAAGCTTTGCTGAATCAACCTTCTTCGAGTCCGCCCCTGGGGCGATGAACTCCTCTCGTGGCGGTTCCAGGTACTGGGGGAGACCTTTAGTGAACCATGGGTCCAATCTGATCTCAGGGATGGTAATGCGGTGGACGGGGTGAACTTGGAGCATTGCCCGAATCAAACGAGCTGCCCCGGATGAGATATATCCCGGTATGTGGAAGGTGCCCGCTGCAATCTTCTTGAAAAGGGCTGGGATGTAGTCATCATCGAAAGGCAATCGGCCCACCAACAACACATATAGAATAACACCACAACTCCACACATCGACCTCGGGACCGGCGTAGAGCTTTCCGGAGATGACCTCTGGAGCAGCGTAGTTCGGGCTACCGCAGCTGGTCTTGAGGAAGTTGCCATCCGTCATAATATTACTCAACCCGAAATCCGCAATCTTAACATTCTTCTGGTTGTCGATGAGCAGGTTCTCGGGCTTCAAGTCACGGTGTACAATCTTGTGTCGGTGGCAGTATTCCACAGCGCAAATGATTTGCTGGAAAAATTTCCGGGCTTCGTCGTCACCACATCTTCCCTTCCTCACGAGATAATCGAACAACTCCCTCTCTGCGTACTCCAGCACCATCACAATATCGGACTTGGTCGCAATCACCGTATACCTAGAAGATAACTGGTCAGCCAACTGAAAACCTAATGGCACTTTGGATCGAAACTGTACAATTTAATGATGTGAGGGTGTCGTAGCAACTGCAAGTACTGGATTTCTCGCTCCACACGCCCAACCATATCTCGAGAGAGTAGTTTACGTCGTGAGATGATCTTCAGAGCAACTTGACGTCCACTTGGCTGGTGAATAGCAAGCTTTACCTTGCCAAAGGAACCCTCGCCCAAGACCCTTATAGTCTGGTACTGGTCGAGGCGTTGCATGTCTCGGGTAGTCGACGGTGATTGCAATGGGTCCTCGATCTTGCCGGTCGGCCTCGAGGGCGCGGGCATTGCCATGGCGGAGGTGTTGGAGGCGGAAGGCCTAGCACGTTCACGCGGACGATCACGGTCGGAGGGGAGGGGGATAGCGAGGTCTTCCTCGTCGAATGCAGCGGCCATGGTCGGGAAGAATGACAACGTGACGTGATTGATTTTCCAGACGGTTCAGCGGTCCGACGGGGGCTGCTGACTGTGTAGACCGTGGTTTACCTAGGTAGGTACTCGGGGGCTATTTTTTCCTATTTTTTCTCTCGAAACATTTGCCGCCAATCAGTTGATCAATCTCGACCCTCCCCACAACAGAACCGAAGGTGGATCTGGACAGCTGTTTGTCGGTGGGGGATGGAGGGGTAAATTTGCTCAGGGGTTGAAGAAGCGAAGAAACCAAAATTGGAAGAGGTTGAGTAAGTAGCACGGTCAATAATAAATGAGAATATCAATGAGATCTGGAGAAGCCAGGATTTCTCAAGCAACCTCGTTTGGGGACATCTCGATATGCCCCAGGTGGATTGGGGGAGTTCTAGACCTTACCTAAGCTGGATCTTTCTCCACGGCACATCACGATACTGACTGTCCACGGGTGTACCATAATATATGTCGCAAAAGAGAAAACCTAGTATCACAGATAATATAACATATATGAGTCTATACTTCAATGTACATTTCTTTTTTTTTCAATTACTATAATACTTCTGGACATTCACCTTGACATCCTATATCAGCCAAGCTTTGTCGGTCAACATGGCAGAATATCCATTTTTATATCATTTTATACCAGCCCTAATGCAGTGCATCTTATCCCAGATCAAAGGTTGGTCTGTGTATATGACTAGTTGCTAGCTAACTAGAGCTAATAATAATTAAAGCTTCTTCGTTTTTTTTAAAAAAAAAAAGAATTTTCGCCGAGGTTCCGAGAAAAGCTGTCTCATACGCAGTGGGTCAACCGGTGGACAAGACCCTTAAAAGAACTGTGGCTTAAAAGTCAATTGATCGAGATTCATTATTTTCACATTGCCCAGATGTATAATAATGCATTCTTTTTGCATACTTTCTTGGATCCTAAGCCGACTACAACATACATATGTCGGATTTGTAGATATTCACGTGCTATATTATCCAAGTATGCTTTAGTGCAATTCCAGCCGGGCTATGCAACACAGCCTCTGAACCTTGAGCAATTCGGAAAAGAGATATCTTTTTGCATCATAGAGAGTGGAGCTTTTGGAAGTAATGTACATCATTCCAAGGTTCAACATCCAAGAATTTTTATACTCCGTACTATAAAGAGATCAGGAGGACGTGGAATTTTCTTCCAGTAAACGAGACTTTCGGGTACCTGGATCTCCATAGTAAATTGTATGGCTTGGGAAGTACCCCAGGAGTATGCGCGTTGAGTCATACTGCGGCTTAGAGCGATCAAGCGGGGTGTCGGGGTCCCAAAGTGGATTAGCGTCAAGTCGGGGACCCCGAAGAGGAATGGTGGACTGAGAGACCCGGAGCATACATAGAATCAACGGCTGCCTCAGGTCTTGGGTTCTTCACCTTCCCCGGAAGCCACAGTTATTGTCCTTCTTCTTTACGACCTCCTCGATATCTTAGTATCCTACTTCCTCAGGATCCTTAGTCTTGGCCTAACTACACGGCCCCCTCTCTCTTTGACTTGTGTTCCTCATCTTTTCATACAAAATAGATACCCCTAGTGATACCCACGCTACGTTTTCTTTTCCAATGGCTTTTGTTGCGGATCAATTCTTCTCTGATATGGATGCGACAAGCTCCAATGAATGGGTTGACTTCGATCAATTCCTCGATCTCCCTTCTGGCTACGACGACCAGTCGACTGCCACCACCGTGTCACCTCAGGACCTAGCCCTGCCTTATGAGGCAGATGGGATCTTCACCTCCCCATCTGATTTCATGCAATCCTCCTTCGACATGACCAACTATGATCTCCCACAAGAAGAGTTCATGGGAATGGATGGAGGTTTCATGCAGGACCCCGCTGCTCCTTTGTTCGATGATGCTGCGTTCTTGGGGTACAACCCATATGACAGCAGCAACACATTCCGGAATCTGGTCGAGGCGCAGGCCGCCGCTGACCCGCGCGTTGCTACTATCAAGGAGAAGCGCCGCGAGGCAGCGATTGCGCTGCACCTGCAGCGCCTTTGCGATGCCACTGCTCTTGACTTGGATATGTCGTCGGACTCCAACACCAGCTTCTCATCCCCAAGCTGGTCAGATTATGTTGGCGGGAGCATCTCTCCACGCCCTAGCCCAGAGAACACGTCTGTCTCCGAGGCACCCCCTCCAGGAGGCATGGAGATGGTTCTTGACTTGAACATGAATGCCGCAGCAAATGTGCCTAAGAAGCAGAAGCCTCGCTCCCAGGCACAGAAGGAGAACTACATCAAGGCTCGGAAGTATGGCGCTTGTGAGAAGCACAAGAAGCAGCACAAGCGGGTAAGTTTTCCATTCATATTGAACATCTGAGCACGCTAACGTTCGAGTAGTGCAACTGCCTGGAGAAGGCTGCTGCTCGTGCCGCTGCCAGCGATGTTCCTATGAACGCCGCACTCCAAGAAAGGCCGAGGCTACCGATGCTCCAAGTGCCGGTTCCAGAGGCGCGCTACTCGGACTCGCCGGGTCACGAAACATCATTCAACTCACCTCATGCACTTCCAACCGTCAAGGCGACCAGGCAACCAACAAGCAGCTCATCTTGGCTCGATCCATCTATGGGACTGCCTGTCGCAGTACCAATCACCAAGCAGATTATCAGGACGAAAACTCAAAAGAGTACGCCGCCGGGACACGACATTATTCTGCTATCTGGCAAGCCAGATTCCAACAGCACGTCAAGTCAAGACAGCGCTCTACTATCGAGCAGAAACACCGCGAAGTGCCAGGCTGCAGGACACGAAATACTCCTATCTGGCAAGAACATCGCAAACAACTCATCCGCAGGACACGAGAGACTCTTCACCCAAGAGAGGATGTCAAAGAACACAGGAAGTGGGCAACCCCACGGTCCATGCTGTTCAAGCGCACCTCGACCGGTTCACGCAGCTGGGCTGCCGTCTGGCAGCTCGAGCTTGCGCTGGCGTGTTTCAACCTCGTCGGTTGGTGTTGTACGTTCAGAGAGGACCGACGTCAATATGACATCCTCGGCGAACCATCAAACTACTGGCGTCCGTCACACTCCAGGTCTGGATGTACACCGAACAAGGTCTACCCGCACGATGGAAAGTTTCGTGGTGCCAGGCACTGTTGCTGGCAACCTTGGAATGCGCCATTCCACGTCGCTTGTACGCAACTCTGGGATCCAGGTACCTGGACCGGATCACAAGAGAGTTTCAAATGGTCTTGCCAAGCAACTCGCAATACTCTCTGGCTTGCAGTCAGTGCCAAAGGATCTATTGGTCTCGCCGGCTCGGCGTGGATCACCAGATCTCTTTGGAAACGGATCACCGGATAACCTCGAGATTCGGTCACTGCTCATCAGCGGAAAAGGTCTCCTTGTTCGGCCCGTTGCTGAAAGTGTTGGTCACCTGCTTTCCAGTACTGCCTTGGCATTTTCTGGTGCCTGGCAATCATCGCTGTCTCTGGCCTCTGGGTTGGAGGGCGTGGTCTACAAAGGTCTATCTCTGTTTGGCCGACACATTGCGTCTGCGAAGAAGGGATTATATCTGGGTGGACTGCGGAGCGCTTGGTGCCTGTGACTGACCCGCTTGTTCTCGAATTAACCGGATCGCGCTCCGCACTGGATGGATAAAGTTTTGATAATTGGCTGAGCTGGTTCTGAACAATACTTAATTGCAACGGGCATGCATAGGTGGCATCTTTTGTCACATTACAATGGTCTCTGATGATGAAATTAAGAAGAGTTCATTTTCATTTAATATCTACCAAACCCTGTATGTCCAGAGTAATAATCTAGCAGACGCAAGTACAACTATAAGTGGTTTCAACAGCAGCAACAAAAGGCGTCGAGGTACGGATGTCCGCCGTTATAGAAACCAAAGGTATGGTAGTTGGTAGATGCCTGGGGTTGGACATTCATACCAGAGCCTCGATGGCCGTTTGCCGGCGAAATCAGGCCTGTGTTCCAGCCTTTCTATGCAGCTCCCAAGGTAGAATCCGAAGGTTACAGTATAAGTACTTTAGCCCTCCAGGACTAGATATGAATTTTTAATGAACTAAATGTATGTACATATGGATATAGATAGAGCTAATCCCCATTTTCCATTGCAATTCTGACTGCCTTTGATTTTTCTGTCTTTCTTTTTATCTGCCTCCTTCAACCCATGAGAGCATATTGCCGACTATGTCTACTACTCTTCCTTTTTGGAGCTCGTAATGGATGGGTACTGATATTCATACATAATCAAAAAAAAAATATTTTGACTATACTATGTTATTTCCATGAGAGTTTTCTAGTCGACTGCCCTAAAAATGACCTAAATAGTGAACTATTCTGATATGAATTCAGGTTGCATCTTTTGCCGTCCCCACCATCTCAGCCCTAAATACCCCTAATCCCGCGCCAACCCTTTTCCCTTGTTCTCTGATAGTTCAAAACAACACTCGTACTTTGCTTCAACTTCAAAACTATGAACTCCCCGCCCCTGTTACGCTTCACTACAGTGACGGGATATTTTCGCCAGGATGACCCCGCCACTGACCCCGACACCTTCGACTACGTAAGATACCCCAATATCCTTGTTAAAGTCATCGAACCAGTGTCTGATGATCTGACAAGGTGAAATCAAACTTTGGACTCATCGAAAAACACTACGATGAGCACCTCGGAGTGGAACAGACTGACAGCCAGTGGCGGCGTCTCAACGCCCACATTCAACGTCTGAACGCCAGCGAGACTAAACAGTTCAAAGTCCTCTTTCTCGGACGCCATGGCGAGGGGGTCCACAACGTCGCCGAGCGCAAGTATGGCACCAAGAAGTGGGACGTAAGTGGTTGAGCATTCCCTCCATGAACCAGACGCTTATCAGACCTCTAGGATTACTGGTCTCTCAAAGACGGAGATGAGGACAGCAACTGGGTCGATGCTCGTCTTACTGAACAGGGCAGATGCCAGGCACAAATCGCACATGCAGCTTGGGAGCAGCAGATCGAGGCTGGCATCCCGTCACCCGAGTCCTACTACGTGAGCCCCTTGAACCGGTGCCTTGAAACGGCCCAGATTACGTTTCAGGGTCTTGCGATCCCTGACACGTATCCTTTTAAGCCGACCATTAAAGAGGTATGTTCGATTTCGACTACAGAACGTACAATACCTAACCGGACTAGCTTCTCCGTGAGACGATGGGCCAGCACACCTGTGACCGTCGCTCAACAGCTTCGGAAATCGCAGAAGAGTACCCGGCGTACCGGTTTGAAGCAGAATTCTCCGAGGAAGACAAGTTGTGGGATCCTAATGTCCGAGAGTCGAACGAGCATCGCAACGATCGGCTTCGTTGTCTTTTGAACGATATATTTGCCCACGATGACAGTACGTACATTTCGTTAACGGCTCACTCAGGTGCCATCACTAGCATTCTGGAAGTTGTGGGCCATCGCCGCTTTGCCTTGGCGACTGGTGCAGTGATCCCTGTGCTCGTTTTTGTGGAAAAGGGGGCCCCGTCGCAGCCAGAGTCGCAGTCATCGTAGGGCCCGCATGATTCGGATTGTCAATTTCGAGGATTGCAACAAGTTTATAACTGACATGGCTGCGGGGTTTGATAAATATTAAGAGGAGAACAGCCGGTCTCAATGGTTTGATATCCAAGAAATTGATTCAGTATTGTACATGAGTCGCTCTTACTCAAGAAAGATGAGAGCGACTTCTCACAAATGCAATTGTCGCCTCCAATCGGTTAATGAAAAACCACTGTCCACGCGAAAGATCTAAATATAAATAATACAAACGCCAAAGCATCGATCACCAGCTGTAGTACTGGTTCTGCGCAGAGATCTTGCGATCCGGCAGTTGTGTCCAGAGCTGAGACCTGCGCTCCCGCTGGGCCTTGGCCTCACGGTCCTCCCACTCGCGGATACGAGTCTTCTCTTCCTTCAACAGGACTGAGAGACTTGTGGTAGGGGGGCGCATGCGGTTGATCTGACCACGAGCGCGGTGATCCATCTCATATCCATAGGGTCCACGGTTGACCCAGGCCTCCTGGATGTAGATGTCAGAGGGGTTGGCAATTTTCTGCCGCTCGCCAGTCTTGAGAATGACAGTAATGGGTTTGGTTGGTTCGGAGTTAGAGGCCCCAAGGCCCATGCCGGCACGGACAATGGCGACGTTCTTTGCGTGTTCCAGATGTTCCAGCACGTCCTTAGCGGCCTTTTTGTTGCTGAAGCGCATCTGGAGGATGGCTTCGTCGATATTCTTGCCGGCGATTTGGCGGGCCAGAGGACCCAGCTTCTTCAGCGACGTCTTGAACCAGTGAGATTTGGAAAGCGATTCGCGCTCTGTGCGCTTAATTTGCACCTTTGTCGGTACACGGCCTCGTTTCCGGACCTCGCGGACAGCCATCTTCCTCTCCCATCGCAGCTGGGCCTTGGGGTCGGGACCCAGTCCCACTTGCAGGCGACTCAAGTCGCGGTCCTCCAGCTTTCCGGAGATGCCCTCTTTTTGTTGTTCACCCGCTGGCCGGGACGGCATGGGACCGGATGTTGGTGCGGTGAAGTCGGAACCGAAGATGGAGGTTCCTAAACCACCTTCTTCCTTCTTAGGGGCCGAGGGTCGGTGGGCGACTTTGGGTTTTTGGCTGGAACCCCCCGTGAACATGCTCTTCAAGGAAGAAAACAAACCGGTCGGCTTTTTGCTTTCGACATCGTTCAAAGCGTAACGGATAGCAGTCGAGGTCAGTGTTCGGCGAGGGACGAAGGAGACGGTCCGGGCAGCTAAAGGTGGGAAGTAAGTCAGTAGAGAGACCAAGCATAAGATTTATGAATATAATATACCTGTCCGGACCAATTGCCCTGAGCGATAGACCATTGTGGCTGTTGAGATGTTGTTGTCAGAAGTTCACGTCGGGAAAAAAGGTGAAAGGTTCCCTGCACTTGTGGTCTGTGCGGGATACCGGAGCCTGAGGCACCTTGAAGTTGATCGATCAGAATAGCTTCAAGAGATGCGACTTGCGACTGCACGAGTCGATAGAGCAAGAACAGGCTTATCTACAGATGGAGATGATTTCGTATCTTTGATGGTCATATTCGAACCTCATTCTCGCGACATTGTTTCTTCTTCCCAACCATCTCCACAGTATCCACTAGCCCTCATCTTTCCCTCTTTCAGTTCTTCTCTCTCTTTTTCGTCGTCTTCCTTCATCCCTCCCTTCCCTTCCCAGGCCATCAGCCTGTCGTTTCTATCCTTTTCCAATACCTGCGATCTCTGAGATTCCAGCTTGCCCTCTCGATTAAAGGGCTCTCGCTCCTTTCAGGCATTCCTTTAGATTCTTAGCCACCCACCAGAAGCAGCTGCGCAAGTGTAAATCTACGTCATTTGCCGGAGGAACAACGAGGTGGGATCTAGATACGACCGGCCGATGCAGGAATGGACGTGTTGAGGTACATCAAGACTGTCGTATGATCTGGATCTCTAGTTGAAAAGCACCTGGGCATCCATTACGGTAATTCCCGGTATCCCATCGCGTTCCCAAAGCTGTATCCAAACATGGACATCAATTCGCTTCTTTCACCGGACTCGAATCCTAAGTCTGGAAATTCGACGCCCGTGCCTGGTCCTACGTCGAACAACGCACCGGCCACCTCTGCAGGGCCGTCCCCCCACAAAGCTATTGAGAGAACTCGAACAGGCTCCAGAAGAAAGGGCAAGACTTCTTCACCTCTCGCACAGCAGGTGTACGCTCCTACTGGAGAATCTTCGCCAGGACCCAGTGGGGGAAATGGGACTTCTCCGACTGAAGTATCCTCAAGACAACCATCCACGCCGGGAATGGACACTTTGGCGGATCTCGCGTCGATGCAGCACCACCAGCCCCAACGTCCAACACCGACAACTATGCTCCGGAGTACTGAATCCTACGAGCATCAGTTATCTCCATCTACGATTCACCCACACGTCAATTCTATCACCCACAACACCCCTACCTCTCGGATGTCCTTTGAAATCGCCATGTCGGATGGGCGCGACGGGCCCGCGAAGCGGACCTACGCCGCGACTTCGCTTGACCCAGATGCGCAACGGTTGGCGACCGAACTTTTTCATCAAATTTCGCTCAACCCCCACACGCATGACGCGCACGTGCAATTTATCGGATTGCTGCATGCAGGATTTGTCAACCACGTCTACCCACCGAATAACCCAGATGTCCACGGTGATCCACGGCGCTATGATCTACTAAACGATTTGAAAACGGCACGTGAAGAAATGGACAAGCTTTTCGCCATGGGAGAAGATCTTTGGGCCGAATGGATTCAGGATGAGAGTATGTTAGCTCAAGATGTCGACGGGCGCATTGCTGTTCTAGAACTCTGCCAGCGATCCGTCGAAGAGGAGTTTGGCAGCACAAAACTATGGAATATCTACGGCGAATGGGTTCTTTACCTCTACAATTCCGCTCATGGCGAAGCCAGTTCTCTTCAATGGACCGAAGAGGATCGCATGGTTGGGCGCGAGGTGTTCACGTGGGATTCGGTCGTGGAGGTGTGGCAGCGGGGCGCAGACGCTACCAAATGGAGAATCAACAACAGCCACTTGGTCTGGGATCGCCTTTTGGATCTCTATGCTCAGGACATCGCTCGCGCACCTTCCCAAGAAAAGATCAACCATCTTCATGGACTCTACGGCCATCGTCTGCAAACTCCCCATGCCACTTGGGACCAGACCTTCCAAAAGTTTTCAAGCTTCATTTCGACTTATTGCAACAGCAAGTATGAGGAGATCATGTCTGAGACTGTTGCCCGCGCAGCTGAGCCAAAGGCTCTCTACAATGCACGAGAGGAATTCGAACACCGCCTGGCCAAAGCGCAAGAGTCTGGCGATCGTACCCTCGAATGGACTGTTTACTCCGAGTACATTGATTGGGAATTGACGCGCAACCGCCGGAAACGAGGGGATTTCAGCTTCGACTTGGTGAATGCCATCTATCAGCGCGCCGTTCTGCACTTCCCCCACCGATGTATCGCTTTGGGAAGACTATGTCATGTTTTTGATCGGCGAATCTCTTCATCGCCGCGCCTCTACCACGACAATCTCTACCCTAGACCGTGCCACGCGTCATTGTCCATGGTCTGGAAACCTGTGGTCCCAGTATCTGCTAAGCTCGGAAAGAGAGAGCCAGTCGTTCAACAAGATTTCGAGTATCAAGCACAAGGCGACTAGCACTGGACTGCTTGATGCTGGTGGTTTGGAAGAAGTCTTGAAGGTTCACGTCACCTGGTGCAGTTACCTTCGCCGACGCGCCTTTTTGTCTGACTCAACCGACGAAGATCTTGATGTCGCAGAAGTTGGCATTCGCTCGGCAATCGAGAGCGTGCAAGAATTGGGCGAAAAGAAGTACGGCCCGGCGTATCAGGGCGATCCTCTTTTCCGTCTTGAGCGAATTTATATCCGTTTCCTCAGTGAAAGTGGCAGCTGGGACAGCGCGCGAGAGACCTTCAAGGGTTTAGTGACTCGCCGTGGCAGTAGCTATGAATTCTGGCTCGCCTACTACGAATGGGAGCTGATTTGCTGGAGCAAATTTGTGCAAGGCGAGGCAACAGTCGATGCAGCGCGCCGAACCCCCAACCCGAGCTTTGCTACTGCCGTGCTCAAACAAGCGATCAAGAGAACAGATCTAGACTGGCCTGACAAGATTGTTCAGACATACGTTACTCATTGCGAGGACTATGAGGACTCAGATGAGCTCCAGCTGGCCGTGATTGAGACTCGGAAAGCAATGCGAGCTGTCACTGCCCGAAGAGAGAGGGAAGCGCGAGAGGCAGCTGCAGCACAGCAACAGCAGCAACAACAGTGGGAGGCCGCAGTGGAGGCAGTCCCTTCGCCTGAAAAGAGAAAACGCGAAGACGAAAAGGATGAGATGCCGGAAACCAAAAAGGTCCGCAACGAAGAGGCACTGGCAGAGGTTCCCGCTCCTCCTCCACGGGATCGAGAGAATGCGACCGTTATCGTCACGAACTTGCCTAAAGGCACCACTGAGGATCTCGTGCGCCGATTCTTCCGTCATGTAAGTGCCTCGCCCCTATTACTATCGGGACGACTTAGCTGACTAAACAGATCGGTACCATCAACACTATCAAAATGCTCCGTAGAGACGAGAAAGACTCTGAGGTTGCGATCATCGAGTTCGAAACCAAGGAAGACGCTCTTGCCGCTGTCACTCGTGACCAAAAGCGCTTCAACGACACTGATAACATCATCGACGTGAAAATTGGGTCACAGACGACACTTTGGATCACCAATTACCCGCCGACTGCGGATGAGGACTACTTCCGCAACCTTTTCAACAAGGTAAGTGCTTCACCCCTAGGCTTTGTGACATCGCTGACTTTAGCAGTATGGCGAGGTACTCGAAGTTCGAATGCCTTCTCTCAAGTTTGACACTTCCAGACGCTTCTGCTACTTGCAGTTTGATACCTCCAGTGCTGCCCACCATGCAACAGAGCTTCATGGAATGCGGTTCGAAGATGGTACGAGGCTCAGTGTTAAGATATCCGATCCCGGACAAAAAACTGCCCGCAGTGGTCCGAGATACGAAGGACGAGAAATTTATGTTTCAAACGTTGCCTGGGACGCCAGTGAAAAAGACCTGAAAGAACTATTTTCCAAATTCGGTGAAATCGAAAAGGTCTTGATTGAGCGAAAGGTGAACGGTGCTAGTAGAGGGTTTGGTTTTGTTACTTTCTCTACCAAGGATGCTGCCAATGACGCTGTCGCAATGAATGACCAAGTGTTCAAGTCACGTGCTCTTCATGTTGAAATTGCTACCACCAACACTCGACGTGGTAACCAAGTCATCATCTCTCGAGTTGCATCACACCCGGCGGACTACGGTGTCCGTGGTCTTGAAGTGCCGGTTGGTGACCATGCACAGCGCACACTTGCTTTGATGAACGTTCCCGATACTGTCAATCAGGCCCGCATCCGTACCCTTGTCGAACCATATGGGCGTTTAGTCGCGATCAATTTGCGTCCAGAACATCAAGGTGCTATTGTGGAATATGTCGATATTCAGGATGCCGGCAAAGCTGCGTTGGCGCTCGAAGGGAAGGAGATCACCGCTGGACGCCCCCTCCATATCGGCACAGTTCGAGAGATGTTGAATTCGCAATCGGAAGTCAAAACAGACCGGGGGCAATCCGTCAAGAACGAAAGTAAAACGAAGAAGACGAACCTACAACCTACTGGGCCGATTCGACGTCCGCAGCAGCCTGGCGCTCGGAAGGGTGGTCTTGGGATGAAACGACAAATCGCACCTCCCGGTCAGAAACAATCTGCGGCTAATCCAGCCAGTGACAAAATGGACACGACGCCCGATGGCGAGAGCAAACCGAAAAAGAGCAACGATGATTTCCGCGCTATGCTCCAACAAAAGCGTCCGGAATGAAGTGCAAGTGCAATGACAGTGACAATTCCTGGCGCAATTCTTTTTTTTTTTACGGCATGTATTCGGCTGGCGTTTTTCTGTTCTCTGGTGGTCATCTTGATGCTTCCTTTAGATCCGCATGTATTCATTCGGGTCGGTCTTTTGCGTCATGATTTTGTTTATGGCATATGCCGTCGTGTACATTATGACTGTATCTTGCTCTTAGTTCTAATGATGATGTCTGTTCCGAAGGGCTGTCTCCGAGACATTATTGCCCCCGATGACTCGAAAGATTTGTCCTGGTCTATACCGTAGAATATTGGTGGTTTTTGTGGATTCTTTACACTTCACTATATATAAGAATTCAATGCTGTCTTATTTACGATATGTTATATATTATGTAGAATGGAGGTGTAGCAGGAAAGCTCAGAAGGGGAAGAATGAATGACATTCTGACTAGCTAGACTACGCTAAAAGACAGGACAGGCACGTGACCTGCCAAGGTCACCGCCCGGAGGGTCACAGGAGGTGTATGATTGGATTAGATGCTACGATAGGTGCAGAGCGCATTGACGAACGCATTGACGTCAATCGGCTTGGCCTACTTGGCCTACTCTTGATTCTCTGCGGGGAAATGCAAAACCACATTCTGATACATTTGGATGGGTTGCACAGAGCGATTTATTGCGACCAAACGATATAACCCTTTGTTATCTACGTTAAACGTTCCTAAACTCCCGCGTGATCCCAGGGGCCTGTCTCTTATCTGGCGCGATTAGGCCCCACCCGTCTAGTACATCTATCCCATCCCTTCCAAGGTTACGTTACATCTTCTATTTTCTGCGTCTTGCTTGGGGGTCTATTGAGACTTCTCATAATATCACTGCTCTACACTCGATGTGCAGGGCTGTCACCAAACATCGTGAACATCTCACGCCATCGCATCCCCGCAGCGATGGACTTCCGCCTAGTGCCTCGCGGTACTGATCGGAACTACACAGGATTCCTCACAAAGACGATAGTCTACATCGGGACGCTGGTGATATTTCTGGCCTGTAGGCAACTCTCAGTGACCAGTTTAGGCCTCTGAATTTACTGACGAACTCCCCCAGCGTTTTCCTTGACAGTATCCTCGATCGTCATTCCAAAATGGGTCAGCTACCATAGCGAAAAGGTACGACGTTTATCCACCACCGACAAGCTCACGCTAACACTATGAACCTATAGCCCGAGATCGATTACTATTACGGCCTTCATCGCCGCTGCTCCTCCCTCACCGATACCTGCGAGAGCTTCCCACAAGGCGACGAGTGCCACGGCGAAGACCGATACTTCTGCTCCATGTGGCGCTCCGTCGGGTTTTTGATGTCCTTTGCTGTTGTTCTGCAGGGCATGGGTGTGGTCTCATACCTGGTCATCTTATCTGGCGGCAAACGGCTGCGCGAAAATGGGTGGAGTGTTCTTAGTTTGATGGTTGGTCTGTCTGCCATTGTGCAGGCAGCCGGCATGTCGATAGTGGTGGGTTGATGATATTCCTATACTTGGGCCCAAGATGACTCTAATGATTTGGCTTACAGGCATATCTATTTGATAACGAGGACCGGTTCTTCGTCGGCTGGAAACTTGGCCAGTCCTGGATCCTTTGCACTACTAGCTGGTGCCTCAGTGTTTTCTGCGCAGCCGTGGTTATTGTGGCTGCTAAGATCTTACCCTCCGAGGGTGGGTACGAGTTGATCCCTGATCATGATGAGCTTCGAGTCCCTTGATAGCGCCCTGTGTAGCATTCATGACACCTGGACGAATCACGCATTACGCAAACAGAGGAAGCAGGCCTATCTAAGTATTACCGGTCCTTGACGACTTCTCATAATTCTACTATTTCGGTGGTTGCAGGTTGTTGACGCTTTTCTATCTTTTGATTTCGTGCTGGGCGTTGGGGCTGTATACTTCTTTTCTCCTTCCGGGCTATGGTAGGGACAACTAATATGGATAACGATTTGAATAAAATATATCTCTGCGGGCATGTGTATCTACAGCCAAAAGTTGGGTTTATCATGGATAGAGTCATATCTTCGTGGATCGTGTTTGTGACCTTACACAAGACCATCAGTAATAAACACATCTAAAGATAGGTAGAAAAATGCCATAGAAGTCTCATCATTCATCTCATACAGTACATTCCCTCCAATAGGCTGAGTCGACCTACCAGACAATCTCTTTCCCATTCAATCCCTCAATGGCCGGAATCTGTGGCCGCAGCGCCTGACCATAGTCACCCCCGTTCGGCGTGCGAAGCAGAGTGTGAATGTGAAATTTCTTCGGCTCCTCATTATTCAAAAACACACCGGAGTGGTGATCGAACTCAACAAGAATCACTGGATTCTGAATGCGGTAATAGAATGGATCCTCATCACCATACCCTCCAATCCAACAAAAGTACGTCTCCGCTTCGTGCGCGCGCACCTGATCAATCTTCATAGCGCGCGATTTGGCCGGCAGGTAAAGCAGATATTGCTCCAGGATTCCATACATGAGCTCCTTCTGCGCGGCATTAAAAGTCGACGCGAGGATACCCTCGTACGGCACCTCACGGTTATCACGGTACGCGCCGCACAGATGGCGCTGGTCATCCTTATTCCAGCGACCGGGCGGCATGGCCGGATCCTTCATGTGGGCAAAGACACGAGCTGAAGCCTGCAGCTCCGCCGAGAGCGACTGCATTAACTGCAAACCGAGCTTCTCCTCGATCTGCATGATGCGTGTGCCGGCGTGCGGGCCGGAATCGATTTCGTTTGGTTCTGCGCCTGTGAACCACGGCGACGCTATGATCTGCCCTTTGTACAGGAAGATGTTTAGGCACAGATGGTGGCCGTAGAATGACCAGCCCCAGGGACGGGTAGTTGATGGGCGGCCGAAGAGGACGAAGTTGTAGGAGAATTCGTTCATCACTGCTGGTGACTTGACTAGCTCGCCGAGGAAGTGGTTGATGCGCATTGCACTGACGGCCTTTTCATAGCCTTCTGGTGATAGGGTTGTCTTGAGGACTTTCATCACTGCATCCCGGGTCTGAGTGTTGACTTCATCAAGCCGAATCCCCTTGTGCGCGAGCAGGAACTCCGGGTTCGACCATGTGCGCCATTGTGGTGAGTCGATGTGGTAATTGATAGCTTCTTTTTGCTTATCGTCCAACAAGGCGGTTACAGCTTCTGTTGCATCTACAATTTGTTGAATTGGGACGTCTTCTTCTTGTAATGTGAATAGACCAGGGCGGACGTTCCCTATAGATGTTAGAAGCATTCTGGTATCCTTTTAGTTTAGTTCATACCATCGGTGGTCACGCCTTTGAAAGGCTCCTGTAATAGCTCTAACCAATGCATATACAGCGCATGCAGCCAGGGTGGCTGATGTCCGGTTTTAAATTCGTGCGCGTACTCGTGGGCATCCTGCTGGCACATCACCTGGAAGCGCTGGAGGTTGAGGTCAGGCAGGTACTGGCGGTACTCGCCTGTGGGCTTTTCCAATGCATTGTTGGACATAGTAAATAATGATATAAGGAAATAAATCAAGAGAGAAGAAGAAATGTCCAAATAGTGTTATAGCAACCTGCGGCCCCACATCGGAGTTCCCCACGAGCGTGGGGATGGGAAATTCCTTATCCGCTCTGGCAAGTTGGGGCTTCTGGCCAATCCGGTCCGGAAACACATTTATCAGTTTGGCTTCATGTCAAGATCTGGGGATATCTGTCGGAAATCCCGAAATGCAGAGTTTGGGATTGTCATCGTGTCTACGGCTTTTGGGCATGTGGGATGTGCCGGGGCCAAGCCCAAGGGCTAATAATTTGGGTATAAAACTGCAAAACAAAATGTAGACATGGTTCCCAAAGAATAAAGAGGAATAGGCTCTCGCTTCATTTCTGTGTTTTTGCCCTGATAGAAGATGATTGTACGGAGTAGAGGCCAGCCCTTTATGATAGTTGATCTACTATATATATATAGTTAGTACAACCCCAACATGCCTCAACTTATACTCTAAACACTCTCAAAGATCAAACTATATATCATCCATGCATACATTATAACATGAATTAGCAGGCGATTGATTGTTTGCTGGGCAAAAACCCGTATCCCAAAAAGGTGGCGTGGATTTCTAAGCTTCAGCTCTTTATTTTTGTGAGAACTCGGATATTCCGAGGGATTCTCCGCTCGAAGCCTTCCCTCATATGTCGAGAATCCCATCCTATTCATCTCCAGGAGAGCTTTAAAGCTTGGGGCATCGTAATCATCATCTCTAGAACACTAGGCGTTCCAGCATGCAGTCCTGGACAACGCGCTAGAGGAAATATATGAGCAGTCCAAAGTGGACTTGGCTGCGACGCGCGTCAATATTACGATTGAACCGATTGTATATAACAGCCATAATGAATCACCAGCAAACCAAAGTTCTGTTTGGAACAAATTTCTCAAAATTTGAAAGACGATCAACCCCGGACCCCGCGAATTGATTCCCTGAATTAATCCCGGCACTTCCCCGGTCACGTGTTGTGGAGCCGGTCCGGAATTTCCGGCCTCACATAATTGTCGTGGAAGAATGTAAGCGCAACGCTCAACATCGCTATATCGTCTGGGCCCCATTAGGGAATGTCTGGATGATGCAGAATCCCCGGTCTCCGATCCAGCGGCCTGAAGTCGATCAGCCAGCCGCTAAGCGCACCAAACGGCCGCGTGCGACTCAAGCTTGTGACAGGTGCAGGCTGAAGAAGTATAAGTGCAATGAGCGATATCCATGTTTACACTGTAAAAGTGAGTGACAAAATTATAAGCGTAGCACATTTCTCTGACAAATACAGAAAGCGGCCTGGATTGCGTATATCAGGGAACTTACCGAGAGCGTGAAAGTAACCGGTCTGCAAAGTATGTCAATTACTCCGCATATTCATTATGCTTGCTAATATGCATAGTTATGTCGCCGAACTCGAGAGGAAGGTGGAAGAGCTGACCTTGAAGCTTCGTGCTACGGAGGCCAAAACCTCCCCTGGAGGTCCCATCCCACCAGCAGCTGAAACGCTATGCTCTATGCGCAATGCTTCTATGCCACGGGAGGTTTCAAAGATATCCGAGACCCGCGAAGGATCTGTAGAAATTGCAGACGACGTGATTAAAGAATCCAACCACACCAACGGCATTGAATTCCACGGTAGTACGTCCTTGGCTGCAATCATTGGTCATTTGAAGAAAGAGCGTGAGCCAAAAGGCCAAGAAGAGCCCTGTTCTCGCGCAGCTGATTACTCGATCATCCCAACGCCCCCTAACCCAAGCTTCTCTCCTACATGCACCGCTGAACCGGGGCAGACCTTGTCGGTTGAACAGTCAAATTACTATTTCGACCAGGCTCATATCTTTATGAATGGATATTTTGAGGGCATTCACTTCGTCCATCCGTTTGTTGATAAGGAGGACTTTTTCGCGCGTGCTAATGATCTTTGGTTTAACCGATCACACACGCCTGAACCGAGTTTTGTCGCTTTGTACCTCAGTGTTCTCTCGCTTGGGGCTTTGGTGCGTGTATGGGATGAAGGTACGCTAGCTGGCTTGGGTCGGTTTGAATGGAGCCGAAAGCTATTTGCGGAAGCGCAGGTATACCTGAACCACCTGCGGTTTTCAAACGATCTTGAAACTGTTCAGTGTCTTTATATGATGGTGTGTGGGTATTTCTCGATATGTGGCTCGCATGCTAACTTTAGCAGGCTAAAGTTTGTCAAAATGAACTGAATCCGAATTGTGAGTCTTTATCCCAGTTTTCTATTCAAAATCTAACCAAACAGTGGCCTACATGTATCTTGGCCTCGCAGTACGGACATGTCTTTCTGCTGGCTTTAATCGAGAGATTTCATGTCCAGGAGACTCCACGCAGCGTTCTGGCTGGATCTCAAAGACTTGGTGGTAAGTCGAAAGTCTGTGTTCCGATATAATTCTTTAACTCTGACGAGGTAACAGGGGTCTCTTCTCTTTAGAAATGTAAGTCCATTATGCATCATCATTGGTACTATGTACTGATCAATTAGTGAGATGAGCTTTTCGATTGGACGACCGGACACCCTTGGAATGGATGAATATCACAACCGCAGCATTCCACCACGCGATGATTCTGAATTTGCCATCATCCCATGGATGATTGACTTTGCGCAGATCATTCGACAAGTATCTGTCCAGATCTACCACTCTCGCATCTCATTACAGGACAAGTTACAACTTGCTCTGCAGATTGAAATGGAAATGGATCGCTGGCTAGCGAGGCTTCCCGAGATGATCAAACCCGATATTGGTGGATATAGACCGTCTAGTAGTGCCCTGCGCGACCCGAGGTGGGCACGAAGACAACGGCTTGTGTTGGGAATTAGTAAGTTATCCCTAGGGGACTTCTCGGCCTCGTACTAACTAGTGTAGGGTACTATAATGTCAAAATGTTGCTCTTCCGGCCTTTCTTAAGCCACTTTTCGCGCAAACTCCGACATTCTCCAAATGAATTGGACCAAACTTTTGACAAGTGTTTGGACTCGGCGATGAAAACTCTCCAAGTGGTTCATGACCTTTACCGAGTGCACACATTTTTCCGCTGCTGGTACGTTTCTTCGCTTAGTGTTATTGCCTTACTAATTTGATTAGGTGGTATAACACAACCTACGTAATGTTCGCTACGTCGACACTCCTCCTTCCAATGTCTAAACTCGGCATGTGCGCTGAAACTATGCCTTTATTGCGATCTGTGGAAATGGGCGTGGAGATCTTGGAAGCCATGGATGAGTCTGTAATAGCCCGAAAGTCGGTTGAAATCATCAGGCAGTACATCAGGGACTTCCGAGCATCTGGAGCCTCGCAGCAACCTGGGGAGGATGAAGCTCCCCCTTCCGAGGCGGGACAAGCATTTGAAATACCTGTATGTATTCTCATCCCGTTTCCCTAAGATTTACTGACCATGTAGGAATGGGCTTATGGTTTCGGCTTACCAGATTATTCTTTCGAGGGAATTGCTCGGCTATTTGACGATATTGGAGAGCTCCCGATGCTGGATGAATGATATTATATACCCGGAGATTTCTATTCTGTATATATTTGCACCAGTGCCATCTGGGTGTTTTGAAATCTATTTGATATCCTATGATCTTTATTGAAAAGGCCTCATCATTTTTATTCTAGTGCTCATTCTATCGGGGCCATATCCAGCGGATGTCCACTATCGGAGTAACCGAACTAGTTCTTAGCTCCACTTGGAACCCTTAACTGGGCTGAGTTTACAGTGGTTGAATGAGATTGTTGTTTAAGGAGCATAGTGACACGATTGAATCACGAATTTCAAAGAAATCCCCGGAAAGACCAAGTACTTGGTCTATCCCTACTCGGGAAAGAGGAACAGACTTTGTATTGAAACAAATGAATTAATTTTCAAAAATCAACTTAGAGCTTATCCACCTGAGTGAGAGACAATGAGTGATATTCTATACTATCTATGTGAAGCAGTGTCCGTGTCCACCGCAGTGATGCCAGACCCCGATCTCCCACGCGGAGCCACACCGCGATCACTCGTTCGAGAACGAGCGATGGATCTCCTTGCGGAAGCTTGCTTTTTAGCAGATTGGCCCAGTTCCAAGTCCCGCACGCACAGCTTGGCCTTTGAAATATGGTCTAGGATCCGTATCAACGTTGCGTATCTCCGTTCGTACTCGTCGCTCCAAATGCTCGATCGCATGGCCTCAATGTTTCCCACAACGTACAGCGCATTCCTAGCTCGGCTGAGTGCAACATTCAAGCGGGTTTTGTCATCGAGGAATCCGGCATGGGTGGTGACTGTCATATCAAAGATCACAATCGGACTCTCTCCGCCCTGGAAGGAGTCGATTTTCTTCACAGGCAGTTTGTCAAGGCCGAGGGAAGGGTCATTCCGATGATCAAGTGCGAGAAACTTTAAGTAAGTTCGGAACTGCGCCTCATATGGAACAAGGATAATGATATCCTTAGATGAGAACTTCTTCAAACCAAGCAGCTCTTTGCACAACGCAACAGCAACCGACGCGTGAGCTTCATTTTTCTTGGAGTAGTTTGATATTTCGACTTCGCTTGGACAAACATCCACGAAGAGCAGATTGGTTTCCACCCCAAAGCGATTTTTGTTGAAGTTGCGTAGGAACGATGCAGTCTCGTTGCTTGTGCTTTCGTGATCCGTAAGTCTACCTTGGTAGAAATTCCGATTCACGAGCTTGGAGATATCGGGATGCATCCGGTGTTGGACTTCTAGCATGATTGACGCATTCTGACCATTAATCAATCTCTTGAACAACGAGAGCCGTAGTTGATAGACAAACGGGTTTGTCTCCGAACCCGAGGTGACCGTGGGCCCTAGCTGGTAGTGGTCGCCCACCATCAGAATAGGACTTGAGTGGTAGTTGGAGAAAATTGGCCACATTTCTGGCTCTGTGTTCTTTGCAGCTTCATCTATTCCAACTACAGCTGGCTTAATGGCACTCACAATTGTGGGGTGGCCGGCTGTAAAGGGTGTGCAAACAATCACATCTGCCATCTGAAGTGCAGCGCGGAGAAGTGTGTCAGTGTCACGACATAGCTTCATCCGCCTCTCCTCGTCGAGAAAAATCCTGTTTCGGAACATCTCAAACGATTCGCGGAATGACCGATACTTGGCGACCGGCTCGCTCCCAGCCTCTGGGATGATACCCGAAATCCGTAACATCCAGTGCGCATATGTCAGTTCGACATTGGAATTAGCCCGCAAAGAATGCGAATGGCTCTTATAAGCAGGGCTAAATCGGAAATTTAAAACTGCTTCTGTGAAAATCATGCTGTTTAGAATCTCCAAGGGATCTTGTGGGGAGTATGAGCTTGGGTCACTCCCCGGAAGGTGCTGCACACGGACGACAGCGACCTGTTTTGTTCCTCTGCGACATTCAAACATGCCGAGGCAAGCCTCATGCATATCTTTTGCTGTTCGACAAACGCCGTCATTTGTTGGGATTACGATGAGCAGTTGGTGCTTCGTGTCAGTTTCGATATTTTCATTCACAAACGGCAGCAAACACCGCAGCAACCAGTAAGTCTTCCCAGTTCCTGGTGGCCCTTGGATCAAGGCAAATGGACCGGGGAGCTCATGTAGATGTTGGAAAGCCTCCAGTTGGCGACTGTTGAACTTCGAAAATCGTAGAAGCCGCTCTTTAAAGCCTTCAAACAAGTCCTGGCGCAATTTCCCATAGAGATTCATTGGATGGAAATGTTTGAAGCTGCCGGAGAGTAGCATTTGCCACAACTCCTTTAATGACTCACGGTGCTTGTAAAGTTGGAACATTGCATTGATTTGCTGTTCGAATGGCCTAGGGCTCAGATGCTGTTTCAAAAGGACGTCTTGGGAAGGATGTCGTTCCACCTCAATGAGCGATGTGTTTTCGGTCAATAGAAGAGGCGTATAGTGCGAGGAAATGAACGGTGATGTTTCAGGATTCCACGATTGGGACATACGAGCGGTGGCCCATCCATTAGGGCAGAGGTGGTGTTTTTCAATAATCACCGCACGCACCTCGGAGAGGCTGTTTGATCTGGCATGGAATGGTCTGATGTCGAAATTGTCATTCTCCTTGAAGACAAAACTTTCAGGAATTTTGATATAGGCGAAATGAAATCGATTGTTTGAAGGAAGCGTGAACATTTTCATGAGTGTCCGAATTTCCTTGCGCTCTTTTCTTTCGGTGTCCACGGTTTGTTGGGTAGCATATTCGTGTTCGAAAATCAGTGAGAACCCAACTCGGACAGTGTATTCCTCTCGACAAGAAAATGTAGTTTTCTTCGGTTGGGTGGCAATCTTTGGGCGAGATTCGGCGGGGCGAAGTTCCTTAATCTTGAGGTATGGCTTTGTAGCACTGGTGAACCAAGCAGACCAAGGTCTCACAGATTCAGTCATGGTGGTAGTCGGGTGCTGCCAAAGAGGGCAGTGAAGGGTTGTAAAGATGCAAGGTGCAAGGTGCAAGCTGCGTTTCTCGCTGAGAGAGCTGGGTTTGAGAGATAGGTTGCGGTGGTATGGGAGATTCTGAGGCTCGGTGGCGGGAATTTGAAGAAAAGAAGAAGCTCAATGGAAAGAAGAAGAGTAGATGTATCAGATTGCGTGCAACTAAGACAGAAGAGTTGTCACCAGAGTGAGGATAGTACTGGAACTCAAGGTGAGGTCAGTCAGACAGCGAGATACAGAAAAGGAGTTGAGCACAGCTAGAAGTTAACGGTGAAAAGTATGTGTGGGCTATGAAAACGCAAATGAATTTGAGACTAATAAATAAAAGCCCCGGAGATTATGAGGCTGAGATTCAACTCACTTTGTTCGTCCTGTCGTCGTATGAGCAGAGTGTCGTTCTCGCTGTCTATCCGGAGCAGCTAAGTACACTCAGTTAGGAATGGACTGTCGATGATTGTCATGTCTCAGAGGACAGGATTATCTGCCATGGGTTTGAAATTTGAAGGACAGAAGATAGATGCAAGGTGATCAGATGCAAGATGAAAAGGTGAACAGATAAAAAGATCAGATAGAAGATGATGGAGTAGAAACCATTCAAACAGTCAAACAGGTAAATGGTCAAATGGTCAAACAAGGCCTTTGATAATACCCGTACCTGGTAGAAACGAAATTCCTTATATTTGTAACTGAGATACTAGTTACAAAGAACAGTCACCTCTATCCTGGATCTAGGACTTTAGTGATCTGATCGATTTGGCTCCAGATGATATTAAAGACATTTTATTTAGGATTATACTCTGATGTCTTCTTTGGATCTCCATGCTAGATATTTCCCCCCATTCTTAGTGTTTTGGCAACACTATAAAAGAATCACTGGTTGATATGTAGGAAGACATCTCAAAAGACATATAAATAACTGCACCTACTTCGTAACTAATTATGAGTAGCTTAAAAATTGGGAGAAACCTCTTTCTTCTCGGTGTTACGCTGGGTCTATCACTCGACGATGTATACTGACAACCTTTCTATGTATAGCCAGCAACATTATATTAGTTACCTAGGTAAATTCAAATAAACATATGATCTAAATTCTTGATAACCTTGATACTTATAGCTCTCACGTTTCTTTATAAAAATTGTAAACGGAGTTTGACTCAACCTGACGTCCTAAGCCATTGTCGGGAAACCGAAGGGGAATAGTGCTTACTATATATAGTCAGCATCTGCTATAAAACTCTGGACACTTAATTTTCAGCGACACAACCTCTTTACTCTTTCCTTCTCTTCCAAAATCTTTAGGTGCTTCCCTCAAAATGCATACTCCCTTGCGCACTTTAGGTAGAGATGGCCCCCAGGTCTCTGCCGTCGGGTTCGGGTTCGGGAGCGTCAGCGGATTCTACGGACCAGCTGGTACCGTCGACGACAGAGTAGCTCTTCTGGGGCATGCACATTCTGCAGGACTACGCTTCTGGGACCTGGCTGATGTCTATGGCAACTCCGAGGATGTCGCTGGTGAATGGTTCAAGCGATCTGGAAAGCGCGATGACATTTTCCTGGCGACCAAGTTTGCTCTCCAGTGGCAGCGAGGAGGAAAGTACACTTTTCGGTCGGATCCGGAGTACGTTAAGGCTGCATGTGCAAAGAGCCTTCAGAGACTCGGAGTAGACACTATTGACCTCTACTACTGCCATCGGGTAGATGGGGTAACACCTATTGAAAAGACCATTGAAGCTATGGTAGAGCTGAAGAAGTAGGCCAAACCAACCTCAAAACCCACATAACCAACATATAACTAAATGGTTGTTGACGTTGGGAGCTTTCAGAGAGGGGAAAATTCGCTATCTCGGCCTGTCAGAGGTTTCAGCAGCCACACTGCGTCGAGCGCATGCCGTTCACCCCATTTCCGCTCTGCAAATGGAATACAGTCTCTTTGCACTAGACATCGAATTTTCAGAGATCTTGAAGACCTGTCGCGAGCTGGGTGTGACCGTCGTTGCCTACAGCCCTATTGGACGTGGTGTCCTAGCCGGCCAGTTCCGATCTTACACAGACATCCCTGAAGGTGATATACGCCGTGTGTACCCAAGGTACTCAGAGAAGAACTTCCCGAGTATCTCAAAGCTATTGCAGGCATTGGAAAATGTTGCCCGTACTAATCGAAGCACCCCGGCACAGGTTGCTCTTGCGTGGCTTCTCGCGCAAGGTCCAGATATCATCCCCATCCCAGGTACGAAGTCGCCCGCCAGAATGGACGAAAATGCGGCCTCTGCAATCCTTCATTTGAGTGATCAGGAGGTGCAAGAGATCCGGACTCTGGTGGAGAAAACTCAAATCGAAGGTTCTCGGTACCCGTGAGTATCGCTTTCCTTCACCTTTTGGGCCTGGAGTGCTGACCGGCTTCATAGGGCGATGGCAACTCTTCACACCGATACCCCGAAACTATAGGAGGTTTGAGTTAGTAGCCTCACTATCATTGAGAACCCCCCGTCGAGTCCATATATTTGGCAACTCAATCGTACCTGAATTACTAGATGGCGAGCGAACAGTTTTATGGCTTTATGGGGTGTAGGATGAGCTTCGTACTACACAGTAGACACCACAAAATACAGTATATCGCTTCTCATCCAAGGCACCACCAGTCTCCCAGTCTATAACACTGCTGAATCCTGGCACTTTATAGGTGCAAACCCTAGTTGTATACAGAGATAGAGGAAGACCGTCAGAAGCCCCTATTAGAACTAGGGGACTGGGTCTATAATCGTATATTTATATAAGACGAAGTTGAGCTATCAAGCGTATAGCATAGTAAGATTTTATATCTCTGCCTTTTAACTAATCATAGACCATAGGTGAATATCTGTCATATTACACTGTTTCCTTGCGATTTTAATGCTTCTCGTGGAAGTTGTAGGGCACTTCTCTTGGCCTTTTTCGACATCCTTTTCGTCAACTTTTCTAAGATCTAGGTTTAGAGCATATATTCTATGCATAATATGAAGATGTCAAGATTTTAAGAGTCAAAATGTCCATAAGCCGAAAAAAAGTAGCTGTCCCTCGTATACAGACAGCATGGTATGTGCATGATATGGTAGTATCCAGTACATTCACCATGAAAAGACAAAAAGACGAAAAGGATACTGGATCAACCCGAGTAGATCAACCAAATTGGAACAACGAGACGGAAAAGAAAAATGACGTCAAAAGACAAAAGGATCCCAAGGGCGAAGCCACAACCAGGTGGCCACCATATCACGTATGTTTCATGAAACTAGACCCAAAACTCCTTTCGCTCCCTATAACCCGCAGTCTGATTCCTTTACCCGGAGTGGTACCACCGTCTATATCAAGCCGGTGTGCAACCACAGCCTGCGAAGCTGTCGGACTGAGATTATCGAGCTATGAGATACCCAGATCCACTCTCGGTGTATCCGATACCCTTCGCGCGTATAACCAGCATCACAGATCAGGGATTTCGCGGCTTATTCATGTTGCTATCAATCCGCCCACAGCTCGTACTATCACGACCATCCCCATATTTTGCATATGCCCGAGCGACGTTTGGATCGGGATGTGAAGGATGCGAGGAAGATGAGCTGCGACTTAGCGAGCCCGGGGATGACGGTGCCGAGGATCCAGGTGTTTCTGCAGATGCAGCTGTGGGGTTCGCCGTTGCTCTGGCTGCGGCAGCTGCAGCTGCGGGGTTGCAGTGTGCACAGACAAAGACGTTGAAGCCGCGACCGTTGCAGCTGAGGCAGATTGCTCCTCTAGGAATCATGTTAGTATTGGGATGTAGTGGTAAAGGGTGTTCGGGGGCTGGTGTATACCTAGGAGCATTCCCTGCGCAACCCTTGCATGTAACTACTGTCCGCCCTCCGATGCATGATACGTGTTCGGGGTCAAGGCTGAACAAAGACTGGGTTGAACTGGCCATTGTAATGGATGTAGAGGTATAGAGAAGGGAGATATTGGAAGGTAAAAGGTGCAGATGCGGAGAGTGAAGTATGATCAGAATCCACCTGATATAAAGTGCAGGTGGCTTTGTGGTATTTTTCCTGTTGGTTCTTCTTTTTTAATCTCAGGGGCAAGCCTGTCAATAAAGAATAGCCGATATACTGTGAACCCTGAAAGAGCAGTTGGGAACAAAGGAAGACAATAGTATAGGCGAAAGTATAAAGCCAGAAATAACAGACGAAGAAACAACGGATTTCATATACACGAAGAAATCAATCAGTGCCACCAACAACGTTCCCGAGAGTTTCCAAGTGTCACATACGATATGCACAACGAAGCGTGGACTTGATAACGGAAATCAGAATTGAGTCCACCGGGATGATCAGCCGGACAGAGAGAGGGACGGTGATAGGACAGTTAGCTAGGTACATGATGTACTTGGATATTTCGTTTACACGCATGGGGGCCATTTCAATCGAATCCTTCGGCTATTCCCGAAAAAGAAAAAGAAAATAGATCCAACATGAGAGGAGAACGGCGCAGAAACGGTTCTGGACTTAGCTGAGTTGTCAAACCCGCTTCCCAGGTGCTTGTGCCTGTCAAGCTAAGGTACCCAGCTGCGGAAATGCAGGGTTCATGAAACAGGAGCTGGTGGGGGATTCTGGTGTTTCTCGATCCACACGACCGGGCCTACGTCGCTCATACGTTTTGCAAAGGGTTCATTCGCTGGTCATTCTGTGAGAGGACTTTTAGAGCAGAAAACCTGCAGTGAAACCAAAATATTACCAAATTGGCAAATCAAAGCTTGATGCATCGTTGGGCAAGACGGTCGTTCATGTGCAGTGGAAAAGTTGTCCCAGGAGCATGGCCGCTACCTCGTGATACAACAAATCTTGACCGCACAAACTGGTATACAATTATCCTCCCGAGTTAGACTGTTGAATCGCCACGAGTATGGGATGTGAACTTCCAACCACGGATAGCTGCATTGGACCATGCAACCATGATCTGATCTCCGAGATGATGTATAGATGATAGGGGCCATGCTGGGTGGATTGTCGATGATTTCTCCTCCGTGGACCTCTCTTGTCAGCTCTTGTCGTATTTTCCACGTATGGGACGATCTTTCCATCTCAACCAAATAAAGTAAAGCACCATGCATAGAAGTTGGAATTGAGAGTCAGATGGTCACCAGACCAGTTCGCTTAACATATACCGGATTAGGAACAGTGTTCAAGGGCTTATAGGAAGTACGGTTGCAAGGCGTATGTTGTAGCTGCCTTGAGCAGTAAGAAAAGCGCGCGGTGACAATCTCGTGCAGGGATCCAATCGATACAATGATCTCCATAATCCGCATATCACATTGATAATAATGCTTTGCAAGCACAATCTCCGATAAACACCGGAGAGAGCGGATGCATCTGACAAGCACATGTGGTGTCGACATAAAGAAATCCGAAAAAAAAAGAAAGAAAAAGAAAAAAACCGCAGCTGTAATATGAGGTGAAAAGAAAGCCCTGTGAGAGGTGTGAGCTACCAATAAGCATAAAGAAGCAGAAATCGAAATTTGGACTCGCAGCCAATCGCACTCCATACACTGCCCGAAGCCCGAAGCGCCGTGGATGTGATACTTAGCCTCAAGCAGGTAACCGTGGAGGGGATGCGGCTGCAAGGACAGGGGCACCAAAAGGACCTAGAAAAACCCCCTTTAACATTCTCATCTCAGTCAACATTGCAAGGATTCCTTGCAGCCGTTTGACTTTACATCGAATTCATTGTATGATCTGACCTGAAGTGTTTCTGCAGATTGGTCACATGCAGACTTGAATCCTGCGCAAATGACACGCATCCATGAACAGCTCAAATAGATTCACTGGTCTCTGGGTTTGCATGCGGTCTGCCATCGGCCAAAAGATCAATGTAACCCGAATACGAGTTCAGATAGAAGCAACGGGTATGCGCGTCATTAGGCGGGGCTGTGGATTTGTTTATTAAAAATGTCAGCCTCTGATTGATCATGTTGTATGGAAGAGAGCCCAGCTACTTCAAACTCCATGGGCTTGGCTTGTTCAACCAGTTCGCTGTTGGGGAGTACACCTGCAGCCAGCCACTTCTAATCACACGCTAGTCCAGGATTCGAAGTCCAGGATTCGAAGTCGGGCTGGAGTCGAGACTTCGCATGGGCGGCAAGTTGCATCAACCATTATAACGGAGAAGTTTCTATCGATGTCTCAAAAGAGCTATCTGAGACTTCCGAAGGTCTGTCCTGGAACCAGAACGTTTGCAAATCGCCTTTCATCGGCAATCAATGTCACGGTTGAACCCCAAGGATGATGCCGGGGGGGGAGGAGGGGGAGGAAAGAAAGTAAAAAGAAATTATGAGGTTGCACGTAAATGGAAAAAGAGCGACTCAATTGCAAGTCAGCTGATATCAACCTATGGGATACCTGCAGCCCAGTTCCCATTGTCGCTGCAAGAGGTGAGTCTGGGTCGTAGTCACCTTTTCTTCGATGGCCTGTTGGAATATTCCTTCCATTTCTAGTTGAAATGAGATGGCTATGTTCTTTTGCTGTCAAACAAGTTAGGATACAACGTTGTATATGCAGATATAGAAAGTCGAGCAGCACCGTAGAACATCAGATACTGACTATTCTCCGAAATTCGGCACTTAAGAGATTACCTGAAGCATAAAATGAACTCACATGCCAGGCAAATGCTGACCTTCGGCGACAGTGGAATGATATCACGGTGCATTTTTAAACGAGGCCACTCCAGACTACCCAAAACCGGTACGTGAGAGGTACTGAAAGGCTGTAGACCACGAGGTGGTCTATAGGGTTACATGATACGTAGTCAAAATTAAAGGATTGGCATTCTCCATTACGAACTGCATAGCTATCACACGGAAAAAGAATAAGGCGCGACGTGGCGTTCCATCTTAGAGTCACCGTATCTGGCCCAGCTAATGGTTGTGTGTGTAGCCACAGTAAAGGGGGAAAAGCAAAGAAATAGGGCAGAAACAAAGTATCCAGCCAACAAAACGCCCAGTAGTAGCTGTTCCCATGGCCACACCCCAGTGATCGAGTGAGGATCTCGTGTGCTTGCTCATGGAGCCACAACATAAAAAACAGCGAAGGGGGAGAGTAAACAAATAAGCACCCTGATCCATCCTTCCACGCAAAGCCAGGACGCCTGGGTAATCCCGAGATCATAAAATTGTTGGAATCACGCCGAACCTCATGTGTCGGCGTTAAATCATAAAATATCAAAAGGCAGAGAGCAAAAGAAACAGAAAACAAGTGATACCGATCACTGGAAGTATCCATTGGGCAAGGCTGCTAGGACAGCGATAGTTCCCAGACCACCCAGCAGAGCGCTGACAACAGCCGTGGTGGCATGGCTTGCCAAGGACTTTGAGGTTGGATGATTAGGCTTGATTCGCTTTGCCGGACGCTCATTCTCAGCAAGTGCGGAGCTGATCGCATCCTTAGCTTCAGAGGAAATTGTGTACGAATTGAGATCTGGCTGGCTAGCTGGCTCTACAGGCAGCCGCTGAGCATCTTGAGAAAAACCAGGTTCAACGGACGACGATTCCATCTCTGTTGCAGTACGCTTCACATTTGATTTTCTAGATGTTGCCAGGTAGGGAAAGGCATTGTCCACGGTAGCGCTGGTCGAGAACGGTCCATCGTGATAGCAATTCCCGAATCCATGGTATAAGGGCGGAATGCCAACAGTGCTGTCGACCTTCTGTTGCATTGGTGGGTATTTGTTCTGACATGAACTTGGCAGCTCACCAGAAACAGTGTATGTCGGGAACTGAGCGCCTGGGTTTTTCATACCAGGGGTAGTCTGTGTCATCAATGGGTTTCTCTCGTTCGGTGTGGGGTTCAGTGACTGGCCCCCGAGAGCCTCGTCAGGTACATGCTTGGACACTTCAACGGCATCAGTGTGGTTGATGCGTCCAAGTTCCTTCACATACTCCAAATCAAGCAAGGAACGGGTATCAGGCTTCTGCAGAATACGGTGTTCAAGACTCTCATCCTCAGAGGAACAATCAGAGTCGTTTTCGGATTCATCAGAGACCTCATCATCTTCCTCCAAGTCCTCGTCATAATCTTTCTCTTCGTCGTCTTCCTCGGAGTCTTCTGTCGACACTTCACAGCCGTCTCCGTGAATCGATTCGCTTTCGAACATCCCGTATGAATATTCGCCGTAATTCTCTGAGATCGAATCACTGCGACCATCTGACTCAGACATGTACCCCTCGCTTCCCTGGGCTTCTTCGTCTGAATCAACGGACTCGTCATCAGAGAGCCAATTTTCATCGAAATTCGGATCCCAGTAAGGAGCCACATCGCACCATCGATCTCCGATCATTTGGGGCTCCCAAGCCCTCACGAACCAGCATTTGTGACAGTCATCAACCTCGGTTTCAGTCTCGAGCTGGCGCTTCAGTTCCTCGCTGAGAAGCTCCAGTGGCTTTTCAACGATCCACCACCAATTGCTCATCTGCTGGCCGCCTTCGTCTTCGTAGATGATCCAATATCTTCGCTTGTCGACTGACCAGTACCTAAGAAGGTTGCCGGGCATACGATGGAACGACGTGTCTGATTCCTCGGAGTCCGGCTCCCAATAGACTTCTGTCCCAACGCAAGGTTGGAAGCTAGGGGAATCGTCTACCCAGTACGAATCTTTGGAGAGAGAACAACGGCGTGCAGCGTGGATAATTTGTCTGTCATGGTCAACGTCGGGTATGATGTTGGATTCACCCCAAGCCATGTCTGCCAGGCGCATGAACATAGGCCGCATCATGGTCCAATTGCTGAAATGAATTTCGGGTACTTTCTGGTAACAGATTGCAGGGAGGCTATCTGCTTCATGTGCTTGTTGAGCAGATAGAAGTTCGGTAGAGGCCAGTTTGGCGGGAGATATATTGGCATCTGAGACCGGTTTACCAGGAGATGGTTTAATGTCGGAGACCGGTTTGGTATCAGACAGCGGACTAAGAAGCTCCGGGACCAGTGGTGTGGGGCCGAGCATAACTTTTGAGATAGACTCCTCGGTAGGAGAAAAACCTTCCCAATGGAGCTCCGGCTTGTCCTTGGAATGTTCGTCACTTTGGACGCTCGAGGCAGGAGAAACTAGAGACGTATCCACGGGCTGTAGAACAGTGGTTTCCCAAGATCTAGCAACAGACTCTTTAGAAGAGTCATCACTGGGGAGGTCGGCAGCCTCCATGTCGCTATCGTCTTCGGGGACAGAGAAACTGTTGGTTGACGGACTTGGATCCGGTTTGATAGCAATACCATCATCTGGAATGACCACACGCTGGGGTTTGAGCCACTCAACCTTGCAGCGGACTTCGATGGCCTCAAAAACCTCTGTACTTGATTAGTTCCAGTAATTCAAGTACTGTTGGACTCAGACTGCTAACTTACCCTGGCCACGGTCGACATCAACACCAAATCGGATGATATCTCCACTATACAGTGGGGTATCCACATCTGTCACCAGCTTGCTATCATTCAGGAAGGTTCCGTGTGTTGAGCCACAGTCGGCGATGAAAACCATCTATCAAGGGATGTCAGCGAGACTATATGGTCAGATTTGGAGGTTGGAACTAACATTTTGGTCCGGCGATATGTTAAGAAAGGCATGGTCACGAGACATGACCCGAGACTCAAACCAAGCGTTATCTGTTGCGGGACTCCGTTTTCGAGTTTCACGCTTTGAGGCACGTCCGATGGCCACGGTCTTATCATTGTTGGTGAGGGTGAGGGTACGCAGAGGGTGGGTGTCTTCGAAAAGGGGGACGAGCGTCACGGTGACTGTGAATTCGAGTTGTCAGTTGCAGGCAAGATGACTGTTGAGACATCCAAGTACTTACCGTGTGGGTCTGACATGGTGAAAGATAGATCAGCGATAGTGCTATGTAGGATCTAGAAAGTAGAAATAGGAAGCTGTTTGTTTCTAGACGACGGTTAGACTGATAGATAGAATTTCATATGTGATAAGAGAGATCATGACATCAAGGTAGAATGGATAACAAAGCATGGGAAGATGAAGGGTGGGGGTAGGAGGTTAGGTGATTTGGAGACAAAGGCAGCTTACCCGGGTGTTTCCAGGCTGCAACGCGATCACATGGACCAGTTGAAACAGCCGGGAGATGGCAGAGTTATTGCAGAAAAGTAGTTTGCGAGCAGAGCAACTCAGAGCAGCGAATATGAAAAGTTGTTCAAAGCACAGAAGGTGTGGAAGGGAAAGGGAAGGAAGAGGGGTAGGGTCATGAATCAGGTCGAAGTTAGGTTCACCGCTGACATCGACGACGTTTGGGTGTGGGAAACCCCTTTGACATGGAACTTAACTTGACCCTCAGTTACCGGCAAATCTACTCAGAATTTAAGAAGTCGGGATTCAACAAGAATCTAAGAAGTAAAGTATCCGGAAGCTGAGGAACAATGAGGTATGTATGAGAAGTGATAGTATAAGATAAGCAAATGAACGCCGTTGGCTTATTTCAACTCGCATATACCCTGGCCCGACAGGACTTTCCCTACTGGAAACAGACCCGCTAAATAGAGAGAGTATGTACATATGTATCAACTAACTTACTGAAGCTTTTAGCTATTTAGTCCCTTTCTTCTTCGTTGAGGCATCTCCAGAAAAACAAAGTCCGGAGATGCCGATAAGAGGTGGGGTCAGCTGATGTGGGGACACACGTCATGGTCACCCGCACACTAGAACATTTGATATACAATACCGAGTATGTAGTGCTTCGTAGTTACAACCTTGGAAGTTCATATTTTGTAGGTATACAGTGCGTTAATCTGATGTTAATGAGCACTCTCAAATTCCTCTATGGTACACAAATTACTACATGGTCAAACCCCAATGCACTTACCCGGGCTCGGTTTGCCGTCCATCGGCCCATTCCATCCCGAGTCTTATCTCAGACAGACCCAGTACCAAAACAAAAAGAAAAGAAAAGAAGGCGGACGGGGAATATGTCAACCGATAGTAAATACATGCGGAGAGAATAGTGAACCGGGGATCCAAAGATACCGAAGCCGGAAAAGAAAAAGGCTTAGATAGGAATACCCAAACCGGGGCGAAGAAAGAAGCGAAGAAGCGAAGAGCGAAGATGGTCTGCTGACGCGCTTACATGGCAGGAGCACCACCGTTCATGGCACCCATGGTGTTCAGGCGGGCAGCTAGCTGGGGGTACTTCTCCTGAACCTCCAACTGGGTGCGGGTCGCCTCGGCATAGGAGATGGCGTTGATGATCTCAGCCTCGGTGCGAGCCAGCTCAGCAGCGCGCTCGAAGTACTTGAGGGCCTGGGAGACCTTGCCTTGCTGGAGGAGAAGCTGGGCCATGGTGCCGACAGCAATATCGCACTCAGGATCAATGATGAGGGCCTTCTGGCAGAGATTCTCGGCCTCCTGGAAGTCGTGCTTCCACTGGAACAAAGCAAGAGCCTTGTTGATCAGGGGCAGGACGTTGATGCCCATGGGCTTGCTTTGCTTCTCCATCTCAACAGCCTTGTCAAACTTCTCAATGGCCTCGGAGTAGTTCTGCTGGTCAAGCAGAAGCTCGCCGTAGTAGTTGTATACATCGGGGACTTCCTCAAAGTTCTTTACTGTCCGGCGGAAAGTGGCCATCGCCGAGGCGACGGAGCCCATCTTATATTGTGTCACACCAAGTTGGATGTGAGAGTAAATGAACGACCGGTCGAGGTCGATCGACTTCTGGTAGTCCTTAGCGGCCTCGGCAAGCTCGGTCAGGATGAAGTGCAGCTGGGCACGGTGGTAGTAGATATCGGGGTCGTCCTTGTTGTGAGTAATGGCAAGCTCAAAGTCATCGGCCGCAGCGTCCTTGTTACCAAGCTCCAGGTGCAAGCTGGCGCGCTTGATGTAGCTTTGAACCAGGGAAGGTGACAGCTCGACACTCTTGTCCAGGTCGACCAAAGCGCCAGTAGCGTTACCGCCAAGGTAGGTGAAGGTGGCTCGCATGTTGAGGGCCAATCCTTCAAATTCGCCGAGCTCACCGAGCTCAAGTGCCTTCTCGAAAGCAGCAGCAGCCTCTTCGTAGCCATCGGCAGTCTTCTTGCCCATAGCGATGAGACCCTTACGCAGCTGGCCCTTGCCGGACTCATCGCTCAACTCAACCGACTCCTCCAATCCCTCGGGCAGGACCTGGGGACGGAAGCTCTGGAGGTAGTTGGAGACAAAGGTGGCACTAGGCAACTTCTTGGTGCGCGCCTCCAGAATAGCCTGGCTCTTCTTCTCGGCAACCTTCTTCAGCAACCGTTCGAGCGAGTTGCGGCTCACGTCGTTGGAGAAGGCATCAATGATACAGCTGGCTGTGAAGTCGAGGAGAGCCTCGCTGTACTTTTCAAGGTGCTCGTACGCAATGGCTCTTCGGTTGAGGGCCTTGACGTATTCGCTGTCCATGGCGAGAGCGGCGCTGGTGTCCTCGACAACCTTCTCCCAGTTGGACTGGACGTTGTAGCACGCGGCGCGGTTGGAGTAGAAGACGGGGTCGGGCTTGCAGATAATGGCCTTGCCGTATAACTCAATCGCGTTGGGGTAGTCCTTAATTCCGTAGGCCTTGTTACCGGCAGCCTTCAGCTTGGCCGCATAGGCGTTGCGGGTCTTGACTTGTCAGCGAAAGTGTGAGAAAGAACATTGCTTAACATACCTCATCGGACAGCTGTCCAATAGTTGCCTCATCCACTTCGGGAAGCTCATCGGTGGGCTCCTCTGCCTTTTTGGGAGACTCTGGAACCTTGTCAGTCATACGACCACCGTATTTAAACAAGAGCACATACCATCCTTCACTGACGCAGCCTTTTCTTCCTCAGCCTTCTTTTTTTCTTTCCGTCGCTGGTTCTTGCTCTTCTTGGGTGCTGAGGGGATGGATTTGCTGGAATCATTCAGGTAGTAGACGACACCCGCGCCGGTCACGACAACGGCAACACCGGCAATGGTGTAAACAACGGCCTTGTTGTCTGAGACCCAGTTGGTGATGCGATCCCAGACTGATGCCGATGATGACTCGGTCAGCTTTGATGTATCAAGCACCACATTTTGGGCGGGCGTAGGTAACGGCAATTCGTTCGACATGATGTGTAAGGGAACCAGGCAAAGGGACCGACGCGGCTAGTTCTTTAAATGTGTACAGATGTCAGTATTCAATCGGTAAGTCAGGGCCAACTAGACTGAGACGGAAGACAAGGGGGTCACTAACCAGACCTCGACAGAAGGAGTTGGATGGGGAAGTTCGGGAATGATGAAGCTCAAGAGGAAAAGTCAAGGGTTCCGCTGGCCGGATCGGCCAATCACGCGCGCTGCGCCGGTAACACTCAAGTTCTCCACAACACATGTTCGGATTGAACAGAGTTGGCTCATCGGATCTTTTTGTATTCTTCCCTCTTTCTTCTTCCAATTCCGTCCGAAGCAACGTCGTGTGGATTCGTCTACTATTTAGCAAGACTGACTTGGTGACTACAGCAACGACCGTAAGCCATTGACTTTCGCAAAAATGACCGAGAACTCTTCAAGCCCACAATCTTTCGAGATCATTTCCTCCCTTCGCTTTGACCCAGGCCTTTCAGATGCAGCCTGTCGCCATGCATCAAGCTATCCCGATCCTCACAAATCCCCCTACTACCTCCTCGCCTATCACCAAGACCGGCTCATAGCTGCTGCTGCTCATTTCCAATGGAACGGGGCCCTCAACTGGCTGCAACAAGACTTGCAAAGCTTCGAGGAGTTCCTCGACTCGTCAATTGCGGACCGAAGCAAAGCGTGGAGGCTTCGAATTGTAGTGAACAGCAAAGGAAAGGCGAGAGTCGAGGCAAACCCAACAGTGAGCATTGATTTAATGAGTTTGTTCATTCCCTCTCTACATACGAACCCAAGCCTGCCGGTATGGCGCGTCTATGTCGATACCCAATCAACAATTCCTTCCGCCTTCACGACACATAAAACCACCGCGCGTGATGACTACACGTCTGCACGGCTGAGAGCAGGAATTAATTCGCCGACAGACCTTGCGGAGGTACTGGTCGTGAACCCGAATGGCGAAGTTATGGAAGGCAGCATCACTACGCCGTACTTCTTGCGGGACCATATGTGGATCACGCCCCCGCTGAGCAGCGGCGGCAATGCAGGTACAACACGGAGGTATGCGTTATCTCAGGGTTTCTGTCTAGAACACACCATATCCCGGGATGAGCTTGTGGATGGCGAGTTGTGTTGGTTGAGCAACGGCGTAAGGGGGTTCATTCGAGGCCAAATCATAGCCAAGTAAGAATTTCCCAAACTACATAGTATGTACCTATGCATCTACTTGGATAGGTACATATGTGGACTAGCCGATATTTGAATGGTATTGGTAAATTGAGGAAAAGGCTATGAAATCATACGTATTTTTGAACTTGATTGCTCCGGGAAATGCCCCGTGCCTCCAGGCTTATTTCTTAGCCTTCTCGACCACCACAGGGTTGGGATTCCCGTTCCACTCTAGAGGGCGAGGACGCATGTACTCGGCCATGATCTCATCCGTAACCTGAGCCCTGCGCTCCTGGAACCCTTGGACATAAGTCTGAAGCTCAGCGATACACCTCTGCTTGATCTCGCCGGTCATCATCTTTCCACCCTCGTAATCGGTACGGATGCGCTCCAGCTCCTCGTCATCATCAAGGAAGAATGTCAAGTACTGGAATGGGATATCGTTCTTGGTGTTGCCGCCCAGCTCGCGCTGCAACTCCGCGGTGTCCTGGCCACCTGAGAAAGCGTGCTTGTTGATCTTGTTCTTGATCTTGTTAGGCGTGTCGCTCATGAAAATGGCGGAACTGTCGACACTGGCGGACATCTTGGATCCAGGACCCTGGAGGGCGGG